TGGGTTCATGGGTTCGGGGTTTGTTTGTTTTTGTGTCGGAGGTTTTGGGTTCGGGTGTTGGAGGTTTTGGGTTTGGGTGTTGGAGGTTGAGGTTTCCGAAGGGATGTGTTTGCAAAGTTTTATTGCTCTTAATATTGAAGTTATAAGCAATTAGAACTACTACCAAGCAACTACAACTTGAGTCGCTGGAAGAAAACAGCAAGATGAACGCGCAGCAGCAGATGATGATGGCCGCTGCGGCTGGGGGCGGAGGGTTAAATCCTCTTGCTGGAATCGAATTAGGAAGACTCTTTGACGCATGCGGTGGTGCGCCTGAAGATCCCTTTTCTGAGTTGAAAGAAGTCGGAGCCGGCGAAGCACAAGTGATTGGGAAAAAGGATAATAGGAAGTACTAATGATCTTCATGAACATGCACCCATAATTAAAGATGCTATACCCCGCGAGTGGGTACATCAATCAATCAATCAATCAATGTACTTCTATAATCTTCTTCATCATGATGTACTTTCTATGTATAATCTTCATCATGATGTACTTTCTATGTATAATCTTCATCATGATGTAATTTCTATGTATGATCATGATGTACTTCTAGCTGTCTACTTCATCATGATGTACTTCTAGCTACTCTGGGAATTCTTGGATGTTTTTCTTATTATTCCTGAGGATCCTGAATATGATGCTGCTCATCCAAGTAAAAGTATATGACTGTAATTGATCAAGCACAGGTCACTTCCCATACATATTGACACTCCGTTTCCGCACTTTCGAAGTCCACAGGAGAGCCTACTACCAAACACAGGTACTACCTTCGGCTCTGTATCCATAGTGCGAGTAAGCTGGCTGGTGATGGGATGGGCGGCTGCGACCCCTATGTGCATACTACAGTCGGCGCGAGCACAGCAGAACATGAGACGCATAGTTTGAAGCAAACCAGCTCACCCGTGTGGGAGGAAGTCTTTGAGACCGAGATTGAATTGGGAGTACTGTTTTTTCTTAGTCTATCACGTCGAACACGTGTATGAATTTTGGTTATCATCATCATGATATTGATCTCTTCACAAGTCAGCCTATCTTCACTGTCTTCACCTAGTAAAGTACAAGTAGTCCCCTACTCGTCCCCATCCGCGGATTGACCCCACGACGCCAGGTCAACATGTCTGTGGTAATGAAGGTTTATGATAGCAATGTGGGCTTAGACCGCTTACTCGGCGTTGTCAGTCTGATGATTCCTCAAGGCGAATGCCCAGTGAAACGGGAGACCCTAAAGCTAGCTGGCGTCCCACAGACAGGCTGGTTCCGCAGCACGCGGCCTGACAGCACTCTGACAGTCTTGTATCAGGTCACCACGAGTTTGAAATTATGGAGGATGCATGTTGTTGTTTCTTGTTGGAGATAAGCCTAAGCACTTTACTAATAAGGACTTGAGTTGTGGTGCTGCTCTTAGAAGTCCTTATTGACAATACTAATCCTCGGCGCTCCCGATCTCGTCCAGATTGGTGATATGGACGAAGCTGATCTACTGCCGAAAATCTGCAATTTGTCCATCGACGTGAGACGGTTCCGCACTCGTAAACCAGCTACTAAGGAAGAAAAGCTCTTCCTGATGATCGGACTGGTGGATGTGCAAAAGCATGCGGCCGAAGCAGCAAGTAGAAGCGCAGAGACAGCGGAAGGTGATGGAGGTGCTGGTGCTGGTGGTTTATGGAAAAAGTGGCTACAAGATGAACATCAAAGCCCGTGGTTTTATAGATGTCAAAGAGTTTCAGTTTCACCAACGTGCAGCTGAGTAGAATTATGCTGTCGACCGCCAAGTCTTGAAGGGCACCGCCAGCACCACTACCTCCTCTAACACCCGACGACGGCGATGACGACATGAGTAGTGGAGCTAAGACGGCGGCCACGCCGGCAATAGTTTTGAAACAGGGTACGCGAGAAGCTGGATGGGATAACGGTGGGACTGACGGGCATCAAATCCTATGGACCCAAGAGTTGAGCAGGCCAGATATGTTGCAGAGGGTGAGGATTATTCACTATCACTGTTAATGTAGTTGAGTTTACTTTGATTCTCTACTTTTTTATGATGCCATGGGCGGCTCTTCGGGGAGTTGACTCAGGTCTACTTCTTTGGGGACGGTATCAGTGAAGACCAAGCTACAAGCATGTTGCTTCTTATGAATATGCTTTCTTTTTGCTGCACAGGTCCACTTCTTTTTGTCTGCACAGGTCCTCTGTTTCACCCTCCTCGAGCGACAAGCTGAGGGTACCACTTTCGTACGAGCGAGGTGGGAAGAGCCATTGTCTTCACTAGTTGATGGCGTAACGGCCGCACATGGGCCTTTACAATGCTGGTTGCAGTTGAAGGATCATATTGGTGTGAACGCAGGAAAGTTGCTTGTCGAGATTGATATTTATCAGGTACTACTAGCTACTAAATCCTAAGTCTATGTATGGGGGATATTTTGGATTGTTATTGCTCTTCCTGCTCATTCGATTTATCACTAATTAATCTAAGTACTTACTATAGAAGTCCGTTTCCGTCTCCTTCATCATCATTATTTCTGTTGCATATCTTGTCCTGGTTATTTGTTACAAATCCAAAGCTCCAAACCAGGATCTCACTGCCAACGACGACATGTCCTTCACTGCCAACGACTCACTAAAAACAGAACGAGCACCATCCTTCGGGCCCAGAACGACACGTGGATGAGCTACCTGTCAGACATGGAGCCCCATCGTTGCAAGACAGGGAGAAACCAGTCGAGTACTTCGTCTACATCTACGGTGACAACTTCCCGAAGGTCGACTCACCAGGGATTTTTTCCTCGTTATGGACTCCTGCACTGATTATTTTCCTGCTTTCCTTTGTTCCTGACAAAGTTTATTTCAATTGAGTAGCAGCATTTTTTTGAATTATTTGGAAACATCAATTTCAGACTGAAAACAAAAATTTTGATTTTATTTCAAATTGATTCGATTTTATTTCCTGGTGAGATATTTCATTTAACTGACTCGAGGATTATTTTGATTTTTGAATTAGAGTTTCGGTCTGAAAATGAAATGTTTTGATTTTATTCCAAATTAATTCGATTTCATTTCCTCGATTTCGAAGATCTAAAAAAAAAACTGACTCAAGCACTATAAATATGATCATACTTCAAGTTTGAAGTGAGCAGGCTTTCTATACTTATCGTTGGATATTACAAAAATCCAAAATGAAAATTTTTATTCCTGGCCCTCGTCTTTCATACCCAGCAGGCGGCGCTCTCGATCCTCAATTTGGATGTGATCCTTTTGTTAGGGTATCAATGGATGGACCCAAGGTATTGTCCAAGAGTCTGAAGCAGCAAAGGCGTCGCGTAGTTTGGCCAGACGCGATTCGCGTGAAAGCAAAACTGGGCTCGACAAGAGCAAAAGTGGAGTTGTTGGATGGTGATGCTGGGTTGTTCAGCAGTTCCGAGACCCTCATTGGCGAAGAAACGATATACATTATGAAAATGCTAGCCTACTACATCGAAACTTCTCCTGCTAATCGTCCTCACATACGACTTAAAAATGACCTGCTCGCCAAGTAGGAAGAAAACCTCTACTTCTAACGGTTACCTTCGTCCCGGTATGAACAACTGGCTCCATTTCTATGGTGGTGCGATCGCTGCTACGAATGAGGATGTTTCATTGGCGATGATCAAGGGCGGTGCCGTAGGACCTGCAAGTACGTACAGAGGCTCCTTGTGCGTCCATTTCAGCACTCGAGCGAAAGCACCAGCAAGTCTGTGGCCGCCACACGTGCCGCAGTTGAGTTAGGGCTAAGCAGAATAATTCATCTTCTTCACAAACTTCACAAAGTAGTTCTACCCTGCACAAGTAGGGCTAAGTAGAATAATTCATCTTCTTCACAAACTTAGAAGTAGTACCCTACACGACAAGCCCGAACCCTACACAACCCCCGAAAGTACGTCTCTCAGATACAGATTTCCTCCGTTGGGGCGCTGAGACTATATAAAATATAATGAACGTAGAAGATGAATTATGGTGAGCTCCAATCGAGGGGCTATTCCCGTGCCCAACTTGTGGTGAAGATGTACCGAGGTCTGTATTTGCAGGAGTTAGCGCCGCCTGTTGGCGAGCCGCCTCGAAAATGCACCTTGTACCTGCAAGTCCCGTCAGCGTCTTTGCCGGTAGTTGTTACAACTAGGGATCTACTTATATAGATAAAGATATAGTGTCGTCAGCGTCTTTGCCGGTACTTGTTACAACTAGGGAAGATCTATATAGATAAAGATATAGTGTCCATGAAGAACAGGACTTTGAATCAAACACTTCGCATCCTCCTCTGGTCAACGGTACTGTGCTAGCTGTAGCATCACGACACGTGATCCACGTGAAAGCAAATATTACAAATCCCACAGCCACAGGACCGCCTCAGAGGCTTGATGGAAGTCCTCACTACATTCTCACTCCATAGAAATACTGGTCTTAGAAAATCACAGTCCTAGGCTCGTCTTATTATAAGGAATTGCTTCAAAAAATTTAAATATATCAACACAGGTCCGCCTCACTGCTTCTCAAGTAGCCAGGCTACCTGCTTACAACCGCTTGCAAGACCCAGAACTGAGAGTCATCAAGCCGACGAATCCGAATATTCTATTAAGGATTGGAAGTTGACCTGCTATCGTCTGATGAAAGCTGCATAGAGTCTGAGTCTATAATGACCTCTGTCGACCTCCTATTTTCTAAAAGGACAGGAAAGTGATAGGTCCTCTTCCATATGCGTCGAGGTAGAAGATCGGTCAAGAACTTGCAAGAACTACCTCTTCCGACCCTTATAAGTATAGCCTTTCCGGGAGAAATAACCGATGGAGGGATGCTGAACTTCCTAGTAGGGGACGAAGAAAGGCAATTAGCCAAGTTGAGGACGGGTGGATGCCTAGGGATGTGCAAGAGGATCGAATTGCCAGTTATGAGAAGAAATTTTCTCTCTTGCATCTTTGATGCCACAAAGGACCAGCTGCACTGGCCTGACGACATCAAACCGGACAACTAGGACAACTTAGACCTCACTTATAATATTCTTTTGTACTGAGTGGCGATGCCTCCATCTATCCACAACATCATTTGAAGGGGCTCCACCTTTAGATGGGGAGATCATAAGCTTAAGCACCTCAGTGCACTCTTTTGTTTGGCGGCTTTTGTTTGGCACTCTTTTGTTTGGCGGTTCGTTCGACTGGTAGAAGTAGAAGAGTCATATTGCTAGATGAGAAAGAACTATCTGGCGTTTCTGCTCTAAAGAGAAAGACGAAGAAGATGATCCAACCAGGCCGCTTTTCTATGTGGAGCGCAAGTCTTTGCCCTTCCCCATACTGCCGAACGTGGATAGATGCTTCATGTACCTCCAGATCGATGAGATGCCTGAGGAGCCCCCTCGCGTGTTTGGCGTGATGCATCTACTGGAGAGGTCGACAGACCCCCTCAAGTTACGGGCTTCTTCTAATCTCTATTTTTTTATAGATGAGAAAGATGCCTCAACAAGAGAAGTAATGTCTGTGCATCTGAATACATCAAAGAAGATAGTAACGCATACTAGAAGTTGTACAACTAGACCATGATCCTTGGCACCTTTCCACATTACATTCCCCAGTACTGAGAAGACCAACCTTCTGAGAACTTCTTCTGCAATGTTCTGAGAACTTCTTCTGTAAGAATTGCATAACCTCTAACAAAGAGCGAAGAGACGATGGCCTCGAGTGGTGGCGCGGTCGCGAAAAGGGACCCGATTGGGGAATTGAAGATTATGCCGAAGCAATTTAGTAGTGTTACTAGACGGTGATCCTGGCCTAGAATAGAGGACCAGCGTGGTATTAGACAGTGATTTTGGCCTAGAATAGAGGACCAACGTGCACCTCCTAGAATTGAAGAGATTTCTTTTAAGTATTTTGTGGATTACTAGTAGTGTTAATGATCTCAATAATCCTTACATTTTATTTTAGTTATTCTCGTTAATAGCTGGATTGAGAATGTCCTTCTCTTGTTGACTAGTAATCCCAAGAAAGAGACTAATTCATTCCGGAAAAGACACGTACGTAAATCAATGCATGTCCGAGCTTATTTCACGATGAGCGTTATCTAGTAAGTAGATGAGTAGTTACATTGGAAGTATAAGTAAGTATGCAAGTAAGTCGCTGAGCGCGGCAATGCATCGAGATCTCCGGCTCCTGCAGCCTTAATAATCACATCCAGCGGTACCTGTTATTCTCCTCAGCTGGATTGAGATTGTCCTTCTCTTGTTGCCAAGGATTTCGATTTCTAATCTCCGAAAGAGCGAGGCAGATGCAAGAAAAAAACTGCAGGAGACGCAAGATCAGCAAAGAAGCGTGCCAGTGTGGGAACGATTGAGGTGGGATTTGAGCGTATTCACACCTCCAGACGCGGCAGTCTTTGAGACGGGAATCGTCGGTCGCGTTCTCTGTTCTGCACGTTTGAGCGAGGACATACCTGAAGACGACTGGGAGGAACTGGACGACTTAGAAATGAACGTCAAACCACCACTATGAAAGGAAGAAGTCTACTCAACATATTGCTCAGTCACAAGAAAAGCGTGACCCATTATAGTTATACTCAAGAAATCTACTAGGACGTGAGTTCTTGGGAGAAAGGAGCTACAGCTAGCTAGGGCCTCTGGTACTGGAGGAAAGTAGTTATAACTGTTTTTTGAGTCCAGGTCTACTGTTGAGTCGAGTCTTCCTATCTTCATAACCATCCAACAAAAGCGTCGGACCCGAGGAAAAACTAGCGGATGAAGACGAAGACAGACCCAACAGTGTACGTAGTCGCCAGCAGAAGCCACAGGCGTTGGAAATATTGCCGAAAACTTAAGGCAGCTACTGCTTTTTGAAAGATGAGTGAGATGGAAAGTGGCTCACTTCTTAAGCAGATAAAGATAGGTCACCCAGCACTGCTACTTCTCAGTCGCCCATTGAAAGATGGATGAGATGGAAAAGGTAAATGGATTACTTGCCGGGAAGATAAAGATACTTAGGTGACCCACTGCAACTTCTAATTCCCTCTCGCCAAAACCGGTGCTTGGTGCGGTCCAGCCATGGAGCAGCTGCGTGTCGGATCTCTAGGCACCGCTGTCAAATTCAAGCGGAAAGCATCTTCTGACATGTATGTCGTTTATTGTCACTTAAGGCGCATTCGCAACCACAATCTGTTACTGAATCTGTTTCGTCTCGCTGGTAGTCTAGGACGACTATTAGAGACGCGAAGGAATGAATAATGATCATCCAGCACGCACTCCGCGGCAAGCCTCTTGAAGCTGTCCCTTCCATAAGGGAGAGATGAAAGGGACATCTTCAAGATGCGTCCCATCAAGAACATCCCGAGTACTATCGGAATATTCAGGAGCGTGAGCTCTAAGTCGCGTGGACGTCCTTTGTGCCAGAGATTTGCCTGCCATGGACGAAAACGGGCTGTGTGACCCAACTTGGATCGTGCAAGTCCAAAATAAGCAGCAAGTGTCTCTCCAAGTCCCACCCTCTCTGAATCCGACCTATGTGCAACGTGTGGTGATCCCGTATGAAGTCTACATTCCGCCGGTCTACGGTCATCATGGAGAGGTGTTGCGGAAGCGGGTTGGGAACGTGAATGGGTTCTTGCAATTGGAAGCGGATCCAAATAATCCATTACTTATGTTGAGGAGTAGTAAGTTGTGAAAATTAGGGTCTGCTAGATTGCATCTCGGCCCCCCTTTTCTTGGGGTCCCTTTTACCTTGTATTTCATGAGAATACAAGGGAAAAGGGGACCGAGATGCCGAGAAAGATGGAGAAAAGCTGACCATATAAATACATGCCCAGAAAGCGGGCCCATCAAGGGCCCGCTGCGCTGGGCATAGGTTAACAACTAGACAGGTTGACTACTAAGAGACAGAAAGACAAACGAAAAAAGCCGCCAAGTCTACTCGCCAAGGCTGGGGAGCTGACTCCCACTGTGGCGAGGCTAGTGAGGAGGCTACCGCTATGGCAGGCCACTGCCTTGGCCAACTTGCTTGCTAAGAGCAAGCCAATGGGCGCCAAGGCTGGCCCGCTGAGCGTTTGGAGACCACCGCGCCCGACAATCACCGGTGGCGGAAAATCTTGGCGAAAAGTTGCCGAGGCTCACGCGCGCGGCCCTTGTCCTTGTCTCATTAAAACGAAGCCCAAAGGAGCTCCGAAAACGAAACCGACACAACCCACACACGGACAGGCCAACCACTGCGCCGAGAGCATCACAAGCCGGCGAACCAGTCCGCGGCGCAGCCTCACGCCAAATTCTCAAACGAATGCACAACGCCAGAGGCCTCCCAAGCCTGGAGAGAAGAACAGAGAAACCACAAAAACCACAGACAACAAGCGCGGAGCCTTATGCGGTTTCGTTGCAAGCTGTTGCGAGTTTGTTCTCAGCGATCCGTTTCCGTGTCTTCATCAAAAAAACACGGAAGACGAAAGCTTCAAAATCTTCGCGGAATGTTTGCGGAAAGTTTACAAGTTTTGACAATGTTGGAACTTCATGCACTTATCTTTTCGGAAAGATTCCGCAAAGATTCTTTTGAAAGATTTCGCAAACTTTTCGCCAAGATTTTTTTTTTTTCATATAGAAAAAAAAACGAAGAGCCACCCCAGGCGTGCAAGCGCAGAAAGATGGCCAACGCCGCCCCGTTTTGCCACTGCTTCCCCGCCCGCGTTTCCCGCGTCCTCCGCCCGGGTTCTCTACACCTCGAGGAGCTTGCACAGGCGTGCCGCGGCTGTATTCCAAGCAGCGCCGACGCCAATGACGTGCGGGCGGTCCGCACTCACCTGGCGCCGGGGCTGTCAACAACAGAGAAACACAACACAAAGACAAAGCACCCGAGGCCACGCCGCCGCCTTTTCCATACTCGAAAAGACGGAGGCAACGAAGACCAACCCGGGCAACTTTTCGCGAAGATCTCGCGGCCATGTTTCGCATCGACGCGGTGGTCTCCAAGAGCGTCACGGAGTCCATGAGAAGGCCACGCCTGGACATATGTAGGCACAGAGGTTGGGCCCTTTTGAGTGTGATCATGTCCAGGAGAATCCTAAAGCATAGCATACCCATGGGATGGCAAAAGGCTGACACTGGCGAGCGTCATGGACGAGGCCCATGAGAAAGCCACGCCTGGGCATATCTATGCGCAGAGCCAGGAGCTGGGCCCCAACCTTCAGGCGCGGGGATGTGTCTATAAGGTTGGCTGGCTGTTTCATGGACATGACACAAGACGCCCACCACGGTCCGCGCCTCAGACATGCAATGGCCCACAGTTATCATCCTCACACACAGGCATCGACGGAGATGCATGCGCCTGGCCTTCTCATGGACATGATGACGCCCGCCAGGGTCCACCCTTATCCACTTCCTCACAGACATCGACATCCTCAACGGCTTCGACTTTCGCAGGCAAATCTGTACACCTTTGGCCCTGTCATGGATATGATCTGATGACGCTCACCAGGGTCCACCCTTCAGACACGCAAGTGCTCAAGGCTATCACTCTCACAGACATCGACATCCTCAACGGCTTCGACTTTCAACCACAGAGATGTACATCCTTGGCCTTCTCATGGATATGATGACGCTCACCAGGGTCCACCCTTCAGACATGCAAGTCCTCACGGCTATCACTCTCACAGGCATCGACATCCTCAACGGCTTCGACTTTCAAGCACAGAGATGTATACCTTTGGCCTTCTCATGGCTATGATGATGCTCACCAGGGTCCACCCTTCAGACATGCAAGCCCTCACGGCTAGGGCTATCATTCTCACAGACATCGACATCCTCAACGGCTTCGACTTTCACACACAGAGATGTATGTCTTTGGCCCTCTCGTTGATGTGATGACGCTCACCAAGGTCCACCCTTCAGACATGCAAGCCCTCAAGGCTATCATTCTCACAGATATCGACATCCTCAACGGCTTCGACTTTCATACACAGAGACGCATATCTTTGGCCTTCTCATGGATATGATGACGCTCACCAGGGTCCACCCTTCAGACATGCAAGTCCTCACGGCTATCAACATTCTCACAGGCATCAACATCCTCAACGGCTTCGACCTTCACGCGCAAACTTGCACACCTTTGGCCTTCTCATGGATATGATGATGCTCACCAGGGTCCACCCTTCAGACACGCAAGCGCGCACGGCTATCATTCTCACAGCCGTCGACATCCTCAACGGCTGCGACTTTGAAGCGCCGAGATGTATGTCTTTGGCCTTCTCGCGAATCAATGTGATCACGCTCGTCAGCCTCTGCCTTTTCAAGTGCTCACCCTCTCCCTTACAATTCTCCCGCTTTTGTGCTGGTTAGTAGTAGACTGGTCAACCATCTCCAAGGGCTGCCGCGCGCTCCTGTGGTGTGCCGTGGTCGATTGCTGTGCGCGGAAGGTAGTCGCGGAAGGGGAGCGAGCTAACTTTTTTCCAAAAACTTCAGGGAGGTCGTTCAGTTTTCTCTGTATTTGAATGACCTCCCTGAAGTTTTTGAGAAAAAGTAAAGGCGTCGGGCGATATATGACAAGGGTAGCGGTTGGAAGTTCGTTGGGGCGATTCGCTAGGGGTGGGCGCGTAGTGTCTTGCTGCAGGTGTGGCTGGTGTACGTGAGTAGCCTACAAACTAACAGCCGCGAACACGTTAGCACGTTCTTGACACTTTTGGCCTCGTAGTACTAGCAAGGTCCTTAAGGAGCCGCTGTTATTAGCCCAAGTTTATAACAACTTGCCCTTAAGGGACCTCCTTAAGGGAATTTTTTTCTTCTTAAGGAAAGTCATAATAACTTTTTATAATAAAAATTCCTTAAGGAAACTGATTTCCTTAAGGAAGCGCCTTAAGGAAGCTCCTTAAGGGAGCTCCTTAAGAGATTTCTGGGAATTGCTAATACTATAAATACTAATATAATGAGATGGATGGATACTTGGAATGTTTTTGGGCCTAGTCGATCTAGAAGATTCTCGTAAGTAGCCATAAAGATAATTGAGCTGGTGTAACGGAAAACAACTCCGGATAATCTATTTACTTGTTTGTAGTTCTGTTTCTTGAGTTGTTCCCTGCTTACCTGACTTACTACCTCAATAACCTCCCAAACAAAGATTGCCTCTTCCACTTCCTCCTCTCTAACTCCACCCCCGTTCGCCTCATCGTTAGAGACCGAGACGTCGGGAACCCTCTGCTTTTTGTCCCTGACGAATTCCAAGAGATCGCAACGATTGCAAATCTGAGACCCCAGAACCTCGATGCCAATTCCTTAAAGCTTGCAAAAAACACACGTGGAGCCAGTACCTACGATGGTCGAGTGCGCTTGGACGAGGCGCACGTACCAGTGTGGCAGAGGATGGATGCGCAGGAGGATGGACTCACTTAAGGAGCGAGGGTGTTGTTGAGGATGGGGTTGTTGATAGTAGAACCAGCGCTCGCCCGAGGTGGACATCTCACAGGGACAACTAGGGCAACTCAAATCTAACACTTATGTGGATTTTGCCAGCAGGCTTTGCTGTAAATTGGAAGTTGTAGTAATTGGGCGTCAAGAAAGCATAATTGATTAATTATAGGATGAAGATGATGAGGTCGTGGGATGTCAACTCTAACTCCCCTTCGAGCAAAACGACCGACAAAAAGGCAGACAAGGGAAACCCCTAGTTTTGTGGGCAGCGGGATACTCGCTCCAGCCAGGCAGTCATCTGATGTTCAAGACGTGGAGATACGAAGGTCCAGTAGTCGGCAAAGGCACCTCCGCTTTAGTGGACGAGGAACAAATCGTTCGCGGTGAGGGTATGGTGCCGGAGAGGGAGATAGAATTAAGGCTCCTTCACTCTAGTAGATGAAAGCATATCAATCTACTTCTTTTTAGTCACGACACCTCATTTCCAACAAGGGAAAACTATTTCTTATTCGGACACCACCAGGATGCTCAGCTCACGGGGCCATGGCTGGATTTCTAGTAAGGCCTAGTCTAATATAAGTCGGAGAAGAAATCGAATTCGAGTACATGTTGAACGGCTGCGGCAAAGTGGCTGGTGTAAACCAGTGGATCACGAATTTTGCACCGGATATGAAGTCCTGGGTTTTCGTAGAGGGCCAAGAGCGAAATTTGGACCCAACACCGGTGTTCAAGATCAATACGGGAGAGTTTAAGTATTTATGGGTATAACATGTTGATGGCGTTTGGAAAAGTAGTTCTGGTGAGTAGTTAGTTGGACGACTTCTAGCGGGATTCTGTTTCTGTCAGTCTCATTGTAGCCGCACAAGGCGCGAAATAGGCCTCAAAAATTCACCTCTCTTAAAAAAGTGCTTTGTAAAGTTGGGAAACCTCCGAAAGGATTGGCAAAATCAATCACAAAAGAATTTGACGCTCCGAGGACGACCTCTAACAGAATACCGGCCAACGCTCGACCTCCTCGGCATTCGACGCGTCTCTCCGGATATCAAGTATGGGCTGAACCTGAGGATTCGGTCTTTTTGGCGAAACCCTTTATTAAGGCTAAAGAAATCCGTCTTCTTTTTTTAGCTGCCCTCTAAAAAAGCTGCTGTCAGTCTAAGGGAAAAGAAGCACCAGCCAGGATGCTTGTGGAGATGGATTTCTCTTGGTTCTAACTTTAGATATCGAACTGGACGACTCCGAACTACCGACGATCAACATCAAGGGCGTCGTGCCTCCGCAGAAGGAGTGGGAGGCCTTAGCTGAGAAAGTCAAGAGCATCATGCGGCTGGTGCCGACTAGAGACGATGAAAATGTTAAGGCTTTTGTCAATTACTCTTTGGTAGTGGTGTGAGGTACAGGTATTATAGGGTGCACGTTTCCTATCCTATCCACCTATCCCGGTGCAGTGAGATATCCTGAGAAGTGGAAGCCCCCAGATAGACCTGAAGAGAAGTGGAAACCGCCTGATAAATTTCAAGAGGAAACTTACCAGGGGCTTGAAATCTAAGCTCACTATGTGACCACTCAGCTCAATATAGACCGCGGTCGATAGTGATTGACTACCTTTAAGAATGCTGGTGGCGGTGGGGACAGGAAAAGTCAGGCATCAATCAATAGTCCGGGGAGAAGCTCCCTGGGTGGATCCAGTGCGGACGTTGAGCTGGCGTCGAGTGTAGCCACAGACGTAGGGGTAGACGAATTCCTGGGAGTGCGCGTTGTTTGCCCAGTGTATCGTGCACCGCTGATTCCGTACTTGCAGGTGTCAATGAAGACTGATACAAATTCTTGTGCTGTTAGTCTTGATGTTTGTAATGTGTAAGTCTTGATGTAGTTGATGTTCATCATGGAGATTTTGATATACTGTCTGAGTAGTCATTTCTCTGATTTTTCTTAGTGACAATAGACGCATACATCACCATGATGACTATCCCAGGCCGCATGGCTTTCGACGCAGAAACACAAGCATACTAAGACCAGAGTAGCGTCCCAGAAACTAGCAAACGAGATTCGAGGCGGAAAAGCTGGGTATGGCACGACAGGAGACCTACTACATTTCTTTCTCTAGCAAAAAGTTCTAGAAGTAGGTTGTCAGCTTGTTTCTATCCAAAAGTCGTGGTTGTAACAATTTTCAACTTTGAGCGACCAGCCGCTTCGTCCTCAAACAAGAGTGCTCAGTCTCAGTGCTGCTTGTTCTACAGTCCTCATCATTCGTCCACATCCAACATTGTTCTTGCCCCAACACTGTTCTTCACCTCCTTCATCTCCTTACGAAAGGCGGCCAGGCGGTTAATCTGGACAGTCCAGAAGAGATGAAGTTTGCCTTGCTGCCGTCCGTCGCCTTCATGCTTCAGTCCAGCATTGGCTTAGGAGACTTTGGCGCGTTGAGTCTTCCACTACAGGAATACGCTAGACCGGGACGATCTCAGGGTGCATGGTTTGAAAACGTGGCTGCAAGGATGGAAGGAATGCCACCTGCTTATCATTAAGGCTGTAGCTAGTGCATCTTTGACTGCATCCTTGAAACGTATGAGGGAGTATTACAAGGGAAGACCCCCCTATACTTTTCAAGGATGCACTTCAAAGAAAGGTGAACTTCTTCGGACAGTTCTAATATCAAGGCCTCGCACCGATGAAGCATGTGACTTCGGATCCTGTCGCGACAGTTGTCTACATTGATGTCTTCTCGGAACAGGAAGTTAAGAGAATTGATGATGCTGAAGATCGTAGCCCACGCCATTGATCTCTATCGGGGGATAACGGTACAAGAATATTCGAAGACTCAAAATAACCGAGTTACTGACTCACTGAAATAAGGGAGGTACTAGCTTAACGCCAAGGCTACTCTTCCTTCTCATCAGTATCTCGGTTATTCTGATCAGTTGCCTGCTTATTTCCGTAGTTTTTCGAATAGTCGCCTTAGTCTTACATGATACATGGATTGCAATTGCATCTGTACACTGCTTTCTTTGCAGTTGTTTGCACGGCTGCTAAGGGTGCCGTAAATCTTCTAACAACCGAAGTCTCTGGTGGGATAACGACGCTCGGATGGGCAGAAACATTAGATCGCAGAGTCTCTTCCGAGTGAACGATCATATGCAGTTCCTGAATCCGGCAGACTACTTCCTCAACAACATGCAACTTTTGGATGACGAGTTCACACAGAGTCCGATCTTGTATGCGGATCGGAAAAATACGACTGTTTTTATGGTCGTGGCACTGGGTCGCACTAGTGCTGGTGGAATAAATTTGGAGTTTGTTACATACTACTTAATACTTGCGTAGCGTCATAATTGGCTTGTGTCATCTTACAGCCCTTTTTTTATTCAAGAAAGAAGGATTAGGAATGGTTGCCAACAGCGTCAATTATTTCCGATAATCAGCGCTGTCTTTATATCTTCTGTACCCCATGGTTGTGTACGCTTCTACCACCTCTAACTTCCACCCTGACGGCAAGGACGTGGTGACCATGTGCTTACAGCCCTTTTACGATTGGGCCGAGAGGGGCAGTCCGCAAGTGGTCGAGCTTTACCTCAGTAATAAAGCCTTCTGGGAAACGGAGCTCACCATGTTTAGACGTGACTGGACAGTAATGGTACCGAAGATGGTGGGGGTTAATAAAGTTAAGGCTTTGAGGATGGGCTTGATCTTGATCTTAACTAGGTTCTTTAATATCTCTGTTTCTATTTTTTACCTCAACATGTTGAAATATTAGGTGCATGAAGAAGGCCTCGCCCTCGTCTAACAAAAGCCAAGCTAGCCATATGGTGCGGAAGGTGTTTTTTTGGAACACAGGCCGCCTGAGTCGGATGATGCGCGCATTCGGGTGGAGGTAATTCTACAATAATCAAATTGCAGAATTCCGTTAACAGGATTACTTGTTCGCCGTCGTCAACATTTCGCTCTTTCTTGTTCCCCTTGGAACAACATACTCACTGCACTCCGTGTTCCAGCACACATTCGAAATCTTCAAGGTACAAGTCCCGATATCATCGACCAACGCATATTCAACTGGTGGTGCATGGGAAAACGAAAAACCTGATCATGCCACCAGACGAACAAAAGCAGCCAGGAGAGGACGAAGATTCTGAAGATTAAGGGTAGTGCCTCCAGTCCTTCTTAATCTTTTCTATATTATGTATGAGGAGTATCCCTAAAAACGTGGGTCTGGCGCTGGGCGGTATTTCCGATAAGGAAGTAGAACCCTAGTCCCTAGAGGTCGAGCATCGTAACCGTATAGAATACAAGGGATACAATTCTCCATTTTTTGGGATACCTGCCACAGAAGTGCTTACACAAAGGAGACTCATCAGGTCTCGGGATACCCACAGAAGTGATACTCTTGAGGGACACCCAATAAAATCACAAGTGATACTCTTGAGGGATTCCCGTATAGACACTACAGAAATGAATAACGCGTGGCTCTAAGAAAAAGAAGCACTAGAAGCGGAACTGTCCGGCGAGACCGTAGAAGAGAAAGCTGAGCTCAGATCCCAAGTAGATCCGAGGTCGAAGTTAAGACTCCTCATGGTGTTGATTATATTTGGCAGTCTGCACTGAATACTGTGCGAGATTAATTGTATCGTATTGTATTGCTTCACTGTGCTCCTTTTCCTCATTTTGAGAAGGTAACCTACTACCTCGCTACTTGTGATTAAGAAACAGCCTCAAAGTCAAGTACCAGATGGAAGACGCTCACACTGAATTATTATAAGATATATAACTACGTGAACTCCTAAGTCATAGCGCTTCATTCTACCTCTACTATGTCTAGTTCCACCATTTTGGCTTCTACCTCGTCATCTTCGCGTACGATAACAGCAAGGGCTTCTACCTGATCTTCTAAGACAAGGCACAAAGCAAGCAGTCGCAAACCTAGAGTATATGCGGAAGAAGGAGGGCAAGTCACTAGCGGAAGTGGACGCTGAGCGGGAGAAATTTCATCAGTGGACATTTCTGAGACCGGTCGGTCATATCATCACGGAGCATGATTTATGAACAAAGAAATGGCACCGATGGCGCCCTAGGTTTTGGTTTGGTTTGTATTACATTTCATGATCATTCATGGTGGGGGCTACGTTTTGTTCTTCGGAAATTTAAGATCTCACTTTTAAGTATTGAATTAGAATTTTTACTAGCAGTTCTAGTTCTAGTTCAACATGTTGTTGGTCGTCGTGGGTGCTCTTCCTCTTAGTCATCTTCAATCTGGGTTGATCACGATCATTTGTTGATTATTTGTTGCCCAACGTGCTTCTTCATCTCACCGTGACTCCAAAGTTCTGGCACGCTTCCGCATGATCCACTTGATGGATGAGCCTCTGGATGGGTATCACGAGGACTATGCCGCAGAGGTAGAGGAAAAGGACGAAACCTTGAGGCATGCCATCCTCTTAAGGCTACGTACCGCTGAAGCATCATCCTCAGAATCGTCATTTTATTTGGGTCTTTTTCTGCTTGAATAAGATGTTGCCAATGATGTACTAGTTGCTACCAAGGCTCATGCCAAGAATGCGGTAGCTCTAATGCTTGGAGAATGCTTATCTTCTGCGGATGAGGGGGTCTCGCCGGCTGATGCAGGTGGAGACGGAGGTGCTGGAAGTGGTCGACGGAAGGATGATAGTTATGATGGTATTGCTTGTTCTTGGGAGGCTGATTCAAATTCATTGTTATATTGTTTTTCCTTCTACTGAACGAAGAGTGAAGATTCTGTTGTTATTCTTCTCGCGTCCATGCAATCTAACGACGTCTTGCTCACTCTGTCTTCCTCATTGTCATGACACTCATCTAACGTCAAGGTACTGTAGTCTTCCTCATTGTCATGACACTCATCTAACGTCAAGGTACTGTAGTAGGTGCCGCAGTTGCTGGTGGCGGAGGTAGCGGAGGTGATTCTAGACGGCCGTCGAAGGGTGTTAGTTCTCCATCGGCTGGAGCGAAGAATAAATCCAAGCAGATGTATCCGAGATACTCAAACAACTTCGTGACAGTAAAGTACGGCCTGCGAAGCACTGATGGTCGACGAATTTTACGAGCACAAGTGGTGTGGGCGCCGCCTAAAGAGCGGCATTTATTCGCCGAACCAGGTGAAATTCTTTTTGTGTTGAAGCTGTTGGAAGGCGAGAACGAAGGGAATTATATCCAAATCGTGGCACCAGGATTCGATCTGCGGTTTCCGTATTTATGCTGAGAGAAACGAAGTAGTTTTTGTTTTAGATCAAGACGAAAACAGCGATCAGTTGTCTGCATAAAACAAAGAGTATGCTGCTGTATGCGGAATGGAGTCTCCACCTGCACGTCGACGTCTCTCCTCGTTCTGATTCATTACTGTAGCTCATCTACTTCTACAGTACAAGTTGTACGTACAAGAAGTATTCCTCTCTTCTAAGAAACGAAACAAGCTACTATGTCCGCAAGACCTTGATGGAAAGGTGGCGCACATTAGAGAGGCAGATCGCGGAAACGACAAAGAAGATCAAAGATGCTGGAGACCAGACATCCCACCAACCGAAGAAGAAAAAGAAGCAAACAAAGAACGAGGAGGTAGACTTGGAACCAAACGGGTTTTCTGTCAGTATACCTGTTATGGCTGGTGTAAATAGATAGACTTGAAGAGGAAAATATATAATACAGAACACACGTCGGACACAAGAACACAGCTCGGAGACCAGGTCTGACAGTCTGGCGCTGGCCTTTACATTAGCAACCTGGCTTTCTTTGCTCCGCTGTTGAGTCAAGGATCAGACCCTTCCTCGTCTAACCGGATCCGCTCGAACGAGTTTGTGGTGCGGTTATTTCGAAGATATGGAGCTTCGATTTTTGACCGAGAGCAAACGGAGAGCTGGTACCGGAAGTATTTGGGTGACGTCTTCGAGCCCGTTTTCAAGGATGCCCTTGCTATGGTGAAGATGGTGTATCTACATGTACTAGCTAGCTAATAGCAGGTGGTACTTATTTACTGGGTGACCTCACAGGTACTTAGACATGCACAGCTACAAACGAGGTTCCATGACGTGACACGTGAAGGTGGTGAAGACGCAGAAGTGCAAGAAGTAGGTAGGCTTAATAGTTTTTAGATCAAGTTCTTCTTCTAATATCACCCAAGAAGTGGAAGAAGTCCAGAGCAAATCGGGGATGACAACGGACAAATGGAAGCACAGGTTCCAGATGGATTCCATGAACATCAGAAAAGACCTGGTAGTGGGCGAAAGCATGTTAAGGCTTCTTCGATTCCATTTGTTCTTCCTCACAGGCACTAGTACTCTCTCCGCTCCGATGCCCATTTGTTCTCTCTATTTAGGTATGGATCGATCATTCGATTTGAAGGTACAACGGGGAGGGTGAATCGCCTCAAGATCGTTAGTTACAGGATGGAAATAGAGGTGTCATGACATGACAGCCGTATCCTATACTTACAACTCACGACATTTAGAGAATATAATTCTTGACGAGGGATAAGGAGGACAATCCCCAGGGATGGATTGAGGGAAGCCCTTCTAAGCATGGACTTCGTGGGCGAGCTCAAGGGCCACGTCACCTTAGAGGACATCCCGGCATCGAAACTCGATATGGTGCCAGAAGGTGCAGACTTCTTCGAGACCATACCCCAACCTCTGCCGATCCCACTCAACCGCTTCTGGCAGACTGATACCATGATGGTGCATATTTACTTATGACTTGAGGATGGACACCTGCACCTCCATGATGGGAAAAAAAAGATAAAAACTGATGTTGCTTGTAAAAAAGCTACGCTGTTTACTTATGGTTTTCTGAGGACGAAAATGACAGTATATTTAATCAATGGGAGATACATTTGGTGCGTGATGCCGATCATTAGAGCGACGTTTTTGTCTCTTCGTTTCACTCTGAGTTTGGTGTCAGACCATGAGAAAGATTCGTGTGTTACAGACAATTCTCCCGAGGATCCTCCTTTTCCCTCTAATCTCCGTCCTCACTGCGCGCAATCTGATCAACAGCGGTGGGGTTGGGACAGTGTGTCCTTACTTAACCGCAACCGCTGGCGCAACAACCGTGGTTAGCGAGAAGCGATCAGCAGAAGCGACTAACAACCCAGATTTTTACTTATGACTTGGACAACAGTTGGACTACTATTAAATCTTCACTTAATATGACTTGGACATTGAAGCTCGTGCTCGTAATTTCTTCGTTCCTCAGAACATCAAATGCTCCACATCAAATGCTCCACTAGTTTCTCTTCTACGTCTTGTGTGAAGTACGTATTTGAACCGCAGTTCTTGACTTCCTTAAACTTCTTTCCTTATAAAGCTCATCTAATCTCGGAACATTTCGAAGTTCCACTACAAATTCCTGGCACCGATGCGGTGACGATCAGCGTAATGAATCAGGGCACGATCAGCGATACCAAGATCGGGCAAATCGACGTGGATATCGAGGATCGATGGCAAGCCGTGTTGCAGAAAGAGCTCACTGAAGTGACTACGCTCAAGTGGTTGCAGAGATTATGGCCAGCGTAGAGCTGAGATTACACGCATTCTCAACTGTTTCAACTACTTCTATAGAATTATCCCGATGATTCGGAACTTCCATAGAACTAGTACCTCGATCCTTCGGATGTAGAAGTTCTTCGTCCCTACTGGCAAAAGACTATCAGATGAAAAAATTTATGTCAGTCGTGAAGCTACTACAACCTAGTTACTTACACCTCGAACTGAAAAAATTTGTGTCAGTGAAGCTACTACAACCTACTTACTTACTCACACCTGAAGATCAGGCACAATCATCATCATGAAAATATTTGTGTCAGTGATCGCCCTTTTTCATCCTCCCATCTTTCCGAGGAGGGCGTGGATCCAGAGGATGGCGACAGGATTCCCTCTAGTGTTGCGCCAGGCAAGCCTTTCCCGATTGAGTTCGGGCAATTGTCCCACATCGACCCAGAATCCAGTTTGAAGACACCTGCTGGCAGCATTCGGTATTGTTATGGCTTGTTGCACTAGTCATCGTCATGATTGATTTTGATAAGCGCAGTTGGCTTAGAAGTGGTTACTTAGGCGTTGACCTGTACACTTATGCGGACTTTGGAGGTTGACACAGGATGCTGAAAAAGGGGACAAGGGGAGTACGGCCAGTAGTACTGGCAAAATACGAGAGGGGATACAGCATTTTCTCCTTCATCTCCATTCAGATTCAAAAAAAAAAATTAGTTTATGATTCTAATCTACGACGGTCTCTTGTGGTCTCGTTTCGTTTTTAGTCTATATTAGTCTTCTCCCCTCCTAACCCACTATTTCAAAAAAAACCCATCGATGACCTATGTAGTTTTTTTTGAAATAGTTTTTAATTCTAATCTACGGTCGACTTGGTTCCCACCGAAGAAAATTACCAGAACTGTGAGATAGCGGCGGCAAAAGCAGCAGCCTGCTTTGAGATCCGGTGTACGGTATGGAACGTCAAGGGCGTGAGCATTTTCAAAGATGACGGACAGAGGAACGATCTGATTGTGCGAGGGACGCTGATTGTACGAAGTATAGCAGGGGAAGTGACGAGATATACGAAAGTACTACTTATTCTCGATCTACTAGTAGCTGCTAGTCCTGGATTCTAGCAAGAAGTAGCTAGTACTAGGTTTTTTACAGTCTACTTCTAAATTGTTCAAGAATGTGCTAGAAGCGTGGATCAATGCTAGCTGTTGGCACTTCTAGTCTATGAACAATGCTCTTTACCAGGAAACCGATTGCCACAAGCTCTGCAATGCAGACGGTAACTTCAACTGGCGATGGAAGTATGACGTCGATTGTCCTGCTGCGAGTGCCAGTCTAGTGCTGCAATTACTGGACTCAGACGCGTTGTCGGATTCCGAACCACTCTACGATCCTGAAGTTGTGCCTCTCGATCACCACTTGCGCCTGGCTTACACGAATTTCAGGGATAAGCCAGGTACTGATAGCCTGATGCTCCTTTCTACTAGCCGGATATCATAAGATCAAATACATCTCCTGGGGTTACACTTACAACTTTAATCTAATTTAAATATCATTGCAACTTTAATCTAATGTCAAGGACATTGTGGGAGTGCTTCTAAATCCACACTAGTGGTGTTTGAATATGCTATATCTAGTACTACATGATGTACATGTACGTCCAGGTACTATATTGGTGTTTGAATACACCTGGACGTACATCATGTACTAGATTCGGAACAATGTGCTGATATTTCCCTATCTGCAACTCTCACCAGAAAGATGAGATGAACTAGAACTCGGCAACATTGATTTTGATCCTCTAGTACAACGTCAATCCAAATTTTGAAAGGTGAAGTCCTCGGCGAACGTAGGGTGCATGTCGTATTTGATTCGTGGCCTGCGGACGCGCCAAAACCTGTCTCCGTTTCCTGCTGTCCATGCTGTAACAGGACGCGAAATCTTATGGCTTCCAGCATGGGTGACTGTTTCACTTTGATCATTACTTGCATTTGAAGGCTGTATTCCAAACTCCTTCTTCCTCGAGATTATGTAAGTGCAACGAACTTTTTTTTTTTCAAATTCAAACTTCACTTACAGGGTCGTTAGTAGCGTTGTAGTCATACTTCGTCGCAGCATCACGCTTGTGACGCCTTCCGCTTTGTGTAACTGAATAAACAAGTAATAACAAGAGCCGGCCGCAACTCAGTACAGTGGAGCAAGGACAGGCGGGCAAAATAGCACGGCCCTCCCTCGGTCTTGCCGTTCTTCTCGTCTTCTCCTAACCTAACACTTACCTGCGAGGTTCTCCCTTTCCCTTAACTCTTCTAAGACCCCAACGCCAGCAACGCTGATGGCCGATATACATGTAGTGCCAAAAGTCTGGGCCAATGCGAACCCAGTAGGCGAGGGACGTGAAGGACCAAAGCCGCTGCCGGATCCAGAGTTATGAGTTCTTCCCTTCCTGATGTTTGTCGTAGTTCTCATGGAGGACATGATCGACGGTGATACCTAGTGTCTTCAGTAAGTACTTACGTTGATGTTTGTCGTAGTTGTCATGGAGGACATGACTGACGGCGATATAGCAGATAAATTACTAGAGACGTCATACATAAGAGATGTGCCTGTGATTTCAGAACTCTTATCAGAAGAACCCATACCCAACCTCCATTCCCTTCCTTCTAATCCTTGGTCGCGTTTCCTGGCAGAGTGCCTTGAAAAATCCAGTGATGTTGATGAAGCTTTTGCTGGGGCCTCAAAAAGTGGTTTACTGCCGATGGCTTTGTGGTTGCACGTTCTTTACCACGTTGGCGCTGTCAGTTTTTTTAAGGCTGGAGTCGAAGTTCAAGTTGTTTACTGAAAAAATTGGAGCTGGCTCTTCTTGTTGCAGTGCAAGTACTTCATGAAGGAGGGGCTAGAAGTAGTGCTGTAATCTTGCACTGATACTGATACTGAAGTAGAAGAGAAGTAGTGCTGTAATCTTGCACTGATACTGATACTGAACCTGAACAACCTGAAGCCTTCGGAAAGCTAGCTGGCAGTCACTTTTAGCCTTCCAAAGTTGATCTCCATGTAGTTACTCGGACATCTCTAACAATCGGCATCCTCTTCTTGGTAAGCCAGACGGCGGGCAGTAGCGGTTTGGGGGTCATTGACCGATAGATCTCCGAAGATGCGAGGATAGAGAGCAATCCTTCCTCGATTCGGGGAAGGCTAACGTTTTAACCGCCTGGGTTATGGACGCCCAAAATCCAACAACCACACACACTACACATACAAGGTACGAGAGAGATAACATTTTTTCATTGATCACCCTAAGACCGGACTTGGACTCTTATAACGCTGTCTACGTAGGAGAAGTTGGGAATATCGTAACAATAAGGAAATCCACCAAAGCATGTTGTTCGAAGCAAGAGCTGAAAGTGAGTACTTCTGTATATCAGTATTAATACAACACCAGCGTCAATGTACTGAGTTGAAAAGGGTGCGGTAGTAGTAGAAGTGTTGAAGATTGCTACCTTGACGTTTCATTTTAGGTTGAAGATGATAGATCATCATTTTTTTAGGCAAAACCAAGGTTGTACTATTGAATAGGCGAAACAGATGAAAAGCTTGAAGGTCCTATCTTAAATATTAGCTCAGTCATAATTTTGAAGGTTGTTGTACTCTTTGTGGGACATGGAAGTAAGAATCTAGCTGGTCTACGTCGTCTACTTATAAGTTTTGAAGAAGATATTTTGCAGGGGTGCTTGTTAGTTGCGTCAGAATTCCTCTAGATAGCGGGGATTTTATCTTCAGGTAGTGAAAGCACTGTCTAGGCATCCTTAGTCGGTATTGTGTCGTTTCTGTCTCGAGGCCCTACCATCGCGCGAGATCATTGTATGACACGAGAATGAGGACGGAGTGTGCTCGATGCTTTCGCTCTTTCTTCCTGCTCTTTAACTGACTAGTGGCTAGTCATGGCCCGGCTCGCGTTGGGCCATCAATGCCTTTAACTTTCGTTGATGCGGCCAGCTCTAGGTTCTAGCATGGTGAACCGGTACCCTTGGACTTGTTAGAACAGGCGAACTAGAGCTGGTGCGAGCACCTACCTCCCCTTGTCTCCTTTCGCCAATCGGAGCTGGAAGGTGGGACGCCAGGGGCTGAAGCATCCCGTGTTTAGCTAAATTAATAACTATTTCACTTTCTCTTCTTTCAACCTCGCCTCTTTTGCTTCGATGTACGAGCGATGAGCGTGAGAGAGCACAATACAGCTGTAGCCCAACGACCTCTTGTTGCTGTACTTGCTCAATGATCAGGGACAACGACGGACAACATCTCTCCTCTATATCTTCAGGTAGTGAAAGCACTGAGTGCTGACAACAAGAAAACATTTTTTACTCTAGATAGCGGGGATTTTATCTTCAGGTAGTGAAAGCACTGAGTGACAACAAGAAAACACTCTGTATGTGTCTGTTGATCCAGCCAACTGTCTAGGTTCTAAGATATAGAAAACAGTAAAAAACAGTACTTTCTCACACCAGCCATGCTGTAGACTTATCTTCAACATGAGGGTGAACGATACTATCTTCAACATAACGAGGATGAACAATATTTGGTAGATGGCAGGCTACTTATAATATGACTATGACACAAGAAGAAGAAGAACTTAGATAGGCATGAGTCCAAATTGAATTTGAATTATGGTTGCAATCAGGTCCTCGTAAATCGTAATGAATTATTACCCCAAGAAGAAGAAGAACAATGGAGGTGGTTTTGTGTAGCACTATGTCCACTGGAGGCAGCATGATATAATTGGATGGCCTCAAAAGTCGACATTAATAGCTACACAAGAGGCGCCGCGACATGACACTTGTGAAAGAAAAACCTAGCATGGCGGAAAATGGAGAGTCGAAATACTACTACTTGGCAAGTCGCCCGATGTTTGCTGTGATCATGTTGTGGTGTGTTTGCTGTGATCATGTTGTAGTCTGTTTACTGTGAAGATGAGACATTCTCTGCTTTTGCTATATATAGCTGAGAAGACAAGAGTCGGTCAGCAGTAGAGATCGTTAGAGATCGTTTCTTCTTAGGAAATTGTATTTCTGGTGTCTTGAGAGCACCTCAATGGCGGCCATAGCCTTGTGCGTGCAATGAGAGTGTCTTTCCGCTACTTGTTCAGGAGCACAAGAAGGATTATCTGTAGAGGATGAGTGAGCGTCCTCCGAGTTGGAGGATGCTGTGACTTTAAGAATTCTGTGGTCCTGGGTGACGGCCGTAACTGATTCTGTAAGGGTTAGGCTTTGTGAGGATGAGGAAAGGAGTAAAAGAATTCTACTGTCGTGAGTGAGCGTTTGGGGTGCAAGATGTTGTTGCGAGTAAAGGGAATCTGTCGTGAGTGGTGGGTGTCGAGATAATAATTGCAATAAAATTAATATGTAAAATATATTATGGCCTTTAAATCTAATTAGCTCGGGGGCCCACGGGTTAAGGTCGAGAACGCCCTCGATAGAGGCCTGCGGGAAAACCTTTGGGGGGTTATTTTCCACCCCCATCAGTTTCCCTGACCCTCTCGCCCCTGCCTCCTTGGCCCCCCTGTGGGGTCTCCTGTTGGGTCCCTAGTGGTCTCCCTGCTTCGAAATTTCTTTGCTCTATCTGGGGTGACCAGCGAGTTCGTTCCCGGCTCTGGAAATAGTTTTTCCTTCCACCTCCTTTGAAACTAACTGAAAACTCCTGTTTCTTTCCTCCATCACTTCTGTCAAACTGAACTTTGGCTCTTCAAACTGAATAGGGCGAGCAGTCTAATTATTCCTACTCGTTCACCTGGGACATTACCAGATAAGTTCAGGTCTTCGATCCGGTGCTGGAGCTGCTGCCGGTGGCAGCGGAGGACGCCACCAGCAGCGTCCGTCCATCGCGAAGACGGTGCTTCATCTTGCTCCCACGACTCTCTTAAGGCTGTACTAGCTAATTCATCTTATCATAAGGATAAGTGGCATCCCTGATCCTGAAAAGGCTCTTCCGATTGTTGTAGACTTCTACAGGAAGGTGGAAGCTGTAAGCCGTAGCGACTTTGTAGTGCTTGCTTCTTGGTTCTTTCTTTCTTGTCCCTCCGTCTGTCTTGATCTCCGCTCTCTCGAATCTGCAGGGCCAGGGGGGAGTGTTGCGGCGTTCCTGATATGAAAGGGATGAGATTGTTGAGACAAACTGAGAACCAGGGGCGCCTTGTTGCTTAGGCCGCTGGCATATTGGCCACCTTGTGCAGAGAAGAGAAAAGCCTTGAGAGTATAAATTTGATTGGCAGGAGGAGGAGTGTGCGCCGAGTAGAGCGGAGAGGCAAAAGTGGTGAGTGTCTATCAAAAATCTGTGAGGGTCCACCAATCTGTGACTGAGAGAAGTGTCTATGTATTGCTTCTTCTACATCTCTTTCTCTGCAATAAAGTGATTTCCTACAACATCTGCTGTGAGTGTCCTCTTTCTCTTTGAAGTCTGTAGCCTTTGACGTCTGTAGCCTTTGACGTCTGTAGCTTTTGAAGTCTGTAGTGGGTCTTTGAGGTGAGTCAATGTTGATGAAGGATTGCATCTACTAAGAACTTAGTGCTCCTCACATCTTGATCTGGCAGCTGTTCTCATGTGCCCACTTTTTCCCCCTCCTAGAATTAGAAGACCACTCTCGTAGAATGAAAACTGTTTGTCGTAGTTGTTCTCCTGATGATCATTCTAAAAGTCAGATCTAAAGTATAATCCTCACCGACTCCCTTCTTTTGATAAGGATATAGTTTATTAAGTTCTAGCAAATAACTACACTAACTGCTTGTAAACTTCCTCGTAAAATAAATTTAGATGAGTGCTTCTCCACAAGCTCCCGTGGTCTCGTCTCCACCTCTTGCGGAGGAGGACTTAATGACGCGAACAGGAGGCTCTTCGAATCAGGTTGGACTAGGAGCACCAAGGGACAGCAATGCCAGCCGCGCCTCCACGATGTCCGGAATGCAAATGGAGGACATTCCGCCAGAATCTTTGCAATTATATAGCACCGCGCTCCTTCCTCAGGAGGAAGAGCTCAAGGAGCGGATGCGCGAGGGAGCTGCGTTGGAAAATTTGTGGCTTCTTGCCGAAATCCCTGAAGCAATGGCAGGTGTACGAGGTCAGGGGATGCTTCAGGGTGGAGCAGCTAAAACGAAAGGGGGCTCAGGCGGCGTAGGGGACGCGGAATCACAGAGTGGGTCATCTCCATTAATTTCTGGATCAATTATGGCTGCTTGTAGAAAAAATACTCGACTGTTGTGTGTAATCAACTACAAACTTCGCTACATTCATTGATCTACTTTGACACTGCGAGGACTTTTCTTCAGAATCATTCGATCAATGAATGAATCTGAGAAGTAGTTGTAGTAGACCACTAGTTCATCAACTTGAACTTCTCTTATCGTCGTGAACCAACAGCAACTTTTCCACCCTTCTAATGCCAGCAAACAAAGCAAGCAATTGCTGTTGATATATTTCCGAAGGGCCACGGACACGCATCACACGCCAAGTGTGTCTGCATCTTCGCAGTTGTCAAAACAGGTTAAGAGGGTGGAGCAAGGCAATCCCACTGGGGGAGCACGGAACTCGAAGGTGCCGTTCGATAAGCACGAGTCACGTGGGCGATACCATAATACAAAAGTTATGCTTATGGTTGTACATAATTGTAGTGCTTGTGCTAGTTACAAGTAGTTGTACATCTAATTGCGGGACGTGTATGTTCATGCTCTATATTTTTACAATAATGACGAGGATATCGAAAGCAAATAAAGCTAGTACAACTAGTGCGTCTTTTCGTACAAGAAATTTTCAAAAGCAACTCTATCTGTGCGTCTTTTCGTACAAGAAATTTTCAAAAGCAACTCGTACAAGAAACTTTCAAAAACGATAGAATGCGTCTTGTTCCAAGACCTTTCTACGTCCTTGTCAATCTTGAAGATAGGCTACCGTTAGAATGTGTCTTGTTCCAAGACCTTTCTACGTCCTTGCTTGAAGATAGGCCACCTCTGCCTCTAACAATCGTGGCCAGCAGGAGGAAGGCAATGAAGGTGGCATCTTCGCTGCGTTACTATCGGAAGCGCCAGATGTCGCGTTGACACACGCGTGGCGCCTAGAACGTGGCTCCATGTTCCTCACGGCATCCGGAAAGCCTCAGGCCTTGAGCTACACAGGGAATAAGTGCCCTGATAGGTACAACTTACTCTAGGTAGTAGTTCGTCCTTCTATAATATTATTTTTACAAAAGCTTGATCCAGGCAGGGACCAAAACGATCAAATCTCGTTTAATTATTGTTATAAGATGAGCGATAAAAATGGACGAAAACTACAGCAATAGAATTAATATTTATATTGCCTGCTCTCCTGCACCTGCACCTGCTGTGACAAACACAGGACCTCCATAGCTCCATAGCTACAATATAGCATAACTACTTGTAGTTGTGCCACACTTCCAACGAACATGCATTTACTGGCACATCTACTTTACAGGTGTACGCCTTTAATGCTCGAGTATCCGGTGAAGCGCACAACTTTCGCCCAGCACTGGGTGATGCATGGCAAAACCCGGTCGACTTTCGAATTGGCACCCGCTGCGGCACCCTGGATGCGTGTGGGGATGAGCGCGGGTGGCGATATTGAAATCTGCTCTATGGGCCACCCCGAGAGCTTGACTTTTTTGCATCCCTTTGAAGCAAGCCAGTATATCGAGATGGAATTCGCGAGACGGCAACTGGACTCGCGTGCAGGCATGTTCAGGAAGCGAGAAACCGGAATCAGAGCAGCCGAGCTCGCAGTGAGCGCGACGTCGCAGAGGGCGCTTGCTTGGCTTCGAGGGCAATTACCCATGTTAAGGCTCAGCTTTCCTTGGTCACCATTTAGATTGGAGTCACTGAGATCGAAGAGGCGACCCCTTATTTAGAGAACACAGAGGGAAAAAGGAAGGGGAAACAAGTGGAGAGGTATGTAGGCGGCCTTGTTTGTTCAGAATGATCAGTGACCAATGACTGCTGACCTTTAACCATGGATTCTCTGCAGCTCCAAGCGCTCGGCTTGTCCCCTACAAAAAGACACGACACCCGGAAAGAAGGGCAACTTTTAGGGAGACTCGGGTTGGATATTGAGTACAACCCGCCATTCAATGGGTCTCAGTTGCGAGGCCTAGACCTCGCTAGTTTGCAAGACGACCTACAAAAAAACGGACGGGAGTACTTTCGGTACGTTGCGCTATTGACCAAAGCTTTACGCAGAAAACGGCGAGCGGAGGAAGCGGCTGAGACTGAAAGTGCTCAGAGTTAAGGCTCAGTCATAATCTTCTCGAAAACTTGAAATAACCGAGTTACAACTGACGGAAATAAAGGACGTAGCTTTTACAGGCTACTCTTCTTTTTTCAGTGTCTCCGCTATTCGCTACAACAAGTAAAGTCATTTTTCTCTGTTAAGTACTTATATTCTTAATTCATTCCTACAAGAACTAGTGAAGTCATTCACTTTTCTCTGTTACAACTGTTTCCTTCTTGGAAATGATCTCAAGAAATGACCTGAAGAATTCAGATGGATTTGTTTGAGCTCTAAGAGAGGAAGCAGCGTCGAACGACCTTTGCTTTTGGTGCAAAAACACAGAGATCCCGATCAGGATCCTTGGAGGGGAAAGACAGAATAGCTCTTGCCAGTCCTGACAACGTCAATGAAGGATCAACGGATGATGTTCAGGTGGTGGAGAAGAAGCCGTATATGAAAAGACGAAGTGCCGCTGACCCATTTTACAGTGACTGGGACGGCCTCTTCTTCAGTAAAGGCGAAATTCTAGACGACGGGGATCTCGGTTCCATTCTTGGAAATGTTATAGGTGGAAGTCCGGCTAATGGTGTTTCTCCGATTCTTGGGAGGGAGACGATCACATCCCCAATGTCGCCTCCAGTGTCAAAATTGCAAGCACAGAGGAATCTCCAGAAAGAGGAAAATGCGGCCGCGAGACGTAGTGCTTCTGCTGCAGCTCTTGGAGGATCTCGGAGCAGAGGTGCAGGTGCTGGAGGTAGTGCATCCTCAAACTCTAGCAGTTCTGGAGGCGGTAACAACTACACAAAAGGCGCTGGAAGCAATAACACGAAGCAAGCACAACCATCAATTGATCCCCTAGAGGCATTCTGGCTCGATGGTCTCGAGAGGCAGAATCAGGCGCAGTTGACGCGCACAAGGGCAGGCGCTCTAATGCGCAGACTTTCGTCATCTGGCACGGTAGGTGCTGGGAACAGCCCGGCCTCGTCCCTCGGACGCGCGACGCAACAGGGAAACAACGTCAAGGACGCTGTAAGCGCAATCTCAAAATTGCTGGTGGCTCAGAAAAACGCTTCCCAACGTGGAGAGGCTCAAACAGAAGATGCGGTCAGCAGAATGATCGAGGATGCCTCGAATCCGCAACCGACGAAAATAGCGGAAAACGAGTCTCCGGTCTCAGCGGCGCGTCGTCATCGCATCAAACACCAAGGCGCTTTGAAGAAAATGACCTCGCTGTTGGAACTAACAGGCCACAAGTTGCCGACTGGTGGATCTGGGAATGCCGCTGATTCACCACCAAGTGGCGAGTTGAAGCTTACTGGAGCCCCGATTGCTAAGAAACGAGTCGTGAAGAAGGCTCCTGCGGGAACTAAGAAGGGAGCCGTAAAAGGAGGAAAGAAAGGGGAAAGCGGCGGCGACGATGATGTTACGGCCCGTTTTACTAATTATAATTCATTACTAAGTCTAATTCTTCTTTTACTGCATCCGAAGGCTTCGTTTCTACGGTCATTATGAAGGATGATAAGAGGGACTACAGCATGCAGCATTCACTGCGTTTTTCTTGAAAAGTATTTTCTTGGGGAGCATTGATATAATTTCCTTGTGAGCAAACGTAAAGGCCGTAAACTATTCAGGGAAGATCATGCAGTTCGTTGAAAGATGATTGAATTAGGGAGTAGATGAGGTCTAATGCTGAGGAGTCAAGTGGCGTTGTCTCAGCAGGTGTGGCAAAACGGCTTAGTGCTGCTTCTTCTGCGCCTCTGGAACAAGGCTCTCCTGGTGGAGGGACGAACGGAGGAGCAGCCCCATCAGCATTTTACACAGATCCTGAGAGTCCCCTGTCATTGTCGAGACGAGATTCCTCAGCAAAAAGTTCAGCTGGAGAAGACAGCGGCCACGAGAATAGTGATGACGATCTTCTTCAAGATGAAGATTTCCAATTTTTCTTTGCTCCGGAACTGCAGGAACAAGATGAAGACGAAGAGCTTGAGCTGCAGGGAGGGGTGAGCACTCCAGGAGGAGACGATGCTGGCGCCGCATCCCCTGCTACCTCTACGCCAGTCAGGGAGCGGCCTTCGCCTGAAATGCAGACAGGGGGCGCAGCATCACAGCCAGGCCTCGTCAGTCCGAACAACGGAGCAGGAGTGACGACGGCCACTGCCTTAAGGCTGCTTCAAGAAATCCATCTTAGCCAGCATCTTGGTCCCCGTGTCCTTTCCAAAGGGAAGCAAAGCGGGCTGCATCAAGATGCTCTACAAGATGCTCGACAAGTTTTCTAGCTCTAACTACAACGCTTGCTTCACGTTTAAGCATAGCGGCAGCTAGTGCCTCTCCCACCAACAGCGGGAGCAACCTAGCAAATGCAGCAGCTGCATATCTGAACATGACATCAAGGGCTTCGCAACAGTCTCTAACATCTTTTGGCAACGTAGCAGGAGTAGGCCCTCGTGGCCGGGTGAGCGCTCTGCTCAACGGTCAAGGAACAGAGGATGGCTTGCCTTCAACGACTGGCCCTTCCGCTCCCCTACTAGAACAGCGCGTTACAGGTAAGAAACGCGAACTCCTCTCCGCATTGACCAAGGTATTTGAGAAGTTGCAGTTTCTTCGCTGTTGGCCCGCGTGGCATCGACGTGAGCTTGGCGCACAGTCGTTGCTTTTGTCCAGGATTTTCCTTTCCACGTTGCAACACGGGCCAACAGCCTTACCGAACCCAGAAGACGCGCGTGAGGCCTTCGACAACTTGGAACAAGTCCGCATACTTCAGCAAGACCTCCTAGCTTTTGGCAGTCGGGCACAACTTCCAGCGTTGGTCTTATGATTTTTACCACATTCATGGTAGATTTCTGCATTCCTCACTAGTTGTATCATCCTTGACTTATAATTTTCCACTTGGTGAATCATCCACTGCAATGAGTAGAACGGGTCATTCAACGATGATCTAAAGAAGAATGCAGAAGTTTTGCAACATCTTCATCTAGTTCTAATGGTTTCAATCCTGATCAAAATCGCAGAGTCCGCCTTTCAGATCTGTCGTGCCCTCCACGGCGCCTCCGCGAAACTGCTGCCTCCAGGACGCGTCTTCGTAACCCGCAAAGAGTCTTTGCGGATTGCCAGGGTCCTAGATGCCGAGGAGATGGACATGGCGCGCCGCTTGGTGCCTATGGGCAAGGTGTATCAGCTTCCAGAAGTGAGTGAACTCCGTGAAGAACTCGCCCATTTGTTTAAGGCTCAGAAGAATTCATTTCTACAAGTCATTTCTTGCAGTTATTTCCTTCTTGGGATTCTGAAGAAATGCAGGCAAGAAATGAAACGTTTTGAGCTCTAATTTGTCAGAAGTTCAAGATCGTTGCCGGCAGCGGCTTCACATGGCCCTGTCGCACATCCGGGACGTAGATATCCGCAGAACCAAGGAGCGGGAAACATCGACTCCCGGCGCGTTTGAGGTTCTCACAGCCACGCAAAACTTACTAGCTGGGATCATGCCAGAGGAGCTGATCTTGCTGAATTTTGGAGGTCGCCCGAAATACTCACTGTGGAAGAACGGGTTTCACCGCATGCTGAGCGACTTAGACCACTTCCGCCAGGCCTTGCACAAGGCTTGGACAGACCTAGAACTGGTACTGGAGTGTGGGCCTGCGGCGTTGCATCCTGAGCACTTTGATCCCCTGACGCATGAAGACGAGAAGATCGCACAAGGTGGGGAACATTCAAAGTCCATGACTATGTCTGATGGAAACAAGTTTGCTCCTCCCACAGGAGGCGCGGCAGGCTCATCATCTTCGCAATACGCACCTTCCCCCATTCCTGCACGAACTCCGGAAGCTGCACGACAGCTACACTTCCGAAACACGATCACTAAGATCATTCACACAAGTATCCAAAGTGAGTATTTTTCGTGGTTGTACGAGCATCTGGATATCCCGGATCATCAGAGTTTGTGGATCAAGCCACGCGGCATCGGCAAAATGCGCAGCATTCAGCAGCAGAGAGAAGACAACTACAATGTGGCACGTGGCATTCTGGCGGGTCTGGGCGTGCATACTGCAAGAGCGCAGTTCTTTTAAGGCTATAGTTTCAAAGATACTAGGATGGACCTTTCGTGATCATCTTTCTTTGTTTGATTGCATCCACCCTTGTTGTTGAGATGTGATGAACAATTTTTACGTTGTATTCACTATGATCATAGGTCTCGGCTTCTAATCGTTTTCTCCCGCGTTGTTGGTGCGCGACGACCCTCTGCTGGCTTGGCTCTACAAATACGTGCAAAACATGGTCATGTTGTGGGAAAGCATTTTGCGGACCTTAGAATTGCGCAAAGAGTTAGCAGATGTGGTAGAGAGTGGCATTGTTTATGTGTGGGAAACCGAACGGAAAAGGGAAATAGAGCGCGAAAACAAGACTCGCGACGAAATCCTGCGGTTTCAACAAGAGGAGCGCATGCTGCTGGGGTACGATCTGAGTTGTCAGCAGAGTGGACAGCACCAGGGAAGCGGCACCAGTGAGGACCTCATCATCAAAGGAGCAGTATTCATCTCTTCGGGCGATGGCACCAGCAGTTCGAACAAAGACTTCCAAGGAGCCGCGGCAACTTCTACGACTGGTCTCAAGAGAAAACTGTCGATGACCACGATGAAGGGGCTGCAGGCGAAGCGCGAGAACTTGTTAGCTTTGGAAGCTCAGTTGCTAGGTGAATTCGACCAAACGGGGGATGTGATGGATCCCGAGTTGCGTGTGAGGCATGACGAGCTGCTAGTGTTAAGGCTCAGCTTTCAATGGTCACCATTGAGATGGGTTGGTCACTGAGATCGAAGAAGCGACTTCCCCTTGAGAGGAGAACAGGGGAAAAGGAAGGGAAAGGAGAGAGCTTTAAAGGGGGTCTCTTCCGTTCTTCAGCATCATGATGGCCATTGTTGAGTGCTGAGCTTTAATAGTGGCAATTCAGGGTGAACGCCGCGAAGTGGAGCAGGTTTTATCTACCAGTGAAGCAGCAGGGGCTGCGGACACGGGTGGTCGAGTGTACGCAGTTATTGCCTCTGACGACGCAGGGAGCAGTTCGGATGTAGTTGTAAAAGCTCCCGGCGCGGCGGCGAAAAAAAAGATCGTCACGAAAAAGAAGATCATGGGCAAGAAGCCGACGCCCCCTGCAGCCGCACCTGCGTCTGCGACCCCTGACGAAGAAGGAACCAGCGCTGAGCCTGAGCAGTCGGGTGAGGATAAAGCAAAGCCGCGTACGAAAAAGGGAGGAGCCAAGGCAAAACAACAACCAACAGTTACCGATCCTGGCACATCAGGAGAGCAGGCAACCGGCGTAGCATCAAATGCAGCACAAGAGGAACTACACTCACGGAATGGGTCCATGTCACGGTCTGTTAGTCCGAAGAGTGGTATTCTCAAAGGTTCTTCTTTCTCTAAGAAAGTCCAGAAAAGTATCGAAGCGGTGTTGCAGCATCAGAAGCAGAATGCCACATTTTTAGCGGCCATGCGACCAGGGTTTGCCTTCACCGGTGTAACACTGCCAACACCTGTAGTGTTTCCAGGGTCTAACGTTAAGGCTTCCCCAAATTCATCTTGTGAAGCATCTGCCTTTGAAGGGGCTTCAAGGGGAAAAGAAGAGGGCAAAGATGCGCATCAAGATGAATAAAGGGAAGGTCTAATAACAGTGGAAGTGGAGGCACGGGCAACAAGAACATGATGAATAGGCCGTCTAAAATCATGAACAAGGACGGATCTTATGATCTTTCCAACTATGCTGGAGGCCCTTTTATCGGTAACAACATGAACAGTGCTCCTAGGCAACCTCCGCTGTCGCGCATTGAGTTTGATCTGATTGCCACAACCTCTAAGGGACAGAGGGTCGGATTATTAGACGAAAGAGTGTTGCCAATGAGAAAAGAGGGGTTGATGATCTTTGCGCTCGCAGGATCGAACATACCCGGACACTTGCCGGAATCGGAGCTAAATTACCACTCCAGTCACGACGTTCAAGCAGAATTACGCAAACTGTTGATGAAGAGTCACGCCAATTTGCTAGCTTCTCTAGAGGGTGGAGGAAGTGGTGAAACGAGTACCCTTCGTCAAGGTGGAGGGGGAGAGCTAGCTTGCGTAGGAGACCAAGCAGCTGGTGGGAGTACCAGCAGTGCAGCTGCTACTAGTAGGAGTTCTAACTCTACTACTACAACTACTAGTAGGAGTTCTCAGCAGAAGCAGGATGAGTTGCAGCTAGCGCACCATCGTCACAGGCACCGATATTTTGTTGTCCATAAACATCACGCCGTTCGCGTGGTCCTGGAGGGTTCCAGGTTGCGCCTCTACATCCTCACGTCCGGCGCCAACATGCGGCAGCCAGACACCATCTCCAACTACTACCTAGACGTTTCGGAACTCAAGGAAAACGCGCAGGTGGCGTTCTTCCATCAGCACGCAGGGCGTTCGCAGCAGTGGTTTTTCGACGACACTGATGGGACGCTGAGACCCTTTTTTAGGGCGTATGGGAATAATGCGCAAGGCCGTTTGACGCCAGCCCAACAGTTCGAGGTAGACCTAAAAAATCAGTCTAGGGCCACAAAGCGGGCAGAAAGGAATCGCGCGAGTTACAACCTGCGAGCAGCGATGGGCCTTGAAGATGTCGTAAGTGGACTTGATGTTGGAGGAGGAGACCAAGCACAAGGCGCGTATCAGAATTTTCCATATAATATTCCGGATAATTCTTCTGGTGGTGACGCGTTAATAGCGTCTCGAGGTGCTCCATTCAACGACGCGAGCAAACGTGTCTCGTTCGCACAAGGACCTGGCAGAGGTGGCGGCTACAATTTCTACGGAGAAGAACCGAGTGAAGACGACGAGGAACAGGGAAAATCCACTTCAAATGGCGGTAACTATGATGATTTGGGTGAACAACAGGTGGATCATGGAGGCGCCAACACTAGTACAGTCGATTACGCTGATGACGGTGCTGCTAGACAGCAGGAAATAGCTTCTGATAATTACAACAACTATAACATCGTTGTGGACGATGTCGATCCCGCCTCCTCGAGTAAAGACCCAGACTTAGTTGTAGATCCAGACTCCCTTATTTTCGGCGGGGGTTCTTCTTCCGCAGCAAATAAGGCAAGACCTCCACAACCTTTGGGCTTTCAATCCAGTGGACTGGTCGGCAAGGCAACTAGCACTAGTTATGCCACCAGAAGTCCTTTGGCTAGCTCGATTGGGTCATCTTCGTCAGATGAAGAACAAGGAGAAACGCAAACAACTTCTGTTAGCACTTCTGTCGTGAAAACCGTGGTGACAGCGTCGTCTACGTCTGCAAACAATCCTTTCTCAAACACTGCTGTGAACAATGATTCTTCAACGCCCAGCCCTTTTACCCTGAACCCTTCTTCAGCGGCCAACACCGATCATAGCAGCATGAGAAAATCTTTAATGACATCAGAGCAGACCACCTTTGCCGACTCACAAAATCAAGGGTCGGCAACACTCTTACTCGATCCAACGCGGAAAGTGTCGTCTAGAGGACGGGAGGTTCTTGCGTTTCCTGCAAACGCGCCAGCTTATCAGGCGGCCAAAGTGTTTAATCCGACTGCTGGTCAAAAAGACTATCTATTTCGCATCGATCAACCGAGGACCACAGCCAAAACAGAACAAAGGCGGATAAAGACCAGGTTGTCCTTGCAGGGTCTGGATTTGCAGCCAGCGGGGAAGTCGACGCATTTCGGAAAGAGTAATTTTGCTCCGACGCCAAGAACTAGTAGTGGAGTAGCTTCGAATAGTAGAACACCACGAGGAACTAGTACAACTACGGGAACTGCTTCTACAACTACAACATCAGGAGGGACAGCACCAACTACTAGATCAAGTACAACATCAAATCCAAATCTTCGTGTGTCTTCTTCTTCAACAAGATCCAGCACAACAAACAATTTTGTTTCTCACCCTGCCACGAGTAGAAACAACGTCGCTGGAGGACCTTTGCCCAGTATTGTCCGACCCTTCAGAATGGAGCACGTGGCCAGGTCTCTACGTCAGGCCTTCGACTACAAGGATGGTGGATACTACAACTGTGAGCACCAATCCCATAACGGACCAGTACTGGTGCTGGGGATGCGACAGGGCAAGATTCTATTGGTGCAAAAGGGAAGTCCTGACCAACTGACGTTCGACGCAAGCATCATGGACGTGACTGTAAATGGCGCAAGCATTTTTCCTACCAAGTTTGCTTCGTCCACAACTAATGCAGGAGAAAAGGGAGGTGCTTCTGCGGGGCCATCTGGTGCGTCAAATAATAGTAGGAAGACTGCTCCTGCTGTTGGGACAACAAGGACTACACTTGGTCTCGGTACTGCAGGAAAGAAAGGGCGAACAACGACTGCTGCAACAGAAGGAGAGACACCGAGCACTACTGTAGATACAGCACCCAAGAAGGTACAGGAGCAAGGCCCAGTCGTGATACCAACCTTGGAGGAGCTACAATGCCGCGTACTCAGAGAAATGGCTGGAGAAGTGATCAGAGGTTCTCCGGAAAAAAGTGGCGTGGTAGCGAATCAATTAAGGACCACTCAGTGCTTATGAGGACTTTCTTCATTATCACTAGTACGTGCGAGTACTAAACAATTTGTAGTAACGAAACGAAAGCCACGTCTTTTCCTTTAGTAGAAAGCCTTGAGCGACCTTGAGCGATTGGACTATCATGAATTATGAATCTGAATACTTCTTGGATTATAAGCCAAGAAGTTGATATTGTATTAAGAGCTAACGTGGATGAATACGAAAAACGTGAATGAATACGCAGCGGATTCTAGTCGTGAATGAATACGAGTCATAAAGTAACGCGTGAATCTGAATACTTCTTGGATAATTATGCCAAAACTTTCCTTATACAACTAGTAGGTACATGAACTAACATCAAAAAAAATGTACACAGAGCATCATGGAACGAGAGCCGCGAGGCAAGAATAAATGATTGGGATACAACACGGAAAATAAAACACATGATTTAATGGCTTAATTGCATATACTTAATTCTCAAGGATAAATCAATGAATGCTTAAAAGGAAAAATTGAGTCTGACCGTTGGGCGCGGCAGTTGTCAACATGAAATTGCACGACTGGTTTGAAATAACACTACATCAGAGGACACGTTTTGAAGACTGATCATACTTTTTTCTAACTACATGGGACACGGAAACGTGAATCATGACGCAATATGGGTGACTGTCTTTCCTCTATTTGAGGAGCAGAAGGACCACAATTCTTTAATAGCATGACATTATAGATGAGAGAGTGAAGGTCATGCGAGTTGTAAAATCTTGTGCTGACGAGGAGAGATGAACATCTCTGTTTCAAAGCGCTGAGGAACTCTCCATAGATTTCATCTGTGTGGAGACAGTCAGGCAAAAGAAAAAGGAAGACGGAGAAGAGGAACGCAGAACGCGAGGCCCTATGATTACGACAACAGCGAGAGTGAGAAGGATGAAACCGAGCAGACGGCCTTGCGATTAGAAATTCAGCGCTTGACTGACCGGTTGGCTGATACAAGAGAGGAGCAGGAAGAAGCGAAGCGTTCTTGATCCTTTTTCTGAACTTTTTTACACAATGGTTAGTCCTATTCAGGAGCTGTTGGTTGCTGGTGTGGGAAAGTCTCCAGTTGTGGCGGACTTGGATCGAAGCTTCATTATGGTATTGGGCCTCATCTGATGGCATTGGGCCTCATCTGAGAAGTTGAGTTTTTGGCTGCTTGTGTGCAAAAGTCAACAACTGTGCCCTGAAAGACTACAGGTTAGCACATGAAGGAAAGCACTTGCTCAAAATCTAGATTTTTTTAGGTCTGAACGATAAAAATTTGATTGAAATGGAACAAAATCAAATTTTTTGGAATTTCGATTGAATTCGCAAAGCTTTTGACTTTGTTCATTTTTTGTTCAATTTAAATCCTTGCGTTGGAGTCATTTATTTGAAATTTGAATACTTTCGAAGTTTTCAATTAGTTGAAGGAGCTTTTTTAATTCCATACCAAATTCTTGATAGGTGATTAGAGTAGTACATCAAAGGCCTAACAATCGATGAGAAAGCCTAATGCCCAAAAAATGAAAAATTCGAGGCTTTTGTCTTGAATAATTTCAGGGCTTTATATTAGCAGCGGAGCCTTTTGAATTTCATGCCAAATTCTTGATGTATAGTGTTTGTGAACACGAGGACTCAGTGTTTTCATTCTTAAGCTGACGCATTCTTTAAACAATTCCCGGCCTGTTTCAAATGTGCAAAGTGTAAAGGTTTGGTATGTTTCTCATGCGGTTGCAGGTTGTCAAATGTGTGGGCCTTCTTGCTCATGTGTAACACCATAAGGAGCCACGCCGTTGGCATAGGTTTGCCGTGCTGTGAGCATTATCGCCACCGGACTACAATGGCCGCCATCTCAAAAGACGCCTCTCGGTCGCTTTTGTTTTCCCAAACTCAGTGGACGAAGATCTGTTTTCATTTCCTTGCTTCCTTCCTGTTGGATTCCTTTGTGCACTTTGTTTGAGGGAAGAGCATGCACATGGATACGAGAGAATTCGCGGCAGCAAACATATGATAACACGACACGAACAGTCAAGTTTTCTATTGCGAGCCGCTTGGCTCAAGACCAAAATATATCTGTGAGGAGCGTATTACGGAGATGGAGTGTGTTCCATCAAGACCATCGTCTTCATGTTGATCTTGATGGTCTTCATGCTCATGACAGTAGTAGGTCGGATCGTCACCATCTTCGTCATCTTATTTTTTTATTGTCAATAATTCTGTTGATGTTATCCATTCTTGCCGTGAAGATCAATGTCCTCTGCCCATGAAGAGGACCAAGCAACGCCCTCACCCATATGAAAAAAGTTGTCGCAAACAACTAGGAACAGATCGAGAAAAAATCCTCAGCATGGAAGTGCCCAGTCTTAAAAGCGAGCCTTGTCTGTCGAAAATGCGGCAAATGGGAGACTGGGTTCAAATCGGCCAAACTGTCACTTAGAATGCTTTCCAAAGGAGTGGATCTGATGCGGCTCCATGAGAAGAAGTGCAAAGGTGCAATCCGCAAAGAGGACCAACGAAAGAAGACAAAATTATAATCTGAAGTGGTGCAATAATTTGTCGGAGAGCGACATAAAAAACTCACTGCGCCACCTCATGCTAGGCACATTCATTCGTTCACTCATTCATTCATTCATTCATTCACAATGTCTATAGCCTTTCTGTCTCTTCTTCATTTCTGTGCTATCGTTCCTTTGTGTTTGTTTGTAGCACTCCTGCGTGCTCCTTTTCCGCTCCAATAGGAGGTACTCATTTACTGGATGACCTCACAGGTAGACATGCACAGCTACAAACGAGGTTCCATGATATGACATTCCGACTGAGGCACTAACAAGTTGAATTATCGATGATCAAAATAAGAATAGGAAAAGGATCAGCCACAGGAGCAGGAGGTGGACCGGTTTGAAAAATTGTGACTGATACTAGCAGTTCTTTTCCTAGCTAGAAGGATATTTTTAGGGGACGTCTTTCCCAACTAATTCTAATTGTTTATTAGGAACCAACTCTCTCTCGCTGTCTAAGTCTAACTCTGCAGAGGCTGAAGATTGTTTAACCTACTGAATTTGTAACTACTGCATTCAACCAAACACAAACTAATTGCGCTCTACCTCTAAGAATCAGGCAAATTGCGCGCAGACGGAGCACAGGACATACGTCCCGCGCTTAAATGGCCCGGAGGATTCGTATCTGAAGGAATACTACGAGTGTACGCGGCTGCTGCACACAGTGATCGATGACACTCGTAAGCTGACGCAGACGGAGACAGAGATTTAAGGCTATTTTCTTACCGCTAAACCATCTCTGTGATAGGGATCGATCATCCCCCGAGCGCATACAAGCGATAGCACCTTCGATGTGGGAGATGATCATCCCTACAGGGATAAACTGGGGGTAGCTCCAACAGACCAGCAAGGCAGATTTTGACAAGCTAGTGGAGCTTCGTGACCGAGCCCAAAGTTGGGCTAGATGGCTAATCGATGAAAAGCAGAGATTGGAGAGTGAGATCAGAGAACTACAAGAAGTTATGGGCCCACTTTGTAGCAATTCATGGGATACTAGCCACAGGTGGACGAGCAGGTGGATGAGGAGAGTTACACTTCTGAGCTTCTACAGGAAAAGCAAAATCTTTCCAACACCCTTTTTTATAGTTACCCTTCATCTCCAAGGAGTACTGGTGGTTCTGTTGTAGCTCTGTCCCGAAAAACTGTTTGAAACATTTTTAGGATGTGGAAGTCCATTTTGAAACTTTGGATGGAGAAAGTCATACATCAATTTTGAGTTGACTTTCCCTGACTGGGATCGATCTTGAGAAAGTAAGTCGTGAACAACTTCAATAATTTTTAGCACTGGTGCCTCTACCTCGTCTAAGGGTCTGTGTGAGGAAGCAAACCGGCACCAGCAGACGCAGCTGGAGAGCGAGAAGCACAAAGTGCAACAGCTGGAGACCAAGGACACCGCAACTGAAGAAGAGACACAGGTGGCTAGCGAGAACAGTGAAAATTATGCGATGTGAGTGATCTAGGAAGTTATCACCGCGTTGTTGCTCTAGAGCATTTATAGAACCTGCTATGATCTTTTGCTTTTGACTGCGCAGTTGGCTTAGTGGTTTAGGCGTGGGCCATGGCCTGTTCACTTATCCGTCCGTAATAAAGGTAATTGGAATTATGTGGCCTCGTGGCTTCTGGTTCTGCTTGGTTGAGAGGACTGCATCATCATGATGCCACCTCTAATCTATATGCGGAAGCTCAAGCTGTGGCAATGGCAATCGTAATCTGAGAGGCAGTAGCGAAGCCACGTCGTCGAAGTTGATGCAGCACCCAGAGCTGGGAGGGAAGTAGTACCACTCCAGGAAGGAAAGATTTATAGAGACTCTTACCGTTGTTCCTTTCACGTCTTATTCGTCTTGTTGCTACTTTCACGTTAACCACGAACGTCAAGGCTGACGCATGATCTCAAAAGGAGAAGGACACTCATTCAAAGCAGATTCATAGTCGTAATTTCAAATATGGTGTCGAACTAATACCAGTGCAAAAAATTGATTATGAGTTAGCTTTTTTTCAATTAATAGTAAAGATGATCAAATTATCTCTTTTTGTTGTTGAATCATCCTCAATACTATCGCAGGACTCACTAGACCACTGAACAATAATAACTAGCTACTATCTCGCACTCAAAAATCAGTTCATCTACTTACGACGAACGACCATGTCAGATTCAGATATCAGAACTCAGGAATGAGAAAGGTAGGATGAAGAATACGCAAGCAAGAGTGTCAGCGTCAGTTTTACTCTCACAAGTACGGAACCTCATCAGTCGCAGTAGTACAGAACTCCTCTGCCTGGAGTTAAAAACTCTGCTAAACCACAACTACTAAGCTAGATCGTCCAAGAACCGACGAGAATATATTGTAATACAAAAAATACATCAACAGCTGGCCAGAAACTGGCTCGTTCTCTTGTTCGTGCTGTGTTCAGAGTTACGACTAACTGATCTTTGCCCCGGTTGGTGGCCAGAAAGTTTTTGATGAACAATCGTTCAAAGTATGCTGTCTCCCTCCTCTCTGTTGATTGCGAAACGTACTGTGCCCCTTTTGGTGGCCAGAAAACGATAACTAGACTACGCCAGCTTTTTTGTTGATTGCGAAACGTACCGTTCCTTTTGGTGGCCATAAATAGAGTGATGAGACGAGAGAACAAAAAATATGAGTTCTCGCCCCTGTGGGTGGCCAGAAATGTGTTCCTGAGAGCATTTGTAGTTGCTCCTTCCATCTGATGGTTGGGAGTGCTTCAAATGACGAGTTGATCAGTGCTCGGCCCTGTCTTTTGTTCACCTCGTAGGGTTTGAGATGGACGCCTTTTTTTCTGCATCGGTCTGGCGTTGGTACTGCAAAAAAACAACACATTTCACCGGATCTGCCCTGCATGGTTTCTTGCCGCAACTTATCGGCGTTTTTTTTGTGCCCCCTTAGCAGGTCCCCTTGTTGTACTTTTCAGTGCGGTATTCCGGTTTCCCCGGTTTTGTATTTTCCGGTCTTTTGCGTGCAAGAAGACGTCGATCGGGATCGTGCGACGGATGGAGCTTTCTGCAGCACTGGAAGCCTCTGCGGCCGTCTGGGTGGGACGCGGAAAGGATGCGTGACAAGTGACGAAGGGGAGACTTCGCTTGAAGAGATAAGAAAACTAGCGTAGTGTCGATTTACTGACGTGACTAAGCAGCATGCTTTTATATAGGGTCTTACACCAGAATACTGGCTATCCGCTAGTTCTTTTTCGCCGATTGTTGAGCGCGTCGATGTGGGTAGAAGAAGTAGGTGGCACCCTGCTCGCCCCGACCTGTGTGTCTGCGCTAAGTGTGAGGCGATCGGCATATCGCTGGGAATTGTGGCGTAGTCATTCCCTCAACCTCCTAGTTTTCGATCATCTCTAAAATCGGCGGGTTCGTAGAGTATAGCGTGATAGAGGAACACTAGGCTCCGCCTGCCGCCGGTTTGCGAACTGGATAAAGCTGAGGCCGCTCTTTCAGTAGCCCCAGGATACAAAAAAAAAAGAAACAATTTCTGAAATCTCCAAATCCAAATCCAAATCTATTCTTCTTGTATCATGTACGATTCGGTCGTCGGCCCTGAATTGCTACCAGGATATACGTAGATTTGTGGCCAAATGTACGGTCTTATGCGCCCCCAGTATGTAACTTGGATGACAATCGTTGAGCATGTTAATTGATTGTTTGAAAGGGCGGTGGCATATAGTCCTAACGCAAAAAAAAAAAACTCTACGGGCACTACGGACAGTGTCATCAGGGGCACACACATGACATGACGTCGAGCGAACATACCGAGCTGGACAAGGCTGCTGAATGGCCTCACCGCTGACAGAGAAGTCAGGACCAGAAGCAGCATGACGTGATTTTATAAATTGGCTCAGTTTGTATCAACGTGTTGGATTTTGTATCATGGCCTCTTAAGTACACAACAATGAAGTGCTGCGTGGGGTGATGTTCGTGCGTGCTTGCAGCAGAGTTGCGCACTTATTCATCTTCTCGAAACGACATACCTGCTTGTGCTCGTATTGTCGGTGTATGAAAAGGAACTGAATGTTGGTATACGGAGCAACTCGGTGTGTATCTGATTCTGACTCATAAAATGAAACAGCTCGCTGTGGTGAATCTGACTCGTAAAATAAAACAAGTCGGTGACGGTGCGAATCTGAATCGTAAACGAAGCCACTCGCTCTCGGTAAAGACTTGGGGTCGGTGCTATTATCGGATCGGTTCTCGAGGAACAGGTAGTTCTCTAAGTAGCCTCAAAAAACCTTATTTATATTAAACCCCACCCTTTTAATATCGCATTTTGTAACCCACCAGCTAACCCACTTTGGAGCTCACTTACAATTTTTTTATAGTCCGCTGCTACTGTGTAGTACCATGTGTTTGCGTTGCCTATACGAGTGTGAGTATCATCTTGTTTGCAAAGCCTCCAAATAGGCACACGACTCAGACTCATACGCTTGGTGACAGTCGTAAGTCATTCCTTCTTCTTACGCCCCAATATAGACCAGATCAAGAATATCATCCTTTTCGTTGTTTATTAAAACTGTAGGAAGGAGAGGTGCAAGTAGGAGGTACATAAGGAGATAATATCTCTTTCAGGTTGGGTCTTGCTAGCGTTCCTCCCTCTCTTTTTCATCTCAGAACAACAATTATCCAAACATAATCTGTTTTACTCCTTGCTAGCATTGATTCTCTTTCATGATCTTCTCCGAACAACAATTATGCCTTTCTAGCCGCTTCTCATCTTCAACATCCTGAGAACACGACGGCCGACAAGATGACGAGACGAAAGAGAAATGCGCACAAGAAGAACACGAATACGAAGAACAAGAAGAATCAAAACAAGAAACGTCCGCAACAACAGCCAACTTATGGCGTCTCGTGATAATCATCCTCCATCACCCATCAGCACCCATATTCTCAACTTTTGGACCAGTACAGTCCTCATCTTGCAGCTCGTATTTCTTTCTCAACCCTATTCAGAAGACACCAGTTGTACTGCATCTTGGACCTCCCGCTGTAGTTTTGTTCTTACAGGAATTATTTGATTGCAATTTTTGTCAAAAAATCCAAAGTCAACACATCTCTTACTACGGCTCATCATCATGGCATAAGTTTGCAGCTTATGTAGCAGGGTAACAAAACAGCTTGCTCCGCTAAGATGGTCGATGCGTTTGCGTCGTCCTGTTATTTCAAGATGAGTAAAAGTAGATAACGGTCTTTTAGTAATTGAAGTTTGGATATGACTAAGGATGAATGTGACTCCTAATTCTTTTTAACTTCAAGAGTGAGTTAACTCCTTACTTAAGTTAATTATTGACAAAGGGGATTCATTTATGTTAGAGGGGATCACTCATTAAGAAAGTAAGGATAGAAGCATAATCACTTCTATCACTAAAAACTAAAAGGAGTGACATTAACTTGAGTAAGGTTATTGATGAATATGTCTCCCAGTTTTCCTGGTAGGCCCACACCTAACCTAACCTAAGTAAGAGCTCTTTTTTTAAGTATGAATGTTGTAGTGACTCCCAAGATAAAGGTCTAGTAATTGAGCCGTTCTATTTTTTAGCATGCGACTCCGAAGAAGGTCAAGTTGCATCTCATCACCACCAGATGGGTTATCTTGTTGAATGTGACTCCCAAGGTCAAGCTGCATCACCACCAGATGGGTTGATGTCTTGTTCTTGCGATTGATAAATTAAGATAATGGAGAAGTACGATCTACTGCGCTCTAACTTCTATCGCCGAACTCTGTGGAGCGGACGACGCTTCAGCCGCGACAGACGACAAGACGCCACAACAGCAGCACGCTATGCTGCCGCTCGCATCGTGCACGATTTTCGGCCATGGCGACTGGCCTCTCGAGCATGCCTGAAGTAGCCTCTCGTGAACACAGGCAGAGTGTTAGTCAGAAACTCGGCGCCACATATGATGGCTATCGTATTTTTATTTTTTTCCAAAAATAAATAATTGGGCTTTCACTAAGTCAGTTGCTTTTTGGAATGTATATGAAAATGATTCCTGAACAAGATCTATAAAAATGCTTTCCCTTCTTTTACTTTTTATCAACCAACAGCATTCATTCATTTACTTGCAACTTACTACTTTCCCTTCATATTTTTGTCATGTGGATTGTTATTGTTTCTCCCCGCATACTTTTTTCTTGATACGAATGAAAGATACTTTTTGGTTTTTCTTGGTATATATATAAAAAAATTCTACTTCTACAGATCCTGGTGATAAGGGACCCTCGACCAACGAAGGCGATATGCGAGGCATGATCATGCGGGAGAAGGTGTTATATGTCTTTGTACAGCACAATTATTGTCGTCAGTATTCGCGCCTTAGGAAAGAGTTACAACGTGCCGAACCTCTATGACGCCCCTATGGCAGTCTGCGCTGATCTTTCTGCGATATTCCTTGTATTGTAAATTGCATGTTTGTTGTGTGTATCTCTCTATTCATTGTCTATTTTAACGCAACAGCACAGTAGTTTGTTCTCACAAAGTCGAAATGTCAAAGATGATAGATGCACGATAGTCAAACTAACTATACTTCAAAATGATACAACATAATTTTTAGGAGCGGATAATGAATCAAGAGAGGGAGGAAAAGGCCGTGGCTTTACTGGAAGAGATGCAGCAAATAGAGAAGATAATTGCGCCTCAGTTGCTTAACTTGGCTGAGAAGCACGCGGTAGCAAAACAGAAGGTGATTAAGGACTCTCTTTGTAGATACTTAGGAAGTAACCCTATAGAGGTATAATATGAGTTAAAAGTTCTAATCTTTCTTCTTCGTTTCTCCCGTACTATCGTGGTTCGTTTTTCTTTGTTTGTGGTCCTCTTCCTTTTCCGATTGAGGCGCTCCCGCTAACAAGTTTAATTATATATAGCTACAAGATTAAGCAGCCAAGTCCGACACTGCCGAAAGATGCCGAAAGTTCACACAAAGCCAGCCCATCAACTTTCGACGAAACTGCGAGAAGTCTTGCAGACTCTTCGCACGTGAGTCATGGCAGGCTGGCCATGTCGTTGCGGCTAGGATCAGACCACTGCCAAGCCCTTCAGGCACGACACGACTACAAACCGCCCGGCGGCTCCATAAAGGCCAAGGCAGAAACTAGCCGAGCAGACTCAGCCACACCGTTCCCCAAGGCAGAAACACAGCCAAGCCCGTTGGTATTTATTTTAGAAAAGCTGGCCGCTTCTCTTTCAAACTGGGGCGGCTCGCTCCGTGGCGACAGGCCTCGCGCACTGGCTGGCCCACCGTCGTCCCTCCAAGTTACTTAGTGAATTCGCTGGCTGTAGTCATGTCGCTCAGTTGATTGCCATCGGCTTCATTGTTGGGCCTTTTCATCTTTTCGCCCAGTCTGTCACTGACTTCAGACAGGGCGCGAACACATAGCCCACCAAGCGGCTAAGCCTTGCAAGGGGGCGCTTGCAGTGCGTACTTGCTTCCATAGAATGATAGACACACGCGCGCGCGCAGTCCGTCGCCCGCGGCGGCGCGGGTGAAAGGATGGCTCTGCTCATTCTTTCGCTTGTTCTTGCTAGGTGCCGCACGTACGTTGCGAGAAAGTTAGTTACCTACGCGACGCGCGTAGACTCATTGCTGACGAGCTAAGTAAAGAACTAAGCCAACAACCAAGGCGCCAGCCCTTGCCTGTGGGCTCGCTCGCTCCAGGGGCTGAGTGAATTGAAAGCAGGGGGAACAACTACGCAGCTGGCGCCGTTCGGCCCGCCCAGGGGGATTGATCCAGCAAGCGAAACACAGCTCGGCGCGTGGCTAGCACGTGAGAAGTTTAGGCGTGTCTGCTTGGTCACTATGTGCGCATAGCGTTCGGCCCGTCGCGTCGATGCCTCGGCACTTCTTGGCTGGCTCTGGGTCTGTCTTGGCGTAGCGAGATGCTTGCGTAGGTACGCAGGTACCTAGCTACCTACGCGCCGTCCCCCGTAGGCGGACAAGTGGCCCCAGCGCTCGGCGATGTGTCTAGGTGCAACTGCGTGCTCCGTGTCGACGACGGACTGTGGGAGGGCGGCTGTGGCTCTCTTTCGTTACCCACGTAGCTAGGGCATGCGCGCCGCCTGCGTGTGTGCTTTTCGTTCTCTACATATTCCACTCGGCAAGGCAGGCCTCACGCACTTACTTAGTGAGTGGAGCAGGCTGGGACCGCCTGGGCTCGATGTGGCGGGTGTTTCTGTGTGACTGTTTAAGCCACTGAGTAGGTAGCGGCGCCTGGCCACTTTCTTACTCTCTTAATTCCTTGGCTGCCTTCGTAATGCATGGGCTCGCTTGGGCGGGCGGAGTTTGAACCTCTTGGGCCCATTGGGTGGCTGACGCTCAGCGTCCGCCCAGTTGGAAAATTTACTAAAGTCCGCGTCTCCTTTCGTTTAGTAGTTTTTTGGACAGATTCGGCCGGTTTTTTATCGCAAAAAATGAACCAGGGCCGAAAGCTGCCGAAAGTTTCAGCAGGGCCGAAAGTTGCCGAAAGATGCCGAAAAGGGCCGAAAGCTGCCAAGAGTTTTTCTCGGTAATTTTCGGCAACTCTCGGCCCTTTTCGGCATCTTTCGGCAACTTTCGGCAACTTTCGGCAGCTTTCGGCAACTTTCGGCAACTTCCGGCAAATTTCGGCAACTTTCGGCAAATTTCGGCAAATTTCGGCCCTGCTGAAACTTTCGGCAACTTTCGGCAGCTTTCGGCCCTCGTTCGTTTTTTTGTGATAAAAAAACCGGCCGAATCTGATCAAAAAGCTACCAAACGAAAGAGGGCGCGGACTTTGGTAAGCTTTCAGCTTGGTAGCGAACGAGGCTGGCAGAACGAGGAACGAAAGTAAGGCGCACCCGCAGCCAGCCAGACTGACGGACAGCCACCCCCCCCCCGCGTATCAGGCACATGCAGCGCGTTGCCAGCAGCTGACGTGTAGTAATGCTGGGCGAGCTATGGAGAAACGAAAGCAGGCACACCGACACAAAGGGACTGGCGCGCAGGCTGGCACGTAGTAGACGACCGGCGGGCCTACCCACCGAGGCAGGCTGGTGCCAGCCTGCGCCGCTAGCTTCGTCGTTCAATCGGTAAGGACTCACACAGGCTGACTGCTTGACTCATGTATGGCCAGGCCAGCCAATGCCAGCACTTTCCCACCAACGAACCTACGAACGCTGGGGAGGTTCGTTCCCAGACTGCTGGACACCCACAGACACAGGCGCGCGGGTTCTGTAGACGCACTGGAACTGACGCACATCCGCGCGGAGTCCGATACAGTTATAGACAGGGGGACAGGCTGGCAAAGCCTGGAGGGCGGGGAGGGTGTGGGCCATCCAACCACGCAAGCAAGATGCTTGCGTGGGCCGCACAGTAAGAAAAGAAGGCTACCTTGTATCTATCAATATCCACACATAGACATAGGTAGCTAACCAAGTAAGTGGCAGATGGATGCTTGCTATGTATCAGGTTGTAGCATCTTTTTAGGGAGCTAACCTCGGTAGCGCTGGCAGGCTTGCTTGCTAAGAAAGTAGTAGTCTGCCAGCCGCGTAAATTTTTCTCCCGTTCGTTCTATCCTTGTTGCTGAAACAAAGACGCCGAGCTACCAGTGTACAGATGGGTGCATAGATATAGATAATCTAGCGCCAGCGAACCACTCATATTCAGTCAGTCCACGCCTGCGCTCCATACTTACATCGATCCAGTGACAGACCGACGAGGCAAGCCGAAGGCAAGTGAGTAAGTTAGTATGTGTCCATGCTGCCAACGACGAAGGCGCGAAACATGGAAGCAAGACCTTGGTCCCACCAACAAACACACGAGCACAAAACAAGGAGCGAAGCCGTCGCCCCCGCGACGAATCGGGGACAAACTGTGGGCACTCTCTGGACCAAGGCCGGCGACTGAAAAGACACCAGCGCACAACAGTGCACGCCTCCGACGAACCGCCCGCGGAACAGCGAACACAACGGGCGCACAAGCCCGCGAAGCAAGACAGGCGCGCGGCTCAGCAGACTGAGTACCCAGAAGGGAAGCACAGGGCGACGAACTGGCAGCAACGACCAAGCGACCAAAAGAACAGAACAAGCGGACAGAAGACGACAGAACGCCCACACGAGTAAGCTCCCAACGAAGTACCATGCAACTAGTACAGGGCCAAAGCGGGACAACAATCTGCCCGAATTTCTGCACCAATTTCAGAAATTAGCGAGCTGGTTTTGTGTGAACTTTCGGCAACTTTCGGGGATGCATTTGCTGGGCGTTGGATCTTGTAAATGTAAATGAGCAACATAGGAATCGGAAAAGGATCAGCCACACGAGGAGGTAGACAGGTTTGAACTATGACTGATATTAGCAGCCCTTTTCCTAGCGAGAAGGATTTTTTTAAGGAACGTCTTTCCCACCTAATTGTTTAGTAGGAACCAACTCTCGCTGTCTAAGTCTAACTGCAGAGCCTGAAGACTGTTTAACCTACTGAATTTGTAACTATTAATGCATTCAACCAACCACAAACTAATTGCGCTCTACCTCTAAGAATCAGAAAGAATGCGCGCAGACGGAGCACAAGGAAAAGGACGACAGACGCGAAGTAGTGAACGTGAAGCAGGTAAAGCGTGCAAAGACTGAGCTAGAGAGCGCGATTAAGCATGCACTGGCGGTGAAAGCCGCGAATGGCTTTAAAGAGATTTAAGGCTACCTCTGAACCATCTCTATGATAGGGATCATCCACCGAGCGCATATGAGCGATAGTACCTTTCATCTGGGGGATGATCCCTACAGGGATGAACTGGGGGTAGCTCCAACAGACCAGAAAGGCAGATTTTGACAAGCTCACGGAGAATGGTGAGAAAGCCCAGAAGGCGTTTACTGGTCTAGACGATGAAAAGCAGAGATTGGAGAATGAGATCAGAGAACTACAAGACGAGCTGAAAATTAAGGGCTCACTTTTTAGCGATTCATAGGGTACTAGCCACAGGTGGACGAGGAGGCGGATGAGGAGAGTAACACTTCTGAGCTTCCTCTACAGCAAAACTCTTCTACAACTAGTACTGGTGGTTCTGTAGCTCTGTACCGAAAAACTGTTTGAAACATTTTGAGAAGGTACAAGTTGAAACTTTGGATGGAGAAAGTCGGAAAATTTTGCGTTGAATTTCCCTGACTGGGATCTCGAGAAAGTCGGGAACAAGGTAATTTTTGATCTCTGCCTCTAAGAGTCAGTGTAGCAAGGAGCGAGGAGAAATGAATCAGAGGGAAATTGCGAAGAAGCTCCTGCAAGACAAAGAAGAGCAGCGCAGGAGGCCCGAAGCGGAGCAGGAGGGGGCGGAGAAAGTGAGCAGCCAGCTGAAGACGGAGCCGGAGAAGCAGGCAGTGACAGTGCAGGAATTGCAGGCGAAGAATGCCGCACTAGAGAAGCAGCTGAAGAAGACGGAGCTGCAGGAGGCGAAGAAGCTGGGCGACCAGCTGGAGAGCGAGAAGCAGAAGGTGCAGGAGCTGGAGGCGAGAAACGCCGAACTTTATGGGCAGTCAGTCATTATTATCTTGTGTTGGGTACTATGCTCTGTGCAGGCGTCTCAATTTTTGATTTCTTGAAGGGAAAAAAAAATCCAGTCAAGAGGGAGAGAGAGAGGAAGCAAGAAACCCTCTCGTCATCATACCAATAACCCTTTCTCGTTTACTTGGTTGCTTTTAGATGAGATTATAGTAGGGCCTGAGCACTACCACTACCTGTTTTAAGAACTGGAGAAGGCCGAAGCGGAGCTGCAGGAGGCGAAGGAGCTGAGTAGCCAGGAACTGGAGAGCGAGAAGCAGAAGATACAGGAGCTGGAGGCGAGGACCGCCGAACTTTATGGACAGTCAGTCATTATCATCGATCTTGTGTGAGGTACTCTGCTCAGTGCAGGTACTCTGCTCAGTGCAGGTACTCTGCTCAGTGCAGGTGCTCTGCTCTGTGCAGGCGTCTCAATATTTGACTTCTTGAAGGGGAAAAAGAAGCTAGTCAAGCTCGAGGGGGAGAGTGAGAGAAAGCAAGAACTTCCCCCGTCATCATACCCGTCTACTTGGTTGCTCTTAGATTGATAGGATCATAGTAGTGCTTGAGGATTAGCTAGGAGTAGGACTACCACTACCTGTTCTAAGAACTGGAGAAGGCCGAAGCGCTGAGTAGGCAGGAACTGGAAAGCGAGAAGCACAAAGTGCAACAGCTGGAGACCAAGGACACCGCAACTGAAGAAGAGACACAGGTGGCTAGCGAGAACAGTGAAAATTATGCGATGTGAGTGATCTAGGAAGTTATCACCGCGTTGTTGCTCTAGAGCATTTATAGAACCTGCTATGATCTTTTGCTTTTGACTGCGCAGTTGGCTTAGTGGTTTAGGCGTGGGCCATGGCCTGTTCACTTATCCGTCCGTAATAAAGGTAATTGGAATTATGTGGCCTCGTGGCTTCTGGTTCTGCTTGGTTGAGAGGACTGCATCATCATGATGCCACCTCTAATCTATATGCGGAAGCTCAAGCTGTGGCAATGGCAATCGTAATCTGAGAGGCAGTAGCGAAGCCACGTCGTCGAAGTTGATGCAGCACCCAGAGCTGGGAGGGAAGTAGTACCACTCCAGGAAGGAAAGATTTATAGAGACTCTTACCGTTGTTCCTTTCACGTCTTATTCGTCTTGTTGCTACTTTCACGTTAACCACGAACGTCAAGGCTGACGCATGATCTCAAAAGGAGAAGGACACTCATTCAAAGCAGATTCATAGTCGTAATTTCAAATATGGTGTCGAACTAATACCAGTGCAAAAAATTGATTATGAGTTAGCTTTTTTTCAATTAATAGTAAAGATGATCAAATTATCTCTTTTTGTTGTTGAATCATCCTCAATACTATCGCAGGACTCACTAGACCACTGAACAATAATAACTAGCTACTATCTCGCACTCAAAAATCAGTTCATCTACTTACGACGAACGACCATGTCAGATTCAGATATCAGAACTCAGGAATGAGAAAGGTAGGATGAAGAATACGCAAGCAAGAGTGTCAGCGTCAGTTTTACTCTCACAAGTACGGAACCTCATCAGTCGCAGTAGTACAGAACTCCTCTGCCTGGAGTTAAAAATCTGCTAAACCACAACTACTAAGCTAGATCGTCCAAGAACCGACGAGAATATATTGTAATACAAAAAATACATCAACAGCTATTCTTCTTGTATCATGTACGATTCGGTCGTCGGCCCTGAATTGCTACCAGGATATACGTAGATTTGTGGCCAAATGTACGGTCTTATGCGCCACGACCAGTATGTAACTTGGATGACAATCGTTGAACATGTTAATTGATTGCTTGAAAGGGCGGTGGCATATAGTCCTAACGCAAAAAAAAAAAACTCTACGGGCACTACGGACAGTGTCATCAGGGGCACACACATGACATGACGTCGAGCGAACATACCGAGCTGGACAAGGCTGCTGAATGGCCTCACCGCTGACAGAGAAGTCAGGACCAGAAGCAGCATGACGTGATTTTATAAATTGGCTCAGTTTGTATCAACGTGTTGGATTTTGTATCATGGCCCCTTAAGTACACAGCAAGGAAGTGCTGCGTGGAGTGATGTTCGTGCGTGCTTGCAGCAGAGTTGCGCACTTATTCATCTTCTCGAAACGACATACCTGCTTGTGCTCGTATTGTCGGTGTATAAGGAACTGAGTGTTGGTATACGGAGCAACTCGGTGTGTATCTGATTCTGACTCGTAAAATGAAACAGCTCGCTGTGGTGAATCTGACTCGTAGAATAAAACAAGTCGGTGACGGTGCGAAGCTACTCGGTCTCGGTAAAGACTTGGGGTCGGTGCTATTCTCGGATCAGTGCTCGAGGAACAGGTAGTTCTCTAAGCCTCAAAAAACCTCATTTATATTAAACCCCACCCGTTTATTTTTAATAAAGCATTTTGTAAGCCACCAGCTAACCCAGTCTGGCGCTCACTTACAATTTTTAGATAGTCCGCTGTAGTTACGGTGTATCATGTGTTTGCGTTGCCTATACGAGTGTGAGTATCATCTTGTTTGCAAAGCCTCCAAAAAGGCACACTCAGACTCATACGCTTGGTGACAGTCGTGAGTCATTCCTTCTTCTTACGCCCCAATATAGACCAGATCAAGAATATTATCCTTTTCCTTGTTTATTCAAACTGTAGGAAAGAGAGGTGCAAGTAGGAGGTACATAAAAAGATAATATGTCTTTCAGGTTGGGTCTTGCTAGAAGCGTTCCTCCCTCTCTTTTTCATCTCAGAACAACAATTATCCAAACATAATCTGTTTTACTCCTTGCTAGCATTGATTCTCTTTCACGATCTTCTCCGAACAACAATTATGCCTTTCTAGCCGCTTCTCATCTTCAACGCCTTGAGAACACGACGGCCGACAAGATGACGAGACGAAAGAGAAATGCGCACAAGAAGAACACGAATACGAAGAACAAGAAGAATCAAAACAAGAAACGTCCGCAACAACAGCCAACTTATGGCGTCTCGTGATAATCATCCTCCATCACCCATCAGCACCCATATTCTCAACTTTTGGACCAGTACAGTCCTCATCTTGCAGCTCGTATTTCTTTCTCAACCCTATTCAGAAGACACCAGTTGTACTGCATCTTGGACCTCCCGCTGTAGTTTTGTTCTTACAGGAATTATTTGATTGCAATTTTTGTCAAAAAATCCAAAGTCAACACATCTCTTACTACGGCTCATCATCATGGCATAAGTTTGCAGCTTATGTAGCAGGGTAACAAAACAGCTTGCTCCGCTAAGATGGTCGATGCGTTTGCGTCGTCCTGTTATTTCAAGATGAGTAAAAGTAGATAAGGGTCTTTTAGTAGTTGAAGTTTGGATATGACTAAGGATGAATGTGACTCCTAATTCTTTTTAACTTCAAGAGTGAGTTAACTTCTTACTTAAGTTAATTATTGACAAAGGGGATTCATTTATGTTAGAGGGGATCACTCATTAAGAAAGTAAGGATAGAAGCATAATCACTATCACTAAAAACTTAAAGGAGTGACATTAGCTTAAGTAAGGTTATTGATGAATATGTCTCCCAGTTTTCCTGGTAGGCCCACACCTGACCTAACCTAAGTAAGAGTTCTTTTTTTATAAGTATGAATGTAGTGACTCCCAAGATAAAGGTCTAGTAATTGAGCCGTTCTATTTTTTAGCATGCGACTCCCAAGAAGATCAAGTTGCATCTCATCACCACCGGATGGGTTATCTTATTGAATGTGACTCCCAAGGTCAAGCTGCATCACCACCAGATGGGTTGATATCTTGTTCTTCCGATTGATAAATTAAGATAATGGAGAAGTGCGATCTACTGCGCTCTAACTTCTATCGCCGAACTCTGTGGAGCGGGGGACGCTTCAGCCGCGACAGACGACAAGACGCCACAACAGCAGCACGGTATGCTGCCGCTCGCATCGCGCACGATTTTCGGCCATGGCGACTGGCCTCTCGAGCATGCCCGAAGTAGCCTCTCGTGAACAGCAGAGGCGTGTGAATCAAGAAAAGGCCGACCATGGATCCCTTGCCGAAAAAAATCGGAATCATGCTGGTATTTTTTTTATCCGTCATAGTCTCGTCTCACTCTTGATCGTCTCCCTCGCAGCTTCTCTTCATCCAACTAGTACTCACATGAAAATACAATTGATTCCCAACTTACTAGAAGACATTCTCAATGCCAGCCGCTATGCGGAGACTCATAGGGAAGTAGTATCTCGTGAACACAGGCAGAGTGTGAGTCAGAAGCTCGGCGCCACATATGATGGCTATTGTATTCTTTTCTCAAAAATAGTTGGCCTCTCACAAAGTCAGTTGCTTTGTGTTTGTGGAATGTATATGAAAATGATTGTGATTCCTGAACAAGATCTATAATGCTTTCACTTCCTTGACTTTGTATCAACCAAGAAGAGCACCCATTCCTATACTTGCAACTTACTACTTCCCGTTCCCGTCCATACTTTAATCATGTGGATTGTTATTGTTTCTCCCCGCATACGTTTTTCTTGATACGAATACAAGATTCTTTTTGCTTTTCCTTGATATAAATCCAAACCATTCTACCTCTACAGATCGTCATATTGTTCCGACCAGCGAGGATAAAGCGCGAGGCGATGCCTTAAGGGCGGCAATGGAGAGGGAGGTATTATGTCTTCGTACAAGAGCACGATTGTCATTATGGTTGTCGGCCTTCGCGCCCAAAATAAGTATATTCGTTGTGCGTATCTCTATCTTTCTATTGTTCACTGTAATGCAACTCAGGAGTTTATTCTCATAAAGTCGAAATGTCAGAGATGATGCACGACAGCCAAGAACTTCCATAATATGAGAGTACAACATAATTTTTAGGAACGGGAAAAGATAGCGGGAAATAAGAAGAAGGAGCTGTCAGAGGCTGAGAAGGCTTAAGGCTACCTCTAACCCATCTCCATAACAGGGATCCCTCAACGTTATACACAGGATATTAAGTTATGTCTTTGAGGGAAGATTTCCACAGGGCGAGGGAAGATGAGATAGGGGTAGCTCCAAAAGACCCTGCTGAAGAAGGCGGAGGATATTCTTGCCAAACTACGGGGAATGTGGCACGGGAATGAAGTGCGTATGAAGGAGTTGGGCACTAAAATCGAGCAGTTCCGGGAAGCGAGACAGAAGCACGCAGCAGCCGAAGCTGAGATGAACACTAAGGGTTCTCCTTATTATAGCTGTGCTGAAGAGCCCGTCCTGGAGTAGCCTTGTGTATGTGTTGGCCATGACTGTAATCCGATCAAGATCCACAAAGGCCCAAAGGATAGGCCACAGAAATGACTAAGACCGCCAGGCGAACGAGGTAACCCATGGGCAGCATTTGACTTCCATCGCGCTGGCCATACTTGGCGCGGGTGTCTGTGGTTTTCGCGCCTCCAGAAAACCCGCCTAGGCCACTATCCAAACGCCTGACGGGTTTGCCGTTGCGCGGGTGCCTCTGGTTTCTCCTCTCCCTCGTTCGCTGTTTCAATCTCTCAGCCCAGTCAAGGGCAAAGCCCCACCAGAAAGACCTCAAGGAGGCCGGTAGGCTTTCGCAAACGCGTAGGGCCCCAAAGCCAACGACCAACAGGCGCAAGGCCTTCAGCGTTGCGCTTCCAGATAGAAGAAGTAGCGCCTGCACATAGATAGCTCGCTGTAGCTGGTTCCGTATCGTCTTGCCAGTTCTGACCAGTTCAAAGCGCACGCAGATCGTGCCGCCTGAGGAGCATGCCCGCGCGATAGGCTCGCGCGTGGTCTGATGTGTCTCCAACCAGTAGGCCCATTTAGATCCAAACGGGTATCAACGTAGGTCACCGTATGAGGCTGATGGCGAAAGCATAAAGGTACCCAGATGGGAGCGCGAAACGCCCCCCATCATGATACCCCACGAATACCCCCCCATACCATGATGTGCTATACTTGTACAGTCGTGGAAGTATGTGGCACCGCGCTGCTTCGCCTTCGCCGCCGCACTCGACGCCGGCCCCGGCGGCCCCGGCGGGGCCGCTGACTCGTTCAACCCCCCAGCGGTGCTTTTTCGCCTTCTTTTTTTTTCTCTGTTGTAGTGCTCGGGCTCGTAGAGCTATAGGGCCCTCCTGCCAGGAGTGAGCTTGTAGAATTGCCCGCGTTTAGCGTAGGCTAGCCGCGCCATCTTGTACGGAGGGAGATCCCGCGCGCGGCTAGCTGCCAGTAGACAGCTTCGCCGAAAAGCTGGGAGATTTATTCTTACACCATGACGCGCCGCGCGTTAGAGTCCAGGTCCTTGGGGTTTTTTGGAAATGGTCTGGGTGAGAAGGGCGCCGGGGCTGTTCTGAAGCTGTGCCGCTTGGCTGTTTGCCAAACGCGCGCCGCCCGTTCGGGTGGGATGGGCAAAGCTGTGCGCCCTTCCCTAGTGTGGGCCAGTTCTGCTGGCTCGTTGTCTTCTTCTTTTTGCTGTCTCTGTAGCGTAGGTGACTCGCTGCGGCGCTCGAGATCGGGCGGAAGCTTGGTGGCCTTCTTGTTCGTGGGTGGTGTTTCTTTCTCGCCTGGAGGCTAGTTTACCCGCCGGAACATTGCCACAAGCCGGCGGCGGGCTGGACTATGAGAAGCAGCCTTTTTGAAAAATAACAAACGCCGAGCCCTCTGGTCTTGTTTCTGAGTAACAAACGAAGTACTTAAGGGTAAGGCGCGAGAGGGCTTATAGCTCAATGGCCCGCGGTCTATGGACGTGGAGTCCATTGACGCACTTCGTGAACCCTTTAAAGTGTAGACGCGACCTCTTTCAGTTGAAGCCTGAAAAGCATGGGGGAGAGTGCGTGCATGCTGTTGCTGTTCGTCACTCATGTGACTGGCCTCAGTGGTTCAGCTTGTTGGCCTTTTTCTGTTGTTCTGAGCTTGGCTGGGATCTTCTTGATCTTCTCGCTTATCATTTTCATCACGGCCATGCATGAGGCTCAGAAAAGTGCAACACTTTGAGGCCCATGAAGTTCGTGGCCTTTTACTTTTTGCTCATGAACTTAAGAACGCACAGACTACTTTGGGGGCCTTCTGATCATATGATCACCCATACTGGGATCGCCTTGATCTTGAGCAGTTTGATATTCAAAGTTTGAGCGCTGCTTCTAATCAGAAAACATGTGAGCCGTCGCAAGCACCGCCGGAGGATAATGTGGCGCGCGTTCTTGATCCTGTTGAAGCGGAGGCGGAGAAGCATCTGAAGAAACACACGGATTTGCATCGGCGGCTGGGGAGCGAGTGCGAGTACGGCTCCTTCTATGGGATTTATGGCTGTCTCCAATCCATCTCTGTTGTAATACATTTAGGGATCGATCCCTCAAGAGCAAGTAGAGTCGTTTAGGTAGGACAAATGCTAAGGGTAGTAGAAAGTATTCACCTCCTTGGCGGAGGAAGATCCCCACAGGAGAGATGAACTAGGGGTAGCTCGAACAGACCGCGGAGAACAAGTTTGAGAATATGCGGAAATTGCTAGCGGAAGGCGAGGCTGCGAAGGTCGGCTTTTCGGAGATCAAAACGAGCCTAGAAACGAAGTCGCAGGAATTGGCGAATGCTCACGAAGAACTAAAAAGGAGGCTGAAAGTTAAGGACTATCTACAGCAATACGACAATATTTCGTAGGAAGATGGGAAAATAGCCACAGGATGGAGGTGGGTGAGGAGAGTGAAGTACACACTTCAACTTTCTAGCTTTCCCCATCTATGGTGGTATGGCTTGAGGATGAAGAGCCTCAGCGCCAGAGTACCCAGTTGGGGCGAGTTGTCTTGCAGCTGCTGGCCAGGAACTAGACAGGGGCACGCCTGGCGGCATCGTTGGCGCATGGGTGTCACTGGGGCAGGCTCTAGAAGTGTGCCCGCGCAAGGACAACCCGGGGCCGGCGTGCTATCGCCTCGGGGAGGGGGCAGCGGTAGAGGCCTCTGAGGTAGAGCCGAGAGGCTGGGCCTTGTTCTTGCCACGGATATCGTGACGCGGTAACTCTGGTTTTGAGCTATTGGGGGCTGTCATGGAGTGAGGGCAGAGGTGTGGAGCTTGTTAGGCTTGCTTGCCTCTTGGCTCGGCTAGGTTCTCTGAGTCTGATCTGGGCACAGTGGTGCCCAGTGAAAGAGGTTTGCTGGTCAGGTGTGTCAGTGCTTGAAAGCATGGTGTCGGTTGTGCAAGGTGGCATGGATGGCGCCACCGCGCCGGGCAGCACACTAGCGAGGAGGGTGCTGACGCCTCATCGTGCAGGAGGAGCGGCGAGGACGTGGCCCGAGGTGTCCAACGGGTCCCAGACCGTGTTCGGCTGGGTTGTGAGGGGGGGGTACTCCGCTGCTCGTTGTAGAAGCTCGCGAGAGTGCTCTCGTCTTGGCTGGACTTTGGTAGGGTCGACAGCTTTGCTGTTACGTTGTAGGAACCGCTGCCAGATTGGTCTTGGGTGCGGTGCGTAGCTCCGCTGTTCTCAGCGCTTGTGGCCACAGCGACCAATGCGCGGGGCGCGTGCGTCTCGACTGGACTATGCCAGTGGGTGTTCCGAGTTTTCTGCTGCGGCCGGCTATTTGCCACCGTGAGTTCGGTAAACTAAAGTATGCATAGACGCTCCATCGTTTCTAGCTGTAGCTCTGGGCTCTAACTTCGATCAAATGGATCGACGTCGTCATCCTCTACTGGAGGCGCTAGAGAAACAAAAGCAAGTGGGTTTTCAGCATAGGAAGAATTTGAACAAGGAACTGCGTTTGCTGGACGCTTGGCAACGCTGGAACTCAGCAGCCAAAGACGAGGTGGACGTTAAGGGCTCTCTCGTCTTATAGGTGTGAAGAGGCCGACCCCAAGTAACCCTGTGTGTGTGTAGTTAGTATTTTTATAGTAGACGAGCACCATGATCTCGTTAATACTATAGACGAGCACCATGACCTCCTACTTGCTGTTCACGAAATCCAACTGTTGAGGAAGTCTAATTGTCTAAAACTGTAGAGCTTCCTGATTATTCAACCTGCTGTTGAATTTGTAACTAATCAAGAACTACTTAGAAATGTAAAAATATATAATTTGCTTCTATCCTGAATCTTAGGGGACATATAACAGAGTAGTTTATAGCACGCATGGCGCATGGAGTGCATGGAGCGCAGATCTTTAAGGGGCGCAAGAAGCTCCCCCTTTAGCTCCATGCTACTCCGTGCGATCCATGCACTCCATGCCATGCGAGCTGTGAAACATTATAAATTGCTCTGATGTAATACGTTGCTGCTGGTTTCCCTTTCCCTTTCCCTTAGTACTGATACTAGGATCGTCTTGAACAGTTTATAGTTTGAGCACTTCTTCTAATCAGAAAAAATGTGAGTCGCCGCAAGCGCGGTCGAAGGACAATGGGGAGCTTGATCTTGCAGCGAAGGCGAGGAGGCACCGCCAGGAGGACAATGACAGGAATTTGGATAAGCGGCTGCGGGAGGCGATCACCGAGGTGCAGAAAAACCTCTGCAAGCAGCCCGAGATTTAAGGCTGCCTCCAATCCTTCCCTATTCTAATAAATAGGAATCGATCCCTCAAGAGCAAGAATCGTTTAGGAGGTACAAGAATAGATACAAACGATAGAGTAGAAGATATCCACATTCTTGGCGGATGAAGATCGCCACATGAGAGATGGATTAGGGGTAGCTCTAACAGACCCCGAAGGAAGAGTCTGAGGGAATAGCTAAGTTGCTAGCTGAAAGCAAGGTTGCGGACTCCCTCCTTTTGGAGATCACAGAGGACCTAAAAGAGGAATGGAAGAAATTGGAGAAGGTCCACGAGGAACTAAAAAACGTGCTGCAAGTTAAGGACTCTCTAGAGCGATATAATAAAGATTCGTAGGAAGATGGGAATAGCCACACGAGGAGTTGGAGGAGAGGAGCTACTATAGTTTGAAACTTTGAATTGATTGATTTACATCTCGAAGGACAATACAGAGGCCAGCACTACCTGATGATGAAAAATATGTTGCATAAAAAGTATGACATTGATTGACTTTGAGCAACAATTGACTAACTCTACTTCCCCTCCTGGGGTCTTCATCCCCTCCTGAGCTAGTCAACGAGACTCTGAAGTGTATTTGAGTTCCTCCTCTAAGACAGTTTGTGAGCGTAAGCCGAGCCAATTGTCAGAGGACGAGGCGACCACCGCGACGACAGAAAGTGAGGTCACGACTGTTGAGGAGAATGAGAAGCACCAGAATGATTATGACTACCGCGAAAGCATTAGCATTCGGAGCATTTTTAAGGTCCTTGATGGCTCTTTTCTACGGGAAAATGCAGTCAACAAGGATCCTCTCCGGGATGCGAGCGCGGTAGTGCTAAAAACATCAGCTGCAGCCGGGAGAGCCTGTCGCGACACAGGCGAGCGCTCTGACAGAGGAAGAAGAGGTCGCCCCAGGTGCGGCGGCAGAGCCTGTCGTGACACAGCCGAGCGCTCTGAAAGAAGAAGAAGAGGTCATCCCAGGTGCGGGGGCAGGAGCATGCCTAGGCTGTAATCTACGAGGAAGTATAAATATTAGAAATAGAAAATGAGCCGCCAAGAGATGAATCAGCCATCATGACGAATTATCATATTAATATATGGGATTATAATATTTCACAGACCTCTATTCTTTTAACTGAATATTTTCTAGTAGTACTAGTACCAGTACGTAGAAATCACATCCTGTTGCAGGAGCTTCCGAGAATTAATACAAGTGACTTCATCAGCTTCTCAAGAAACGACCCGACTTGACCAACTAAGTACATCCACATGAGCTACTACGACCGGACTTGAACAAATTTTCTATCAATGCAGTGTGAGGATTCCAGTATCACCGTGAGGATCCCAAGACGACCTTCTAGAAGAGGGAATAAGCATACACGAGCAGACTAAGTAACTGTCATTGTTGTGGTCTCAGACTCAGATAAGCATCAGATAAGCATGAGTCGCAGGCTACACCTTCACGCTTGTTTCTAACAACTCAAATGTACATAGCAACAACGTCTAAAATCTACTTGCATAGCATGATCAACATTCTACTTATTTATTATATAATTCGAAGTAAAAGCAGTACTAGTTATTGTTGGTCAAGGTCATAATCCTAATGGATTCACAAAGATCACAAGGATAAAGATCAGCAAAATGACCAAGATCGCCAGGCAAAAGGTTACCGGAGCACCATCCAAACGCCCGACGGGTTTACCGTCGCGCGGGTGTCTCTGGCTTCTCCTCTCTCTCTCGTTTGTGGCTCAAGCCTCCCAATACAGTCAAGGACAAAACAACACCGGAATGATCTCAGAGATAACCTACAGACCTAAACGCATATAGTTCCAAAATCAGTGATCAACAGGCAAAGGACCTTCAACGTATTCAGACAGTAGAAATGACGAATGTTTCATAGCTGTAATCAGGTCCATAACGTCTTGTCAAGTTCTGATCAATGATGAATGCCAGTGCATGATGATCGTATGAATCAATGACGATAGCATAAGCGTTTCCATATGAAGGCTTTCCCATGCAACACGATATCCCAATGATGAAGCTAAGGCTTCCTCCTTGTAACCCCAATGAACATCCACAGGGATCAAAGCAGCCAGAGATCATTAGTCTCAGGCTGTGAGTGCAAATTGTGAAAACTGTATCACTCTCAAGCGTTTCTCACCGAGGAACTAGACGCGACTTAACAGTCTGTGTTCGAATGGTCCAACACTACTTTGACCCTTGAGCTTAGTATAGAGTAGAAATCCATCTAGAAACAACTTTTCAAAATGTCCTGCGATGCGAAAGAAATTTCGAAGAAACTCGGACAGAAGTCCGACTGGCGAGCATGGCAACTTGCCATACGTCAGGAAGCTAGCCGCCTCGGCCTGCTTCAAAACTACACGAATGTAGTCGGCATTCCGGCAGCTCCTCATGGTATTCCTAACGGAGTTACCAATCGGGAGGAAACAATTCGGCAGAAGTGGCGCAACTTGAAAGATGCGATCATTCGTAGTCTGAAAGGTGCCGCTGCGTCGTTCATCAACAACCAGAACGATAATTGGCAGGTGGATGCGATGGATGCAGGTGAGGTTGTTGTGCTCCTTCGTGATGTAGGACACTTCGATCAAAACAACCGTCAGGAACAACGGATGAAAGTAAAACCGCTTACGGATGGTGTGTTGAAGTTCCACAACGCGGATCAGCCTGCAGATGTCACGGGATTCCTGTCGAAAGTCCGAGACATCATGAACCAGTCGCCCACCGTGTACCCGCCGGAAGCAGGAGTGCCTGAAAGTGACCAACAGAATGGTGCACTGCTACAGAAGTTGCCCGAACTGTTCTGCAAGAACTTCAAGGCAACGATCGAACGCATGCAGGAAGAAGATGGTCTGACATTTGACCAGATTGGTGACCGACTTGAAAAGCGTCTTGCGACGTTGATCGAGGAGGGAGCCTACAAGGCTGAGAACGATTCCTTCGGGAAGGCGTTCCCGGTCAATGTTCAGGAGACCGCGAATAAACGTTCTCGTGAAGAGGAGGATGACGAGGAAAAGGCCAATGAAGGTGGTAAGATCTTTCTGTCTAAAAGTGCTCTCAAGCGCTTCAAGGCAAACACAAAGAAGAAGATCGCCGCCGAGGTCTATGCCTCCAATTCGAACGGCAAAGGAAAGCCGCAGAACAAAAATAATAAAGGTTCTGGAAAACAAGATACCCGTCCAGTCTGTTGGATCTGCAACAAACCGGGTCACAAATCCGCGTCTTGTTGGAAGAATCCACAGAACCAGGCAAACTGGAACTGGAACACCAATTCCCAATCTAGTAGTGCTATGGGTAAAGGTGGAAAGGGTAATGGCATGGTTCACATGTCCCAAGTTGCGGAGCTGTGGCAAGCTCTCAACGGCGGAAAGCAGAGCTGAGTTGCGGAACCGGTGGAAAGCGGATTTTGCTCGCTGAACTTGGATGAAGATGAGGGTGAAGAAATAAACGTAAATAATACAGGGGAGGTAAAACTTGTGGGACATAGTCTTTCAACTAGTTCCATTACTGCAAGAGAAGAAGTTAGTCTGGTTGATAGCTGTGCAAACAAATACCTTTCAAGACACAAGGATGACTTTAGTGAAATAACTATGAGAACTTGTAGGATTACTGGTAGCGCTGGAAGTAAAGACGGAAGAGTAGGAAAACTAAAGTCAAACATCTTAGGGCTCCAGTATGGTGTTTATTATGATTCACTACCAAAGGACTTAGATCGTATTATACCTTGGTTAGGTGAAGGGAACTGCTCGCAATTAGGATGGGAATTCAACTTCAAAGGCGCAGGTGGTTGTCTCGTACATACGGACACCGGCCAGGCCATACCCATAAGAAGTCATCCACGCTTGCAGCTTCCCATACTTGCATGCAACTTATTTAAAGAAGAGACTGATAGTGGTTATATTTGTTCAACAGTAGAAGAAGGAGTCAGTAGTTGTTACCTTACAAGACTCGAACTTCATAGAAGATGTGGGCACTTTCATATAGATGGCCTCCAGGTAAATTGCCCTGAGTGTGATCTACATAAAGGCCAACGCGCACCACATGCAAAAGCTAGAGATACTTCGAACTACAAACCTGAACCATTGAAGTTACTAGCAATCGACTTTGCTGTTGGAATCAAACCCGTATCAGTCAGGTCAAAGAGATGTGTATTAGTGATCATCTGTGATGTAATTAAGAAGGTGTTCTGTCGACCGCTTAAGCTGAAAAGTGACTGTGTGGAGGAAATAGAAGAAGTTATCAAAGGCATTCGCCAGGACTACTCCTTATCACTTGATGACAAGGTAGTGTGGTTCCTCCGGAGGGATGGAGAACCTGTCCTGAGCAGTGATGACATGACCAAAGTTATGCAATCGCTGCGAGTCTCAGACAGTCCGGCTGTTCCTTATAATCCGGAGATGAATGGGACCTGCGAACGTTTTATGCGGACTTTGTTCGGCAGTGTACGCACAATGCTGACTAAAGTTGATAAACGCCTCTGGTGTTACTGCGTCGAGTACGCTGGTGACTGCTGGGATCGTTTACCGCATAACTATGCAAAAATGCCTCAACATGATGGAAAGAGTCCAATTGAAATCTTAGAAGAAAGGACTGGTAGAAACTCATCGAAGAGTTCAATCGGCATGCTCCGCCGATTTGGTTGTCTAGTTTACTTTCGTGAACAAATTCAAGCCAACACTCCTGAACCCAAGCTCTCGGCCAAGTACCGCCGTGGCGTCTTCCTTGGACTCTGTCCGAAGTCGTCTGGTTGGTTGGTTGGAACTTTCGCTCATGACGATCGTTGCAAGCTTGGACATCGATGGGCGGAATACTCTACCCTAGATGTAAAGTTCAGAGAGGACTATCTAATTAAAAATATCGATTGGCTTTTGCCAGATCAGAAGGGCATCTACATTGAGTATGACGAACTGGAAAATCTGCAGAGTGGCGCGTCGTCGCTGGGCTCCCCCTTGCTTGGACAGTCAGTGCAAAGGCTGGATCATCAATCGGGGTTCTCTGGCACGGAGCACATTCCAGGTGGACCGACCGCGATTTCCGACGAATTATTTATTGAGACACTGGATAAAGTAGAGGAATCCAACGCAGCTGACTCTCCAAAAGGTGTTTCACTTGAGGAGGGGAATGCTGAAGCGAAGGATCGCGAGACATCTGCTCCGCTAAGTCCGTCTAAGTCGAAAGCGCCTTCTCCAGCACGTGTTGTGGCAGGCGAACGCCGTACACACGTCAAGAAGCGTGGCCGACCAAAAGGAGCGAAGGACAAAGCAGGCAGCAGGGTTCGAAGAACAAAGAAACAGTTAGAAGAACTGAGAAAGAATGTGGCGCTGTTCGCTAGTGCAGTAGGTGGCACGTGTGAATTAGACGAAGATGAGGAATTCGTCGAATCATATGTGATTTTGTCCGTTGCTCAAGCACTCAAGTCTCCTGATGCCGACAAATGGCGGGAGGTTATTGACAAAGAGCATGCGAGACTGCTAGCCTTTGAGACGTGGAAAGAAGCTTCTGACGAGGAGCTTGCGACCGCGCGACAGGCTCTACCAATTGCCATAATTCTAACTATTAAAAGATGTGGAAGATACAAGGCTCGCGCTTGTGTCCTCGGTAATCTAGATCGTTCAGGAGAGCTAAACACCTTTGCTCCCGTAGTTTCACACGCCGCTAATAGGCTGCTCCTGACATCTGCTGCGTCAGAACAGGACTATGTGATCCCGTTCGATTTAGATTCTGCGTTCCTCAATGCTGAACTCGATCGCGATGTCTTCTGCCGTCTCCCACCCATCTGGGCAGAGAAGCATGGACGCGAGATCGTGAAGCTCAAGAAGGCCTTATACGGCTTGAAGGACGCACCACGAGCATGGTTCAAGAAATATCACGACATACTAGCCAGTATTGGCTGGGAGCCGTGTGATTCTGCGCCAGGCTTATGGAGAAAGCCGAGTGCGAAGGTACCTGGGAAGTTCCTCAAGATGTCAGTCTATGTTGATGACAATCTTGCAACGGGTCCTGATCTTGATGAGCTCAAGACCGAACTAGAACTCATCTTCTCGCGTGCCCCTGGCCGTGCGATTGATGTGGAGTCCGTTCCAACCCCTTGGGGTCAAACGTGGCTCAGGTTCGACTTCTTAGGTGCCATCGTGTACTACTGCCGTGAAGCTCGAACATTTCGGCTCAATATGGAGGAGTACATTGATAAAATCGCAAAGAAATTCGAAATTGATGTCGGAAAACCGGTTTACTCGCCCAATTTTGACGAGTCGGCTTTTCTTGAGGAGGGGATCAAGATAGTCGAAGGGTATCCCTTTCGTGAGGTAGTTGGTGCCTTGCTATGGGTAGCTGTAACCGCGCGCCCGGACATTTCTGTACCGGTGGCAGCATTGGCTAGACATGTCAGCAAACCCGCGTCAACAAGAATGGTTAAAGCAGCCAGAAAAGTGCTAAAGTATCTGGTGACAACGAGAGACCAAGGACTGGAATACTCACCAGAACAAGAAGAAGAATTCAATAGAATCTATTCAAAGTTACTACCTGAAGGCAGAGATATGCCAGAGGTGAATATCTTTAGTGATGCAGGTTTCGCCAACTGCGCAAAGACTATGAGAAGTACAAGTGGATCGATCATGTATTTCAAAGGCGTTCCAATTGCTTGGAGAAGTAACCGACAAACTGTCCGTGCCTACTCTACGGCTGAAAGTGAATATATTGCAGCTTCTGACACTATCGTGCTTAGTGAACTGCATGACTTTACAGACTTCTATAGGCCTCTACCAACTCAGTTGGTACACACACAGAACGGCTTGTCTCCCTCTTTAGACAATGCTGTGCTCTGGATCGACAACCAATCCGCGATCACAACAGCCAAAGCAACTGACACACGCCCGAAGAGTCGCCATTATGCACTTCGCTACTTGCGTGTGCGTGATGCGGCCAGTAAGATAGTTTTCTGTCCAACTAACTTAATGAAGGCTGATGGCTTAACTAAGTTAGAATGTAGTTCGTCTCAACGTAGACTACTACTTCACCATATAGATAACCCGATAACTAAAGTTGAGTATGATGATTGTGATTCCTCAGACGATGAAACGAATGGGGATGATTTAGTCTACTATAGCGTAGTATATTCGGTTTATTTTGGTTTCTAGCCAAGTATACCGTAGCCATAAAACAGTAGCTAGGAGATATGATTTCCGTGGTAGTCCAGAGACTAGGGACGTCGACACGCAACGATTGAGGAGGGGTGTTGGTCAAGGTCATAATCCTAATGGATTCACAAAGATCACAAGGATAAAGATCAGCAAAATGACCAAGATCGCCAGGCAAAAGGTTACCGGAGCACCATCCAAACGCCCGACGGGTTTACCGTCGCGCGGGTGTCTCTGGCTTCTCCTCTCTCTCTCGTTTGTGGCTCAAGCCTCCCAATACAGTCAAGGACAAAACAACACCGGAATGATCTCAAAGATAACCTACAGACCTAAAAGCATATAGTTCCAAAATCAGTGATCAACAGGCAAAGGACCTTCAACGTATTCAGACAGTAGAAATGATGAATGTTTCATAGCTGTAATCAGGTCCATAACGTCTTGTCAAGTTCTGATCAATGATGAATGCCAGTGCATGATGATCGTATGAATCAATGATGATAGCGTAAGCGTTTCCATATGAAGGCTTTCCCATGCAACATGATATCCCAATGATGAAGCTAAGGCTTCCTCCTTGTAACCCCAATGAACATCCACAGGGATCAAAGCAGCCAGAGATCATTAGTCTCAGGCTGTGAGTGCAAATTGTGAAAACTGTATCACTCTCAAGTGTTTCTCACCGAGGAACTAGACGCGACTTAACAGTCTGTGTTCGAATGGTCCAACAGTTATACATGTTGTACATATTAGAGCACGTGTTTTCTCTTTATCTGCATATACGAACGCAAACTTTGAGGTTCTATCACCAGGAAAAATGGCCACTAGATCAGTGAATCGTGTTTGAAATGATCATAGTTCTATTAAGCAAATCTGAATCATAATCCTAGATCACACAGAGTGAGAATCAATCATAATCCGAGATCACACAGTCACAGAGTGAGTAAAGCTATTCGTTCACACAGTCACAGAGTGAATAAAGCTATTCGTTCTGAGTAAGGAGGAGATTCTTTGCAGATTAAGGACCTGACTCGGAGACTCTTCTTTGAAATTAGAGACCTGACTCGTTGTTGTACACGATTCAGTGAAAAATGTACGACGACCACGAGGACAAATACGCACATGAGCACAACTACGAGTTTTGAACTGATAGCGATGTCCTGTACACATTCGCTCTGACGGTACGGGTCACCCTGTGGACGGCGAGTCACTTCCTATCCTGGGTAAGTGGTTTCGTGTCGAGCCATGTCTATCCTCAAGTCGGGAAGTACTAGGTTGATGCGCGTTTTTCTTGCCGCGGATGAACTGGCATGAGCAGGAGCATCTTCTTCTCCGTTTCCGAGTCTTCGATCCAACACTCTTTTGATTTTGTGCTCTCACGCCAGGGAGCCACACACAAGGGTTCTTGTAGTTCTGAAGTTTTTTTACACCGCAGAAGCTGTTGTAGAAGTGGCTGCTGGTCGTGGTGATTCATCCACCTATGGCTCTTTGGAGGTCTGAGCGGGATGAAGCAGATCATGTTCTTGTGGCTACAAGAACTTAAAAAAGGTCTTGGTCGTCTCGGTAAGGTCCAATCCGTCGTTCCTCCGTCCGGGCTCGTCCTGGGTCGTCCAGGTGTCATGTTCTAGTACTAGCATTGTTGTTGGACTACTGGTAGCGGTTGTCGTGTCGACACGCCAGTGTTCGATGTACTACTCGAAGACTACTACCGTTCAGGCTTGACAAATTGATATACTAGAAGAAGAAGAAAAAGAAGAATAAAAGGAAGAAGAAAAAGAAGAATAAAAGGAAGAAGAAAAAGAAGAATAAAAGAACTATGTACTCATCGCCATCGCGGATGAACAGGGCGATACTTAGTTCTACTGGATTCAATCACCTAGTAGAAGTTATTCTTATTTCAGCTGATAGTTACTTAGTTCTGACTACTGGACTCAATCACCTACAGTAGAAGTTATTTCAGCTGATAGTTCAGTAGATACAAAGATTTTATCAAATAGATGAACAGCACAAATGACGAGGAGTTCTTTCAGCTTACTCAGTTTTCAATCAGTTTCAAATTCTTGGTCGAAGAAGAAGATCTCAAGCTTCTTATAATTTGCGGAGCAGTATAATGCGTATCAATATCAAATAAAATCAAGACCATCTACGACGCCCTTATGGCAGTCTGCACTGAACTTTGTGCGAGAATAATGCATTGTGTTGCATTGTATCAAATAAGATAGATCTTAGGCAGACTGCCGAGTTGTAGACTCGCTTCATCAGAATACAAGACAAACTAACAAGTTTCAGCTCACTCAGATCAACAAGATGGTCGTCGTTGAAAGTGAGAAAACGGCTGCCCCAACCCTCTGCGAAATGCAGGACGGCGAGGGCGTGAAGCGTCGCCGGGTGGAAGAGGATAAGACGAGCAATATTATGAAGGAACTGGTGGAACAAGAATTGTCTTCATTGTGCTTGTGTACATATGAAGCTGTGCTGTATGGTATATTATGAAGCTGTGCTGATATTGTTAGTCGTAATTATAGATGCAGTAATATCATGCATGATGTTGATGATAGTAGATATCATGCATAGTAGATATTACTATGCATGATAGCTCTAGGACGATCATCTTCCTCCTGTCGCTGTCTTTGTCGTGTTGACTATTTTGCGCTGTAGTTGAAGTAAATAGAAACTACTTAGATAAAATTTAAATTATTGAATCTTCTATTGTACTCCTGGAGTCAGTGGGTTCACTCTCTCACTCGCTCACTCAGTTCTTCTACTGCGGTCTTCAGGATGGTCACCTTCTTACTCTTCTACACTCTTGTTCTAATACAACAATGTGAAAGATGGACCATTGACTTTGATGAAACTTTAATGACCTTGCGTTCTTCGTTACATATTTAAAAAGCATCACTTGAAGTGCAAACAAAAGAAGGCAGAAGTGATGAAATGAAAGAAAGCAGTAAAGAAAAGACAAGCACTAAGAATATGCAACCCCATCTTCTACACTCTTATTCTAATACAACCACCAAGTTGAGTGAGGTTTTTCAAGGATATGCAGTGGACAACCTGTACCATTTTGGTCTGGACAGCACCGACCCAATGTTAAAGGAGAAATTTGGTAAGATCGAGCTCGTCTGTATGATGTTATGGCGATGGGCTTTGTAGGTTAACAGTTTCTACTAGGTTCTTTACTAATAACTAGGCGTAGTCATCTGTCATGCTCATGCATAGACTCGAAGTGGGTTTTTGGTATACTTACTAAGTCGCTTGCATGAATGGTTTTTGTAGGTTTACTACTCGAAGTGCTATATACGACGCAGTCTGTGTTTATGTAGAGATGTCTAGAAGTTGTTGGCCTAGGTGGTCTGTATGATGCCAATTAGGCTAGGACACAAGGTTTTTGATTTTACAAGAGTCTCAATGACCCTAAACATGATAAGCTCTAAACTCTACGAATTATACTGATCTGTATCATTTGCGATGTTATCGTTTTTACTGTCTCTACGATGTTATCGCTAGTACGAAGCATTTGGTTATGACTCGACGTCGCTAATTTTCGGCTCCGAGGGCCGTGCTGAGGCTTTGGCGCAGATGCTGGCTGAAGGAGGTGCGGCTGAAAAGGGGGCAAAAGTCGAAAATCTTTCCAAATCGGATCGCTGCGCTCTATTTTTATGAGAAGTGGACTACAAAAATAAGTAAGTTGTTCACTCCTTGATGATCAGGATAACCCGACCATTGTGGTCAAGTTATGAAGTATACTAAGAAAGTGAAAGCAGAGGACCGCCACCACTCGGGAGTGATCGAGATGAGTGAGGAGAGATATAGATGAAGAGCAGGTTTCTGATTCTGAAATCTTCTAAGAAACGCAGTAGGAAAAATTGCAGTGGCCACCCATGGCATGGGGAATCCATCGCTGCTTATTTTCTTGCACGAAATCACCAAGCTTTTCCACCATGCTGGAGCCGATTTCAAGAAATTGCGGTAAAATTGGGTTGGAGGTTTTCGTTTTTTATAGAACAATAGCTAGGATTAGTTGTTAGAAGAAGATGATGTCCATCTTCGTGTTCGTCATCTGGTCACTTCTTCGTGTTGGACGTACTTAGCTACTCTTCTTTCTCCCCATGATCCCCAAATACACCCAGTTTCCTCACTGTATTACCATTTCTAGGAGTCCATCTTCTCCCATACGAGTCTGTTCCCTCCTTTGTGGGGGAATGAATGAATTCTACCCATGTTGTTCCTGCAACCCAAGACCCACTATATCCAGTTTCCTTCGTGTTGGCACAGCTGGTGGAATAGGGGTTCCTGCAGGAACCGTTTGCGTTGCTGATAGTGCTATGGACGCTGGCTGTTCTTGGGGAATGGAGTACGCAATTCTTGGCGAAAAAAGACGCTTTTATGTTGAACAAGAGTCATCTACTGTACAGAGAAGGAGTAGTGCTGTGCTTCTGATGATGATATGCAAGAGCAAGATCATCTGATGATGATGAATATTGTTCAAGCTATAGTAGACTAGTGTTCTTCTGATGATGATGAATATTGTTCAAGCTATACTAGTGTTCTAAGGTAGTAGCTCTCTTAGATCGCACTTACTCGGGTATTTCTTCAGTTTATCGAATCCTAGTATTTCTAAGTATAAGTTACCACGTTTACTAGTAGTTCTAGCGTAAACGCACTCACTCAGTTATAGAAGTGGTGAACAGAGGACTAATGCGTCAACAAAAATTGCGCAGCATCACAAAGGCAAACCCTATCATGAATATTTGAAAATCTGGTGCATTCCACCAACATCTTTTCATCTACAATGCATGTTGGCCCTTCCTGTTCCTCCATCTATATCTTGATCTCCTACCACCTTTTCATCTCGTCCTCTTCCTTCTACTTTCTCTAAGCCTCTCCAGCAGTGAGCGACGAAGGGATGCGAGAGGAGCTGGGTGAGTGCCCCGTGGCTCCTAGCAAGATTGGTCACGTGATGACCACTGACGATTATTACGATTAAGGCCTCACAGTGAGACTGGAGCCCACTTTGTGGAGTCAACTTTGTCGGGTTGCGCGTTAGGTTTTGTTCTACAAGGGTCGACTGTGCGGCTCTTCCGATAGTTGTACTAGACTTTTCGGCCGAATGTGCGGCCCTATGCTCCACCAGTATGTAAATTGTTTAATTAATTAGGTAAAAGACATGTTTAAGTGATTAAAAGGGCGGCGGCATATAGTCCTAACTCAAAAAAAAAAGTCAACGCAGATATTTGGGCGAGCACTGAATGAATGGAGTGAGATTATGATTGGTGAGATGGGTCGCGTGACGAGCAACCCATCCCGGGCAGCATCGTGGTCGTCCCGTTCTTTCTAAAGGGAAGTAAATGGCCACCAGGAAGGATGCTTCACATCAAGACGGGCAGTTTCTCGTAGCTCTAATGTGAAGGTCAAGGTCGCGTGGATGGTGCATTGGCTACGGCCTATGGGGAACCGGAGCAGCAGAAGTTCTTACAAAATTAGGAAGTAGAACAACAACAACAGGAATAGGAACAGGAATCTGTAGGTACAACACTACTTTCTTTGCAGTTTGCACGGCTGCTAAGGGTGCCGTAAATCTTCTAACCCCAATTGGAGCAACAGGGTGTCGTCGCAATGGAGATGGAGGCCAACGGCTTTTTGAGCTTCTTTCAGCGTATGCAACTGCCAGCCGCAGTCATTGCAGTGGCGCTTTTGTTATGACGAGCTTTGGTTTTGTATCTTGTAAGTCTACAGCTACGTATGATCGGGACACATCAAGGTGGTCGCTTAATACTTCTATTATTTTCATTGTGCATTTGTCGTCCTCTATTATTTTCATTGTGCATTTGTCTACGTGAAGACCCTGTGACTCAACATTGTCGTACATTTATTGTTTGCTGCATGATCAAGATGCCCCCGTGGTGCACACTCTTACACTTTCGCAGAAGGAACAGCTATTTAGCAGAACAAAGCTAGCAGCAGTAGCACCACTTCAAACAGGTTCATGAAGTAGAGTCAAAAGGTTACAAAGTTCAACTTATACCTACCCGCTAATGGGTACTAATCGGTTGACTTACTAAGTGTAACTTACGCTTACCCCGCTTCAACGTATTAAGTTCTTGAGATTAGGCTAAAAACGCTAGAAACTACCTCCTAAAAGCTCAAGAAGAATCAAAAGCTACTTCTTGCTAGGCAATAAAAACCTACCGCTAAAAATCTGAACGCCAAATCCTAACCGCTGAAAATTGATCTACAACTAAGTTCTTGAAAATTGATCTACTAAGGCTCAGAAGAACGCTAGTCTTAGTCTTAGATCTGAAATTAGTCTAAAAACGCTAATCTCAGATCGGTTGAAGGGTGACCAACATGCGGAAAGCCGCGACAAGATCCATGAGTACAGTCTCCGTCCGCTGACTGTAGCCGTGTGGTACGCGAGGGAGAAAATGGGTCTATTTTCGTAAGTAGGAGACTGTCCTGTGATGAGAAAATGGCAATATGTTTCGTTTCCTAATAGTAATAAGTGGGATCATGTTCTCCTGTAAGGAGAAAATGGGTCTCTTTTCGTACTCTTCGGGAGAATGTCTCATAGATGTAGATCTGAAGGATGTCTCATGTCGCGCGACGAGACTGTTGGAAGCTAAAATGTTGAATGTATCCATCTAGATTCTAGATGTTGTAGATCTGCATTTGGAGGAACATTTTTCCGATGAAGGTTTAATTATTATTCAACAAGGTAGTTAGTATCTTTATCTATCGACGCTTTTGCTGAGCGTCACTACACACTAAAACTAAAGGCCCCCCGTCCGTCTAGGTTCTGTCTAATCTTCACGACGATTCAAAATTTAATCACGAGCTCTATTTTCGATGAGGCAGTCTACTGTACTAGTAAATTTAGGGAAAATGGAAGATGTGAATGGAGGTTGTACGATTGTTCGTGATTCATTGGAGGCATTGTAGAAAATCGCAGTTGGCTTAGTGGTTGCCGTGAATGAAATTTTTATCTTCACGTTGGAAAAAGAAATGTGGTTCTTCGTGTTTCTCATAGACATAGAATAAACGTGTACGATTCAAAGCACGAGTTGATATGTATGCTGGTCAGGGTGTACTAGAAAAGATGTCCGACGGACAGATCCTCGTCCGGACTCCCATCTTATTGATCGGGATAATTATCTATAGAACATTTCGTAAGAAGGATGTTGGATTGGATGGATTGCATGGCATTGCATGCATTGCATGAGCCGAGGGGGTCAGAGTGCGACCTTCTTAAGGGAGCGACGCGGGAACGAAGACTCAGGGCGCGGCATAGGAATACTTGGCTCCGTTGTAGGAGTACTTGAATAGTGCTGGCACGTGCTAGCTATTGTAAGTAGCTCGACTAGGCTAGCTTGCCTGTGATCTCGACCGTCTTGCTCACTGTTCCCTGGCGCACACAGGCCACGGCGTTTGCGCTGCTCCTTGCTTGTTTCTGGGGCGAGGTCACAGTGGGGCCGTGTTTGTGTTCGTGTATCGTAAAGTAATTCTTTGGCGGAGCAGCCCGGTACTGCGGAGGAAGTATGGCGCCCGAAGGGCGCCGCGCGAAGTATATTGTTTTTTGCGTGGTCCATCCATGCAATGCATGCCATCCATGCCATGCAATCCAGAAGTTCGGAAATTGCCTTATATTCTATTATCATTCTTGTGATCAAGAACTTGCACTCTCTCACTCGCTGTTGAACGCTGATATTATCATCTTTCGACAGAGAAGATCCTCCTGTGGTGCTCGAGTGGAGTAGAGAATTTTTCCGTCCAACACCATGCATGGACGGTAACTTTCAAGAATATGATACGACAAGGACAACGCGCATAAAATCAAAATATTGAATGATGAAGAACCAATCTTCATCAAGTGTGGTAAGTCTGTCGCAGAATAACGGTTGAATTAATGAACGTATCGATGGATCTTGGAAGAAAAAATTCAGCGATCCCGTCTAACTCGTGGTCGTGGTCTCACAAGGCCTCATGTCCACATGTCCATGGCTCAGTCCTCAACATATTTCATGATCCTCGTTCTTGGTACAGCATGCTCCTTCGACTCCCAGTCCCAACAAGCTCCTTCGAGTGGAGAATTCTCATCTGCCATAGAAGTTCTGGTCTTCGAAAGTCCTAGGCTCATCGTATTATCATCTGTCATCTGGATGTGGATCCCGTCGTCTTCGAGAACCTGAAAAATGCTGGAATGATCACTACGCTGATCTACTTTATCAAACATTTTTTCCATCTTGATAATAAGCGAACGAACTCAGGTGGTCAACGCCTTTAACCACTCGTCAAAAGTCCTCTGTCAAGAAGTGCCTTACCAAAACCACGCAGAGTTGGAAATCAAACAGCCGATATTGAAAGAAGTGTCCACCATTGTTTTCAAAAGTTATATTTGCAAATTTTATACATATTTATACTAGCTGTTCAAGGAAGGCAACAAGGAGAATATGAATGACCACGCTGTATTCTAACAATATTAGACACAATTTGTCATTATGATTAAGCATAGCTAAGGTCTTTGTTGTCATCGTTTCCTATGCTCTTGATGTGCAGTTTTTTCATTCGCGAGTTCAATGTTAATGAAGATTTGATGTCTATTTCAATTTCAATGAAGATATCTAGCTAGTGGTTGAGGAAAAATCTATTTCAGAGCACTGACTACTACTATCTATTCAACAACAAGTTATTATTATGAAGAGTTCTCGACATAGATATCATTCTATAATGTTTACCGAGCTGCTGTGCTGAAGTCAGAACAATCATTATCCAGTACCTATTTATGACTGCACTGAACTCGTAACCGTAATCACGTTGTAATCGCGTTGTTCTTTCTAGCACACTACAAGATCACTTTTTCAAGCACTGCAACATTATTATAGACAGTTAATCCTGTACTGAGCAAAGGCGTACTGGTGGCTTGATAAGCAAGGGCATTTTTTCCTGGGCAAAGGCAATTTTCAATTTATTTATGGTAGCTTTGATGGTATATGATAAGTGAACTGTAGCTGTTCTAGGTGTTCGTAAGTGACCAACCTGCAGTCCAGATTTTTTAGATTTCCTCATCATTTGTGAAGAAAATCTATCACTAAGTAGAAGCGTTGCAAGAAGGTTGCTCTTGTTGTTGTTCTTGAAGCCATTCAATAGGTCCTCTACATGTACATCTTTTTCTACTTACATCGATATTAGGAAAGAACGCACCATTGAAAACAGAAGAACTACAACACAGAATAAGTAAAAGTTGGAAAACGTTGACTAGTAAAACCCTAAACAGAAACAAAATGTCGGAAGCTACAACAAAGATGAGAAACAGCTACTCAACATCGACGTGGTGTCGTCCTCGTGGACGACGGGGAAGTCTCGCGCTCTTGTTGCACGTGGTCGTGAATGGTGTGAACAATATTGTGCACGTTTTAGGCGCTGGATTTTAAGGCTTCCGCTAACCCAACATCTCTTCCATAATCAAAATCCCTCAAGAAACCTAAAATTCAAAAATGATACAAGGGGAAGTATACTAACACATACGCTTGAGGGATTTCCACAGGGATTTGGAGGAGAGGTCCTCTAAGGATTTGGATCATTGCAACAAGAACTAGCTCATCCACTACCGAAACGCGCTCCTGCTGGTCTCATAGCAAGTATCCTAGAAGATCCTGAGCCTCCTCATGACCGCACGGGGGGCTCGTCTTGTACTAATATTAAGGCTCGTCCTGCAATATTAAGGCTCCCATTTTCAGAAGCATCTGGCTCCTCCCGTTTCTAAGTAAAGGTTAGAACAAAGGGAAACCCAACATGCTGCTGAAGATGCTGGGCTTCTCTTTTTAATATAGTTTGTTCTAATATGTTTGTTGTAGGTCGTGTTGATGAAGATGCCCAAGCAATCAAGGTTGGCGACGTATCAGAACAGGAGCCTCCGCTAAAGGCTTGCAGGCTGACTAGCTCTTCCAAAGATGGCCGTACTCCTTATGGAGAAGGGAGTTTTAGTGCATGTACTACACCTGACATCGATCAGGTTCTGGCTGGACTAAGAGGCGCATCTTCTCAAGCTCCACACACCTTCTATCATTATGAACAAACGGACACGCTTGTGGAGGAGGTCAAAACTTAGGGAAAATTAGGGGATATTATGGCTCCCTAATTTTCCCTAATTTTCCCTAATTTTCCCTATGTGGGAGGTTTAAGCGTGTCCGTTTGTTTCTAATATCATGCTGCACAAGATGAAGCACGTCATCCACTTGAGAAGCACGTTGAAGGACAGCATCCAATTACTCCAGGAGGAAGGTCTGATAGTAGACACTCGCTCTCGTCTTGGTGGAGTTCTGGCAGTCTCTCGTTGCCGTTCGGACTAGCTCCTGGAAGCCATGCACCTCCCGACTCACCCTCGCCGTCGCCTCCGTCTTACCTGTCTTACGGGTGTATATAAGTAGTTTGTACTTCTAGTTCTTATCGTCCGGTTCTTGCCTTAGCCTTATTTGATTGACGTGCATCTGATGTTTTATCTTTGCACTTGGCTGAGAGGGAAGAATAAATTCTACCAACACGATTATTTTGAACAACTAACCGCTTTCCTAAAAAGTGAGACACAGACTACGTGGGGCTAGGAGTTTGTCACTATTGTGCGATGAAGGTTAATTTTCATTTTCACTATCCTATAATCGCATACTTAATAATTTCACTATGGATATGGTTGGAGCACTCCTATAATCACACTTCTCCACTACTAGTATCGCTCCATGCGGAGGTTGTGCTGCGAACCTCTAATTCTGTGAGCAGGACGATGGCCGTCATGATGGAATGGAGCATCATGGTCTCAAGACTCCGCAATTTTTGCTCCGGGCAGTTAAGGCTACTTCAGCTTAGTCGTGGGTTTTTGTAAGTCCTAGTAGGACTAGTACTAGTATTGGGTGGAGTAATTGTATTAGAAACGCGTGGAATAATTATATATATGATCCAGGGCCGCACGGCCCCCCCCTCACTCGACTCACTCCCCCGCTAGGGGGGGGGCGTCGCCCCGCGCCCGGGAACATATTAGAAACGCGTCGCCGATCCGGTTCCGGATGTTGATCTTTTTGAATCTAAGAATAGCAAGAGTAGCAGCAGCTACTTAAGCCCTATTCCGAGTGAAGCAAGCGGCAGCGTGTACGCTTCGCCCGCTGGAAAACCCGGCGTACGAGCAGAAGACGATCTCAGGAGTGAGACACCCCCTCCAGCAACTCCTGCTGCAACACGAGTTGTACCTGGTGGAGGTGAAGGCCCTTCTGGATCGCGACCACAAGAACGTCTGTGCTCATCGGGGGAACAACAAACAGACACAGAAACCACTCTGATTCACCAACAGCAACAGCAAGGAGACCACTACGCTGACATGGGTTTTCCATCTACTATAGTCGTTGCCGATGGGCCAGAGGTGAGTCCTCCGTTTGAACTTCCTCTAGCAGGAAGCCAAGCCCAAGAATTGGCGAAAACTTTCCGACGAGAAGCTTTTAGTACCTCTACTGGAGGTACAGCTACCATTAAGGCTTACAACACAAGAAATTCATCTTAAGAAGCATCGCTGACTTCTCTTCTAAGGGGGAAAGGCGTCAAGGATGCTTTTCTGGATGAATACTTATATTAATATGCAAGCTCTAATGCGAGTCGTGGTTTTACTACAGGGCAGGGTGGCTTCGCATCCTCCAGCAGTCCTCCCCCTGTTGACGTTTCAGCTGTTTTTAACCTCTGGGCACAACGATCTCCGCATCAACCTCCCGCAGCACCTCGACTACGATTCGCTCCGGATCCAGTGAGCGATGAATTATCTGGATTTCCCGACGCTCACGCTTCTAAAGCACTACCATCCTTGCGTTTGCCTCCTCTAATAAGTGTAGAACCTGGAGCTTTGATTTCTCAAGAAGATGTTCATCTAGGGTTGCTATCATCATCGCATCAACCGCCCTCAGCACCTCGACTGCGATTCGCTACGGCTCCAGAGAGCGATGGATTATATGGATCTCCAGACGCTTCGGCTTCTAAAGCACTACCATCCTTCCGTTTGCCTCCTCCAACAAGTGTAGAACCCGGAACTTTGATTTCTCAAGAAGATGTTCTATTTAGGTTATTAGATGGTGAAGGTGAAGATGATGACATGGAGCCTCTTGATCTTGGTAGTGGTATGTTTAGAAGTCAACAGGAACAGACACAGGGACGGACTAGATCCATGGACATGGACGAGCGGCGTGAAGATGTTGGACGAGGTAATCTTTTGACCAAGAGCAAGGCTGCCCCCTCACCAGTATCAACTATTCTGATGGGACCTCCGGTTCCTCGTGAGCTGCAGGGTCTTAGAAGCAGTGGTAGCCGAGAGGGAATGAAGTCCCACCATTCGCCATCGATTTCTGATGAAGACATGGAAGCTAATTCGGCCGACACAGAAGACAATAGCAATACTAGAATTGGTGCACCACGTCAAGGAGGTCGTGGGCGCGGTCGTAGTCCTCAAGCAAGGTGGACGCTACTAGCAGACAGCACTCGTCAACCACAGGTTGATCGCCGTAGCGATAGTCACGACGAGGTTGTGCGTCGTCGCTTCCCCAGAGGACGGAGTGCCCCTAGACTTCCACGATTTACGCACTCAGACAGACCAGAAGGGCCTAAGTATAGTGAGGCTGCTTTAGCCAGACTGCCTCCTTTGGACATCGTAGACGATGATGAGGATCTACTTCGAGAACAACACTTTTAAGGCTTGTCCTAATGCATCTCCAGACTCTAGTGGTCTTTTTTTATCGAGATGTTGGTAAGAAGAAATATATAAAGCGAGTCTTGCAATTAATTTTCAGAGATGCGAGTCGTGCTACACGACCCCATGAGTGCTGGGCACATCAGTCAATGATCAGTCAGTCAATCAGTCAAATGGTTTCGGGTCAGCTCTAACACCATGGTGGTCACGGTCATCAAGGTCAAGCTCGTGGCGCAGCCTCTCATCTATTTCCGCCTGCAGCAGTGCCGTCCTCGAGTTCGCCTCTTGTAGAGTTAAGGCTGCTTCCACCCGTAATCCTTCTCTTCTAGAAGCATCTTGAGACTGGGGGTCCCATGTTAACTAAGTAAGGGTAGTTACAAGCATCATTTAGATCTAAGGACTGTTCGTCCATGATAAGGAGAGAACGGCTTCATCAAGATGTGAATCTTACGTAGAAGAGATGATGTTCTATTCGGGTGAGCTCTAATAGCATCCTTAACTAGCGGACAGGAAGAAGGTGGAGACGACGACGATATTTCCAGTCGCTTCTCCATGGACGATTCTCCTAGAGACTACTGCAGTTTCTCTTCAAGTTCAGAGGGTGGAAAGGCTTTTGAGTAGTAGAGTCAGTGTGGGCACACGAATCCTCGTCCACATTAGCAGAAGGATCAAGGGGAGAGGTGAACACAGGAAACTCAAGGGTGTACTAAGAGTTTTATTTCTTGAAACAGCTTTAGCTTTTCTGGTACAAATATACAAAAAGCGTTCCAGTCACTGAGTGAGTGAGATGTTTCGAAGAGATGAACTAGATGCACGACATATCAAAGGAAAATCTATACTCCTTCTCCAAAACCTTAATTTTTGTGGCATCCTGCACTTGGGCACGCAAGTTATGGCTTAAACTAGAGAGTTAAGTAGCTAGTTAAAATAGTTGGCTGGATCGAAGCTCTGGGCACCGGATCTACAACTATTTCAGAAGAGATGAACTAGATGCACGACAACCTGTTAATTCAATATCTCTCATACCCCACGAATGGGCATACTACTACTGCTACTACTACTCCTCAGAGGAAGAGATGAACTTCTAGATGCGCAACAATTAAAACTACCTCTTGCTATGGTGCTTTTGTTCCACGAAGAAATCACTATCATTCCGCAAGGATCGATGTGCTAAAGGTGGAGCACTGCTCAACAAGCGATAACCGAGCTCAACATATTATATATAACTCAAGATTTAATACGAAGATCTACTTGTACTTATGTACTATTCTCTTTGCTCCTTGTTGTTCAAAGCTTTTATTATGACGATGACCTCTTCTACAATAAGGGGTTAATAAGACTCTTGAAAGAGAGCTCAATAAGCATAGGCGTTGTGGTTCGTGGCACTCTTCCCATATAGGTTCGCCAGTGGCTATTTCGATATAAACTAACGCAGGCAATGGATCTAATTCGTTGAAACTTGTTTCGTTGATACAACTAGATTTGTCTAAAAACTGCCGTGTCTCTAGCAACCAGGCAGTTACTTGTAGCTGATGGCGTAAAGAAACCAGGTAGAGATGATGAATGCAGCTAGAAGATTCTTGTAACCTGGCAGTTAGGTCGGTGCCCTGCCGAGGCAACCTGAACCTGATTGATTGACTGAATGTTACCTGTAGCTGCTATGATGTGGTTGGAATGAATGAATGAGTCATCAGCTTTAAATTACAGCAGAACAACAATGAGGGTCGGGGTTCAATTCTTGTGAAGAACCAAAGAGCACTTCCAGATGCGGAGTAAGCCTGAATTTGTCATCTCGTATATAGGCTTGAAAACTTTTACTTGTTTTTACAGACTGACAGCAGCTATGTGATGTTACGACGTGTGAGAACTTCTTCTTTTATTCAGTATTCGTTCGTACTTTTCACGTCGGCGTGTGAGCACTTCTTCTTTCATTCCGATAGATTCTGGACTGGACTTCATAGGAGTGTTACCAGACTAAGAGAACGAGTTACTTATGCTATGGTTCCACAAGATTGACTATGGTTCCACATGATTGACAAGAAGATTGACAAAGGCCAAGATTGACTCCACAACAGACGCTGGTACTTGTTGGGTCTGCATTTTATATTCATACATAGTACATAGAAGATAGATGTGAAGTAGGAGCAAGCAGAACTGGTGATGGGCGTTGCCTAACTGCTTATATTTATGACAGTTACTTAGAAGACTTGCTGTCTCGGATCATGTCTAGTACCATTAAGAATGAGACACTAGCTGATTGCATAAGATCTGGTTGACATATTGAGGGAGCACGAAAACACATGCAACAAAGAAGAGATGCAGGACAGTCTTGCAACTAATTAGAGACGCTACATTCCGCGAGTGGGTACATCAATTAATCCATTCAAAACATTTTGATCTAGCACAAGGTCAAAAGATACCTCCAGACCAGGTAAATGAATGAATGAATGACTATCGCTCGGATCAGAGGTATCAAGAACAAGAAGAACAACTACTAGTCCTGGTCCATGCCACTGCTTTTTACGTGTATTCAAAATTAATACTGATAATGTGATGCAGGTTTGCTTTCGCTTTATTTTCAGTCACTCGCGGATTATGTCTATGACGAACACCGATGAATAAATCATGAAGGGAGACTATTTTTTAGTACTCAACATCAATCTCGAGGATTTATTTGATTTCGTCCTTAAAAATACAACTAAAGAAGGCGATGATATTTTAATTTCTATGTTGTGGTATTTATATAAATATAAAAATCTTCACTCTGCTTCTGTTGAATTTTACTAGAACAAGTAGATTTTCATGCCGTGAAGCTTGTGGACAACTGAGGAAGATTTTTTCATTCATTTTTTTCTTAGAATCGTGGCCATGACGTTGTCTCCTGGTCGTTTCGAAATTTAAAGCAGGTATCAAATAGTCTTTACATCAGCTATGGTGGGCATGAGATGTTGGCGTGACAATCAAGATGATGAACCGCTTCTAATATATAATCATTTTGATTTTGTTCAAACAAGGCGACAACAAAGAAGAAGAGGGAAAGCTATCAGATGAGGAAATCTAGTCCACGCATATGTTGAGTTTGCTACTACGAAGATTGACTCGGGTGTCGGAGAAAAGAGCGAGCAACACGGAGAAGTTGAAAAGAAAAATTGCTAGGGTACATTTTTTGATGCCAAATCAGTAGAATCTTAAGTCGCAATAAATGCGAGAACTTGCTATCCTCGCTTTGTTTCATTCCTTCCCTCATTACGTGGCATCCCTTTGTCTTTGCGCCTGGTGTCTGTTGCTCGTAAAACGTAGCGTGCCCCTACTGGTGGCCGGTTTGCGAACTGGATAAAGCTGAGGCCGCTCTTTCAGTAGCCCCAGGATACAAAAAAAAAGAAATTTCTGAAATCTCCAAATCCAAATCCGAATCCAAATAAAGAAGATGGCCACCGTTGGAGTGTTTGACCACCACCACCACCACCAAGGATAGTACACGAAGAAGTAAAAAATGATGAAAATAATGAATAACATGATCAAGGCAAAGATGAGAAGGGTGAACCGCCAAGAGCTGGTGTCCTGGACGGTGAAGCGAAGTTGAAAGGACTACAAGATTCTACTTCTAGCAGACTGCTGCTACTTCCCACCTCCCTTTTTGAGGCGATAGGTCGCCAGGTTGTGGCAGGTTTAGGAGTCTGAGAGAGAGAGTTTTTCTAGTCCACGACCTACGAAGATGCGAGCAGGAAGACGCGGCATGACCGCGGTCTTCTTTTCGAGTGGAGGAGGCTTTGCTGGAGTACTTGGCAGTACATTCGTCGAATTTCATCAGATTAGGGACAATGGAGGAGCATCACAGCAGGTAGTAATGTCACAACAAGCATCACAACATCATCACAACAGGCATCACAACACGATAGGCGTATCAGAAGGAGGAGTTGCACCAGGAACTACGGGAGGTGGTCTTCCGGTAGTTCCATCTTCTGTACCTTCCTCTTCAGGGACCACTATTAATAGCGCGACTTCTATTGCGAATGTGAATGACCCAAGAACGGCTCCTGCAGAGTCATCAACAACAACAACAGCAGACGTTAGCTTTGCACTGCAGCAAGACCAGGCTCGAGGGCAGACAGCGGAGGAGGTTACTGCTGTTAAGGACGGTTGTAGTACTTCTAGTAGCGTCTATCTTAGCTAAGAAAGTTTAGATGAGCAAGGTGTATATCTAAAGAAGACAGTTTAGTTGATGTATATCTAAGAGAGGATGATCATGATCAAGACCAAAGTGCATGATCAACCTGAACAGCCCACAGGGTAGTAGTACGGTACTTGCTTACGTTTGTCCTAAATGGCAGAAGTTCGAATCTCGAAACAGCAAAAAAATCCTAGATAAATTTGTAGTGTGCATGCAAGTCGCAGCATAATGATAGATTAATGCGTTAAGGCATTTGGTTTCGTAAAGAACTTTCTCAACTCTACTGATCATGAAGTAAATCTTTACAATTCCACTAGAGATAGGGACTTGTCCAAGGTATACTACCTCATTATTCACATACCACTATAAATAATACTAGCAGCACTACATCAGCATGCAAGCTCCATCTGATGATCCACGCGGCTTCTAATTTTGAAGTCGAAGAGGGTCTTGATTTAGCAGAAAGTGAGATAGCTTTTGCCCAGGCAGGGATTCCACCTGCGTGGGTTCGGAGAGGCTGGCAGAAAAAATCCTGGGAAGACGATGGCTTCGACCAAGCAAGGAAGGAGGGAGAGGAGGTTATGCTGGTTCTTTTGGAGTGAGTGTTACTGAATACCGATAGTCGCCTTTGATGATATATTATACACCAATGTGAAGAATGTCGTGATGTAGCCTGCGTCTTGAGATCGTGAGTATGTGCGATACAAGTTGTAGAAGGAGATATGATCGTTCGAGAAGCAGGGGCAGGGCGTTAATTATTATGCTGTTGATGTCGGAAGCGGAACAACATACATGTCAAACAATCCCTCACGTAGTACTACTAGTGATACTACAAATCTCAGGCTTGTAGTACTACTACTCGGGATGTGAGTGAATAGCTTTTGCTACCAGCTCTAACAATAGCACCAAAAACAGGAGTAGAACAGAAGAAGCAAACGCTGCGGGAGCTTTGACGTCCAAACCTTCTTCGCAGACACGATTGTACTCTGGACTCCGTTTCCTCACTGCTAATGGTGATTAAGGCTCTATAATTCCTACTTGTGAAAATAACGACGCCCGAAGAATTAATTAAAGGTAGGATGGATATTCTAATTCATGTTCGTGACGTTTTTAGAGATGCCTCAGACGAGGACAGATGAGAAAATGGCATATACTGGAATTGATTTTCTAATGAGTCATCGAAATGCTGGAGGAGGGAGAGCACAGGCTAAGCAAGCCCTCTTTGTCTTCCAGATCAAAGAAGATTATGGCTTCCGGGAATCGACATTTGGCTTTTGTTTGAGCTTTTCCCTAAAATATCAACTACATGCAGGGAGGAGAGGAACGATGATCCATGTCTACAATATTACTGTCACGACCAGTGGTCAATCTTATCGTCCACTAATATGAATCTTAGCGTTATCAACGAATACTAAATCTAAAGTCTGGACGAAGCAAGTAGATGTTTGCTATTTGTCTAAATATCGCAGTAGTAGAGATCAATTCCTTTCTTTAGCTTTATATCTTCTCTTTTCTTCTGTTTTTCACGTGTCTATTTCTGTTTTATCTTTAGCTCAGTGCAGCTTTAGCTTGTTTAGCTTTTATCTGAATACATCTTTTTAGCATTCTACACGCAGACAGTGAGTGGTGTTTTGCAGCTTCTAAATACAGCGTCGAAAAAAGAAAGAAAGATCAACATAAGCAGAAGCGCACTGACGTAGGTGGTTTTGATAAGGCCGTTTCCACGCTGGCTTCGACAGGAAGTTATGCAAGCAGGAGGAAAGATGCAGTAGATTTATATAAGAACTGATTAACGAAAGCTTGCGTTTTTTCTTTGGCGTTCTTGGGGTTGGTCCTTTTTTGTGAGCACTGTAGCTTTTCTACAGTTGATCTTGCCAGGAGCATCGTCCTCTTTCCTTATTAGCTTATAATTGTTCCATCTTCCTTACACCGCTCATGTTCTGAGTTCTAGGCTCACACTGTTTTTTATTTGCTGAAAAAGTAAAAGAAACACTGTACTTTGTTCTTCCTGCTCGGTCTATCTCGTCATTTGTCAAGAGCCTCCCTCTATTCTAATTCGCGAGAAAAGCAATGCCAAGGGTGTTTCTGGGTGTGCTGGCAGGCCCGGGAGAACAAAAGAGGCGAAATCGATGGCGCGAAACCTGCCTACCGCGTTTGCAAGCCACTGAAAAACACTATCAGTCGCAAGGGCAGTCTATTTTTTATGAATCAGTTCCCCTGGGTCGAGCACAGGAATGAAAATGAAGAGAAAACATAGGCGGGACAACTTTTACGATAACGTGATGTTGATCTTCTAAGATAAAAAATGCTTCTATCGTCGTGTCCATGAATGTCAAGAACATCTAGTGAAAAGTGTTTTCTCGTTCTTCCCCTTCTTCCTGTTGTGCGAGATTTATTGTATTGTATTGTAGTATGGTAGCAGTCTTCTTCTTCCTGCCTTTTCTTCATATCCTACGCTGGCGCTTTTTTGTGGGCGAACCTGATGCATATCCGATAGGGTGGGACCGATCACGACATGAGCAGGGCGTCTCAGCACCAGAAGAGGTGAGGAAAATGGCCAGAGACCTCCTCGCGGAATCCGAGAAATATGGTAGGGCAGCAGGGATTTTTGTAAGTAGTTTTTTACATTACTCCTCTATCAATCTCATAATAGTTAGTAGTATCACGTGATTCTATATTTAGTAGTATCACCTGATTCTATTCTTTGACTTTTCCCGCTTAGTGAGTCTGGCTTCACCACTATTATTGAGGCAGGCTAATCATGCTCAGTAGTGTACGAGAGTGAGCGGTCTAGAAACACATCGAAGTTTTGAGGTAGTTATAGTTTTGCAGTGGTTATTGTCTGACAAGTTTTTAAAAATGTACTGTTTGTACACGTGAAAACGATTTCGATCAAGTACAAGAAGAACAAAGTTCAGCTGTGAACAGTTTGTTCCTCTCCTTCATTTAATTCATGTACAACAACTAGATGAACTACTGTACTTTTCAGGTACTTCCTCGACTTCGTATCGTCCTCCATAAGGACTGAAGAAATACCTTCTAATCCCTGCGACATTTACCTTACCTTCAACCCGGATCACTATATTTCTACGTATCAAAAGACTCTAGAGATCTTTCGCGTAGGGAGCACTGCAGAACTATGGACTGATACGAACGGCGCGACTATGCTCAACACTGGTATGGACATGAAGACTCGAGCGGGAGGAAGCACTCCATCAGAGTCGGACTTTTAAGGCTCACGAACTTACTGGAGATGATGTCCTCCTTTCACGGGCTCCTATCTGCTCCAAAGTATCAAGTAATGAAAAAGTGAAACAGGCTTGCCGAACTGTGCTTGTCCTTTTGGCGGTCCTCGCTGATATCATGCAAACAGAAAGTTCAAGACATGAAAAGGTGAAACAGGCAATGCATGCATCTAATCAGAAGGTGCCCTGGGAGCTACGGAAGACCTTTCGATGTTCGAGAGGAATCAAGCCCTTCTAGAAGAACATATTTACGAGATCCTTTTTCGACGACCTTTTTTACCTTGGAAAAATCTTATCATCCTTCTACCGTCATTCATAAGTGTCTCGTCCGCGATTAGTACTCCTTTACTAGTACTAGTCGTCGAACAGTACTAGTTGTACCCATTCCTATAATATACTAGTTCAAATTTAACAGTTACGAGAACGATCAGAGAAAGAAGCTGTTGGTACTTCTAAGAACGGCAACATGAATCCTTGTCCGAGCAAGTGGAGGACAAACAACGAGCAGGTCCGACTCCTCCGGAATTCGTGGCGAAACTGGACAACGATTAAGACCCCTCTTAATTCATCTTTTGCTAGTTCATCTGGTCCGACAAGTACTAGACATCAATAGCTACATAAGAGGTCCAACCGTGGTGACATGACAATGTTCACAGATGAGGGAAAAGATGGACGATCGTAGTAAATTCTAAGACGGTTTTTGCTTCCAATACGAACACTTCTCCAACGCCATGATGAACTACGAAGCGTCCTTGTTAGAACTACCACGAAACCGGGAATTCAAGCCTACAGTATCCTATCGACCAGTGAAGAAATCTGATGGTGCTGGTGGTGGAGGAGCTTTTCTACTTATGGCGCTTGGAAGTTTTGAACATCATGAACGTGATTGGTACTTCAGTGGTGGGAAGTGCTGGTTTAATAGTCAAGCTCAAGCATATTCTTGATTTCACTGAGGCAGAAGCTGGTGCCAGGCACATCAAGCCAACTGCGCAGTCGTGTGAGCCTGGTTTTCTCAAAACTGTAGCATTTTGGTTCTCTTCCGGTGGCTATTCGGTTCTCTAACCTCCTTCTCAACATGACCCTTAAGTAGGATTAAATCGCAGAATATCTAAGTGGGCTTCATCTGCTCCACTGCACTTCGTCAACAACATCTAATACACAAGAGCAAGCGGAAAGTGCAACTGGTGACTCAAGTGGCGATCCAGTAGTGGTGAAAGGCCCAGCTGTCAACTTTGCGATTTCTCTGGGAAAAACAGGAGCTGTAGTTCCGAAGGCGATCGTCCCTGCAAAGGCTGCAGGTGCTAAACTCAATTATGGCTGGCCACTTTTCTAACGACGTTTGTACTGGTAGTAGCACCTCTAAACTGATGCGGCCATGGACATAGTAGTACCTCTAAACCACTCCATCATATCCCTTCTTACACTATCGCTATCCATCCTGGCATCGTATCCCTTCTTACACTATCCATCCTAGCAGCGTATCCCTTCCGACCCTCGTCTATTCCCCTGTACTGCACCCTATCCCGTCTTATTAAACTATCCCTATCCTATCCTTTTCTATCCTATTCCATATCTACTTATGTATCTAAGCCTAAAAATGCCCCGTTTTATACTATGCTTTTCTGCTCAACGTGCTCGACAAGACCAAGATCATGGGTTTTCTGGCACAACTTTCTCTATATACACTATCCCTACCGTGCCCTAATGCCTTGTCTAACTGAAGCCAAAAGATCCGAATGCGGTTGCGGCAGTAAGCACGAACTTGCACTACGATGCGCCAGCGCTCATCCTGTCGAACGCGAAGGACAAGAAAATTATGCTATATCAATTGCATGTATAACAAAAGTGACGAAAGACGAGCCAATCGAATGTGTAAAAACAGTGAAGATAGTAATTTTTTTGAAGATGATCATAAGTGTAGTATAACAAAGTAAGTAGTTGAGATAAGCTGAGTGTAACGATGCACGTAGCGGCTTAAGCTACGTATGAAGTTGCACAGACAAAAAAGTACATAGAAGATGACCTTGACCAGTCCGTGGACCTTGCTGGTTTACCTAGTGGACCCACACCTACCCTAACCTAGTCAGTGGTGCAGTAGGTGAGTCTTCATAAATATATCCAGCACTCTCTTCTAAAAACAAACGTGACGAGCTCGAAGAGCGTCTTTTTTCGAACTCCTTGATTTATGGATGGAGTTTGTCCCATCTCGATGCCTTAAAAGACTCAATTTTCGAATGACCACAGGATGATCAGTCGGCTTAGTGGTTTAGGCGTTGGCCTGTTCTCTTATCAAATCTCAAGGGGTCGCAGTCATTAGTGTGGTCAAAGCAAGAACCTGACTAGGTTTAGAAATTGCATGTGACTACAGGAGGTTAATTCTGAATCATCGAGAAAAGCGTGGCCTTAGGTTTATTAAGGCCGACAACAATAACTACAACCCAATCAAGAAAGTTAAGGTCCTAGGTAGATGGGATAAAGCTCCAGCATCGTTCATATGATAGGCAAGCAACACGGAGAAAAGCTGCCACAAGCGCCAGAAATAATGGCCGCCTCATACCTCTGGACTGGTGCTGCGTACAGCATTCAATTAAGGATCATCATTCTTGCATCCTACCCTAGTAGAAATATCTGAAGCAGTGCTAGTGCAGGTATTTTCGTGCAATATATAATGAGTTGTCCTTACGTCCTATCCTAGTAGGCTACTTGAAGTTGCAGGCTCTTTTTCTAATCCCCCTCGGCGTTGACGGTCGATTCTTTCCGTACCCAAGTGGGTCGAGTGAGATTTTGTCCCAGAAGCTCGCTTATCTCATCTCTCACACGGAGCGAGTCTACTCGGGATTGGTACTTTTTGCCCATATTACTGTACTAGAAATAAATCCAGTGATTTTGATTGATTATAATGATATCTCTCACACGGAACGAGTGACGATTCTATGCAGGAAGATTGGGACTTTTGTATTATATACTGTGATTTTATTGTTGGTACTTCTTAGTTACGGTTGCCACGGCCTCCGGGCTCACGAGATTCTTATAGAACAACGTCGCGGAAGGCACACCGACCGTCGTCGAAAATATCTATCATCCCAATCGCCATCGCGATCATGATCATGCTGATTATCATTGTCATGACCATCATCATCCTCCTCCTTATTATCATGGTCGTCGTTATGCTTCAGCTTCAACGGTATAAAAATTATTGCATTGAACAAATAGATGCTCCTCCGATTTGAAAATTCCCATAATTTTCAGGCGATGGGCTATGCCACGAGTAGTGAGGACACCGATTTAGGCTGGTGGATTCACCATGTCGCGGAGAAGCATGGTGTCAACGTAGACCTCCTCGATTTGGGGCAGAAGCTGAACACAGTCCAGGGCTTAGCGGACACTCATGGTTAAGGCTTTTAGCGAAGTAACTCCGAACGTTCTATTTTCACGACAAAGAGTATTATACCCATATAGATGTAGTAGAGTCGAGGCAAGTCGATTGATTGATTGATTGATTGATTGCTTGACAGTCCAGAGTTGGCCCTGGGTCTGTTTGTTCCTGCGTTATCCAGCGCCGCCGCTCGTTAGACGGCCGCATATTATAGTTGATTGATTGAGTGATCGAGTTGTCTTTGTGGAGCGAAGATGTGGACACCCTCAAGAACGAAACTAATCCTACGGCCAGAGGTCTGGCTCTTCTAATCTCAAGTCGGATTCAATGCGGCGGTGAAGAATCCGAATATGTTATTGTAGCCTTTCGCATTTGGCGCTTTTGTTCTTCTCATGTTCACGTTCAGTAAGAACTGCGATTGTAAATCTGTGTAATGACTAAAGAATATATAATGAATCACGTGAGAACTAAGAGGAAAAAGCATCACAACAAGTGAGCCAATAGTGAGCAACGAATATGAAATGTAAAGACTAGAACAAGATGTACAACAAGTTGCGAATACTTCTACTGCAACATTATTTGTACAGAAAAGATGAATAACCTTCACCTCCCAACGCTTATCAAAATGAATGTTTTTACGTGTGATGCCATACATAGATTACACTGATGATAGAAAAACAAAAAGAAAATAGAGAATGAACATGAAATCGCTTGTGTCTTCTATCTTCTTTCCTCGAAGTAAAAGTTCCTGTTCGGGTATCTCCACGGCTTCTCTTTCCTAGTTTCACTCATCGGTCCTCGCTGGCGTTGTTTCATTGAAAAAATCGTAGTTCATTTATCAGCATCAAGCTCAAGTTGCATTTCCTAGAAGATAGAAGTAGTTGCAATTTTTATAGTAGACACTAGATCGCACTGACTTCGAACAAAAAGACTCCACCTGATGGCACATGCTCACTAAAAAATAATCATTCTCCCATGCCTGTGTTCCCAATACTCATGGCGAATCCGTTGAAACATAACATGACCGAGCATGAGAGGATAATAGGAGCGGTGCCTGCTTCAGGGATACAGTTACAGAGACACACATACATGAGAGAATAATAGAAGAAGATCTCGATCTCCTGAGAGAAATGTAAATGAATGATGGTTTTTTTTTTCCAACCTGTGCGTGTGCGTAGCCAGCGAGTCAACACCTAACTTAACCAAATCCAAAATTTCCAAACCTCCAACCATGTTCGTTCACGACGTCCATTTTGCTGGTGTTCACTGCCTAGGAACCTGCGTTTGCTCGTGCCATCTGGTACTCAACACAAGATGGGACGCCATTACTAAAGTCTACAACTAATGAAGTTCTGATTCCGCATCCGCCAGGCGTGAAGGCAATGAGGGGGAGCAGGATGCACTCGGTAGGAATTTAAACCAACAACTGGCCGCGAAAAGAGGAGCCAAGCGAGCCTGCTTCTCTGAAAGCGAAACCGCCAAAGATTAAGGCTCAATAGAATTCATTTTCAACAGGGTGCCCCACGCCCTGACCTACTTACTCCTCAATCGAGCTGCCTACCCGGGTCCCCTACCTACAGTCCCCAACTCTTCTAATTTTAGTCGAATGAGTATCCTTAAGCAGGGCTAAGGAAGTCTTCGGTTAGTCCGTCACTGTTTAGCTGGTCCACATCATTGCGGGAAGTTCTTGCAACTTGACTATCACTCTCTATGAGTAAATCTATAGCGACAAATAGAAAGATAAAGGATATTTATGCGAGCTGGAAGGGGAAGAGGATAAATAGCTATGGTTTGCAGGCCCTACCCCATTTCTATAATTGAACTAGTTCTACCTCGCCTAGTACCTCTTCTAATCATGGGTCGGGCAGATTTATCCCCGGAGAATGTGCAGACACAGCTGATGCACGATTTCAAGTATCTGGCGATTGATATGCATCTTCATACCAAACTTTCGAATGATTATCATTAAGGCTACAAAAAATCCATCTTCACAGGCATCCTACTTGCTCCCCTCGCTTTTAGAGGGAAACGGGGACAAAAGACGCTGCTGAAGATTGACAGAATAGCTACGCTGTATTACTTAGCGTTTTTTCTAGTTTTCTCGTCAATTGTAATGCTTGTGCTCTTCTTGATCGTAGTTCTTGATCATAGTAAGTACTTCTTGCTGCAAGTAGAAGGATGTAGAAGAAGAAGAAGAAGAAGAAGAAGAAGAAGAAGCACATAGACACACAGGAGAAAATGCAAAGATGCACTAGAATCAATCTAGCTTATTATTATTTGCAGTCTAGTCGTACTAAAATCATCTAGAGGGTAAGACAAATCTAAAATACATAAGTAAGGGTTGTAAGACTTTCTACATAAGTACAGCAAGTAGAAACTGTTTCGTCTTGCCGATTGTCATTTTTCTATAATGCAAATAGGGGTGGCCTTCAATATTTGCATAACTATACAAAGTTGACGTTACGACAAAAAGGTTCATTGACTTGAAGAAAGCTATCACTGAAGACGAGTCGCAATCAAGATGAATGTGAAGAAACTTCTGTAGTTTCTTGAAGTTGAAAAATCATGCAGGTGGAATAAACAAGTTCATTTGCCTTCTTACACAAGGTAAATAGACTTAGAAGGAGATAAACAGTTCAAGTCTAAGACATGCACTGGAAGGAGTCACTTAGGAGGCCTCAAAAATCGATCCACCAGGAAAGCGAACGCTGTTGCCCTTGTAACGTTGATACCTACAGCACCAGTGCTATGCTTGTTCTCATCTAGGAGGCTTTCAGAAATCATTCGAGATGAAAACCTACGTACTGTGTTGTCTTGGAAGATGTCTCTCTGTGGTTGCCTTCGACTTCCTCTGTGTATTGATGTGTGAGTGAGCGAAGGGTGGAAGTTACAGAGTACCCTTTCAAGTACTTAGTAAATGTAAGTAATTTGAATAGTAAAGAGGCAGCACTACGTCTTAATGCAAGAAGAAGAGGCTGAGATTTAGAGAGCGAACCACGAGTGCATCCCGAGTGAAGAGTGGGCCCTCTAGAATACTTCATCCTCTACATTTAAGTCCGAAAAAAAGTTAAAGTTTTACTTATCATTCACTGTGATTTCTTATTCTTCTCTTGCAAGTTCAAACATATGTAGACGCCATTTTGCACTAAAAGCTGCTCAAATTATCCGACGTAAGATAGCACCGAGAAGCACTTCTATCTAGGTGTTTCACTCTTATTGTTCACTTTTGTCCCTAGACAATGACAACCTCTGTTCACTTTTGTCCCTAGACAATGACAACCTCTGTTCACTTTTGTCCCTAGACAATGACAACCTCTGTTCACTTTTGTCCCTAGACAACTTCGAGATTGATGGATTAATAAAGTACAGTTAGCTTGTTCTTCTGAACAAAAAATCTGAAAAAAAATGTCCGCAGGAGTTTCTCCACCGTGCTCGCCAAACGCGAAAAGCCCATCTGCTAAGAGCTACGCAGAGCTCTTTCGCTTTGGTGATTAAGGCACCTTGTTCACTCGCGCAAATTGATCTTCTGACCCTCTTCTAGATAAACTTTTGAACATTCTTTCATGGGAAAAAAATCAAAGAAGTCAACAGCACGTGAGCCCTACATGAACTTCGTCCACTTACTACAGAAGTAGTATGCGGTCGTCCTCTATGGGCAATCATCGGTAGTTTGCATATGAACTTAGGCAGGAGTAGGTACATCTCGCGCTCTAATGCATCAGTTGGCAGGGCTACGATACTCTGAGGCTGTCGAGTGAAGCCTTGAGTAATGTCGAATTCGATGCTGGTACTGGGGAGTGGCGTAGTAGTTGTCAACCTACTTCTGATGGTATCACGACTATCAAGGCAGACCTCTTCAATTACGGTGGTAGTTGATCAGTACTGGTGTCGTGTGACGTGAACTAAGTAATAAATACTAATATTACCACTTTTAGTAACAGTATTCTGTTGAGTGCTAATTCAAGACAAGCCCGCAACAAGTAGCAGATGAAGATCCAGGTGGTGAAGTGGATGGAGAGAAACAAAAAGAGGAGAAGGCGAGCTCGTCTAGAAGTAGTGGTGAGAAATTACGTCCGCCGACTTCGCCTCCTGCGACTCCAGGAAGTCTCAAGAGTGCACCACATCAAGCTTCCAGTTAAGGCCTCACTTAATCCATCTTTTAGCTCATCTGCCAGCGGTTTTCAAGTAGAAAAACCAAAGTAGAAATTTAAGTTACTAGCTGTAGTTTTCAAGTAGAAAAGATGATGCCGCAAAAGATGGATTATATTGAGTTCTAAGCGAAAGAGCAAAGTAGTAGTAGAGCAACTACCGCTGCTTCTTCTTCAACGCTACAATTAGGAACCATAACTAATCCTGATGAACCAAATCGAAATCTTACAACGAATTTTACAACTTCTAACCGTACAACGAATCCATCAGCAACTACTACCCCGAACCCAGGAACATCCCTTACAGCCGAGCCTGACGCTCACTTGCTAAAGCCAGGCGCTTTTGTAGCCATGGTAGAGAGCCTAACGCACGTAGTTGCGCTACAAGAGGTACTAGCAAAGGATGCCCTAGGGAGAGCTGCGGAAGAAGATAGAAAAAGAGAACATGAGCGTTCTCTGGAGGTCACATCTCTTGAATTAGGTCGCTTCGTTTTGAGGTCATCTAGTTATTGGTATTGTTACCGACATTTACATAACATTAAATGAGAATGTTGTGCTGGGAAATTCGAGGTGGAGTTGGTGCGGGCAGGCTAGTAAAATTGGCTTTTGTTATTTGAAGATTATTATGCACGGACAGAGGGTGGAATAAAACTTGAATCTATGTATAGTACTGGGAGGACTGTGTTGTATAGCACGTAAAAAAGATTCATCAAAATAATGAAGTTGAAAATGCGCTTGAGAAGGAACCAAACATCTAATTTCTGACGAAAGCCGTAGTCAGAAGACGCGTGATGCGAGGAGACATATTCAAGAATCTGCAGAGGCTATTCGACTTTCTAGAATGAAGTCCCTTGAGGAGATTCAGAGACTCCTAGATCAAACCAGAACGCGCGAGAAGACAAGGGCTGACGCTGGTTTATGAATGATTTCGTAAAGGAGGTAGATGGGTTTGGGTTTGTAGTTAGAGAATAATTTTTCATCATGCAATGACAGTGAGAGTTTGTTAAGTGAGAGGGACAACGAGGACAACCCTCGTCACCCGTGTTGTTCTACCTCTAAGTGGGTATTGACCTTCTACATCTCTAAAGAATGAAAACGCGAAGAACAGGGAGTATGTTTTTGTCACAAGTGAGGTTACAGCAGAGGCAGTTCATGTAGTGGCGCGACCTCGATTTTGTGATAGAGATTGGCTCCTAGCCTGTGCACAGACAGATGAGAGCGTTTTGGAAGCAGCAAGGTTTGGAAGTTTGGGTGGAGGTATTGCTATGGTCTTAGGAACTTCTAAAAGATGCTTGCTGTGGAGGGAATTACTTACCAGAGACAGAGAAGATTCATCTATCAGATTCAAGAACATCGCAATAGATGCCCTATTTCATCCTACACTGACTTCAAACTTCAGACTCCTCCACCTCGACATCCTCCGACGTAGTTTCTGTGGGTGTTCATTTGAACCAAGTAGCATCCATTTTCGCAGAACGCATACTCACTGTGTCCGCGTCCCGCGTTGAAGCACATCATGTTCGGTTGTTATGGCGGCCATATGTTCTTTTATCCCGCCGAGTAGTCCCGCTTTTAATACTTATACTAGTGATCACACTTACTAACAACGCTGCTGGAACTGGAAGGGTTGCCTGATAAATATCGAAGGAAGTCGTTGTAGTTGTTCTACTAAGTACACTATTAAGCGGAATGTTGATGAAAAAAAAACAAGTACTAGACACAGAGTAAGATTCGTCTAATTCTAACCCTTACCCCTGTCTATTCTTAGACTGCTCTAACTTTCGTCTACGAATGGGCTGTATCGAACGCGCTCCTTGCCATTCAAGCCCTGGCAAGTTCCTTGAGGAGGCCGTCAGCTATTGCGAGGATTCTACCACTGCAATGCTTTGACCTCTTGTCGCGATTCTGTGACCAGCATTTGGCGTTTCGCCTGGCGTTTCAGAGTCTCCTGGCAGCGAGAATAACATGCACGGATTTATGGCAAGAAGGCAATTCCTTGAAGGAATGAAAATGATGAGGGTAGTAGTTCTATCGCATGGTCGCTCTTCTTCTTGATCAAGAGGTGACTTCACAGACGCAGCACAAACTCCGATGCATTGACTCAAGTAATGACATGCTTCGAATGAATAGCAGACTGCTAGCAGCTTTTCAGTTTCTAATCCGGGTGACTGACATCCATGACGACGATGAAGAATCCGTGGGCACAAAACAGCGCGTCTGTGGCCACTTGTCGAGGCAGATAGTGAGGGCTCTGGCCATGCGCTATGATTCTTTGGCTAAGCAAAGCTTGACGCCGCTTCTCAAAGGCTTCGTGGCGTTGAATCTTATGGCTTTTTGTTGTAAGTAGTACATCGTGAAATTGAAATAGTCTGTGTGTGCGAAACGACTGCCATTACAAAGAAATATTAGTCTTTCGTCATCCTTTCTGTACAAGGATGGTCGTGGTCTTTCATCATCCTTTCTGTACGTGATGAGGGTATTCGTGAAAAAACTTAGATGATGAAACTAGAAGTACCCAAATCAGGCCGATAGAACAAGGTATGATGATAGACCTATTCGAAAACTGAAAATAACCGAGTTACTGGCTGAAATAAGGGAGGTAGCTTAACGCCAAGGCTACTCTTCCTTCTCATCAGTATCTCGGATATTCTGATCAGTTACTTGCTTATTTCAGTTTTTCGAAAACCTATTTATCTTCTCTTCTTCTAGTAAAACGCCCACTTTCTAACCACCGATGTCCATACAAGATTTTGTTGGAGGTCGGAGTGGAGGAGATATCGAATAGTGTCAATGTCGGGTCTAGTAAGAACAGCCAGGCGATGGCTTATAGTTTGGCTAAGGCATTTGGGGATCAATTATTGAGGTGTGTGGCCGATTACGCAGATGAATTCGCCATTGAATTTGAAACGAGAATACTGGAAGACTTGAAATCAGGTGCTGAAGGGGGATAGCCATTTTGTCACTCATGTGAGTTAAGATCCACCGGATGAGGCTGGTTTAGGAAGCGTTTGGAAGGAAGCAGCCGGAGCTGTGCTAGCATCCTGATTGTCTTGCTAGGTGGAAAATAAGGAATGGCCGCTGTTCCTTATTACTATTTTACAACTGACACAGTATAATCAATGGCGGTGGCCATCATCTTGAAGGAGAGAACAAAACAAAGCAAAAAAGGAAAAAATTGTAGAAGACAACTTCAGTGTACATACACGAGGACAAAGACAATTTGAACCATGCTAATCTGCAAAAACCTGATCTGTTGTAAATGCGTAAAGTAAAAGAGCGATTATTCACCAGTTTTTCCACACTACATGTAGATGTACTTGATGCCCAAATCGATGCTGTCGCATAATCGATGCTGGAGCATACTCCTAGTCGGCCGCGTTGTAGCTGCTTTCGCCTCAGTTGTTCCTCAACAAAAGACGATCGATGCAGTTGACCGAAACAACGTCGCAGGCCAAGAGCAACGAACTGGTGCACAACAGGTGGGAGAAGAAGCCGAGCTTCCAGTTCAACCACAACAAAAGTTAAGTATATTATTTGTACATGTATCATGCATAATCTAAGTATTTGATCTTCTTCACGAGAAGAAAAACAAAATAAACTATGTAGCTTCTCTGATGCACGATACAATTGACATCTCGTCTCACTCGCAACATAAAATCCACGAAAGTAGAACAACAGGCAGCGAAGCGTAGGTAAAGTCAGTATTTTGCAAACAACAAACACAAAGACAAACCTGCGGTTTGGGAAATGCATGGGAATTCATCGGGTGACTGTTTCAATACGGAAACTAGTGCATTGACGATCCGGATATAAGTCATCCTTGTGATCCGGATCGGTGACGCATTGCATAATACAGATTTACTCTTATATTATTCGGACTGATGTTGTATTGCGGATCCATCATTCTCTAATGTACCATCCTAAAGCATGGCGTACACAACTCGTTTTTCCGACTGAGGGTCACGTGCTATGTGAGGAGGCTAGGGATGAAACGCATGGCACCTGGACCAGACGCGAGCAAGCTGAAAAAAGAGAGGAGGAAGGCCACGATTTGGTCACTGGAATTAAGGCACGTAATAAAGAGTAAGAGACGCTAGATGAGGAAAATCAGCTGTGGAGAGTAAGGAAATTCAGCTGTGAAAAGTATTGAAGACTGGCATTAAGGCTATTACATCTAGGAGCTAGCTACTTAGCCTAGAACTTCTATGTGATAACGATAAGGCTTCTTAGGCGATCGAGCAAGGATTGCAACAGCACCAAGCGCGCGCATGACATTTCCTATCCGTGAGGATCAAGTCATCTGTCTGTGTCAGTCCAGACTGTTGTCACGACGTCTAATCTAGTCAGACTGGTGTCGAAAGGACGTGGTTCGAGGTCATCGTTAGGGAGCAGCAGCGATGAAGGTGATGACGAAGGTGCGGAGGTTGGAAGACAAGCGAGTGAAGAGGCCGCCGCGGGGGAGGAGAATACACTGACGCCTGAAAGGTCAATTTCAGGACAAGGCCACACTTCGACTGCGGCACGTGATTATGGTTAATTGTTTTCTTAGAGTAGTGTCAGATATCCTTCTATGTCACTCAGTGTCAAGCACTGTTGTACACAGAGAGCACTGTTGTACACAGAGTCAAATGAAAACTTACACAGAGTCAAATGAAAAAGACAGCATAACTTACACTTACACAGAGGCACTCCCACATACCTAAAGTTCTTCTAACTACACATGCACTTCTTCTTCTAACTACACCAAAGTAGGACCTCAGTAGAGGAGCTGAAACAACACCTCTTCCGACGACTTCGGGAAAGATTACTCTACTTCCAAAGTTCCAAGCCGCCTGCAGGGCGAAAAAATGTACTGGATCCGTTTTTATGAGAGTTTTACTCAGGAGTGCTCTGGCATTTTTTGGGAAATCTTAGGCAGACTGCCGAGTAGATTCGCATCGTCATCCGATCGAATAACATGAAACAAGTCTTCGCCAGCCTATGTATTTCGAAAACTGAAAATAACCGAGTTACTGACAGAAATAAGGGAGGTAGCTTAACATCAAGGCTACTCTTCCTTCTAATCAGTATCTCGGTTATCCTGATTACTTACTTGCTTATTTCAGTTTTACATGAAACAAGCCTTCAGCCTATGTATCTATTAATTAATTTCAGTTTTTCGAATATATTTATCGCTAACAATAGCATCAGCCTCGTCAACAAATTGTTGGCATGTGATGAAGCCGGATGACCTCTACTGGGCCTACAGCATCTGCTTCGGGCGCGATGTGAAACAGATTCAAAGAATAGCACACTTAAGAACAGGGAGATCTTAGGCAGATTGCCGAATAGATTGAGACTGACACCATCAAGAACGAGGGTGGGGGTGGACGTAGAAGATACCTTGATGCCTGTCGGCATTTTTTTTCCCTAGAACTACACATGGAAAAGAATGATCATGAAAATGGAAAAGATTGGGAATTACTCTGCTCATTCCCTTCTAAGTCATTCCGCTCTGACTCAGGACCGCACGACGAACAAACTTGGACAGTTTGCGAGGCAACATCTTCTCCTGACATGGTCTGTGAATCCAGCGAGTTCATCCCGCTGCCGACGATTTGTTCTTGCGCCTCAGAATGGTCCCAACGGACACATACAAAAGGAGTTATATCTACCACTTGATTCAAAAATAGGTGGAGATGAGGAGGAGCCAGATGACCTAGTTCCAGAAGGCGATGCTGTTGAATCTTCTTCATCTAGTGAAGGTACTGGTCGTGGATTGACAACACTTGGTGTACTTCGCTTGTGGACTTGTGGTCTGGAAGAAGGACTGGTGAGCTTTAAAGTCACCCAAGAGTTCGACCAAGGAAGCGAAGGACGACGCGCGAATGTAACGATGACATGCGGAGAAGCGAATGGGGGCATGGGGATTGTTTATGGCCCACGTAATTAGATACTGTGGCTGATGTCTTTGAGCTGGTCGTTCACTTCTAATTAATACAACCTCTGAATGATCAAAAGAAATGCAAGTTAAATTTGCAAGTTGTACTCCTAGTCGTCGAGTAGAACAAGTAGATCAAAGCAGGTGCTCGTTCCCGACATCCTTCCTTTCATATCCCAGAGAAGCCAGCGCATGTGTACAATATTTGGTTGCATAGCCCTTTACTGTGCTCACCAAAGCAAACCGAAGCTCGTGCCTTGGAGCGATATGTTGGGGTTCACCACCAGGTATTCTTTCTTATTATTTGATTGATTTTATATATCGGAGCGTGCGCGTAGGTCTAGGTCAGCGTGAATATTATGAGAGAATGCTGACACGCGTTATCGCTATGAAATACAAAGTCTCCAAGTAGTACGGCATCGTGTTTATTCATCATTATCTCTTTCTGTCCCCATTGCACTGTTTCAGGACCAGAGTGGCGCAATGAATACGCAATTCGAAGGAGCAGAGTTCGAGTCTCTAGATGCTGCTCTAGCTTTCTTAGACAGATGGTGGAGAGAGGAAGGCGGTATCAGTCACGAGGAGCAACAGGAGATCAAAAAGATCGTGAGAAGACGCGAGAAAAGCCGTAGCACTGCTGACGACACAAGAACAAGTACAACTGATGACACAACTGCAGATCGTCATGTTAAGGCTGCTAAGGGGCTCGTTTGTCATCATTTTCATGGTGAATTGCACAAGGTGAATTCTAGACTACAAGGGGAATTGCGTAGGTCCTAAGATGTGAATTTATCTTGAGCTGCGACTCTAATTATCATGGCACTAGGACATCTTCAAGCAAAGCAAGTTCTTGGATACAAGAAGTATTCAAAAACAGCACCCTGGGTTACTCTCTGACCGCTATTCTGGGAAGCATAGAGACGGTTTTCGAATTTGGGTGGAATTTAGTGCGAGACGGTGTTGAGTGGTTAACTAGTGAACTTTTCTCGCTCTTTGAAAATACCATTTTCGAAGCTCGAGTGAGTTGGCGGAGAGTTCAATGGATCCTCAGTGGAGCGGAGGGGCCGCTCCTTTTGCCGGAAAAGCCTGGAAAGAGCGGTACTGGAAGTGAAAGTGATGTCAGGAGCAAGGAAGCAAACAAGAATGCTGGCGGTACTGAAAGTGCAAGCACAAAGAGTGAGTCGACGCATGGTGGCGCGTCAAGTCCAGACTCATTAACTTCAGCTTCGACAAGTATGAGGGGGAGGTAGTTCTTCTGTTTCATCATTCATCTTCTGTATTTCGCGTAGGCAGCAGTTGCAGTGAGATGTTCTTGAGCTCCCTACTTGGTCTCACTCAGGAGTCGAGAATAAAGGGAAAAAATACAGGAGGTGATCTTGCTGGCTTGATAATTCACAATCAAGCCACCAAGATATGGATGATTGGTGAAAAACCGCACCAAACTTCTCCACCACCTTCACGCTCTTCTTGAAGATGTGGATGATTGACGAAACCCCTAAGGGACCAAAGAAGATAGGCATATGATGAAGACCAGCACTAACGGAGCATCTAATACACATGCAGCAGCCTTCTCGATTCGCGCAGCTGTGAAGAGAACACTAGGTGAAGGCTTGCTTTTATCGTCATTGCTTTTCGGCAACTACGGAAAATGCCTCATCGCAAACCATGGCTGGTGGCAGTATGAGTTTTGCTATCCGCACGCCTTCCGCCAATACCATAGGACTGACCTCCAAGGAGGAACGATTATGATGAATTTTGTCTTTCAACAGGTCCGAGTACAACTACAAGTACCGGACAACTAGGTGGAGACCTTTGATAATGTAACAGACACCAAAGTAGAAATTACTTTTCTTGTCCCGCCCCTCTCTTTCTTCATTATAGTGCAAGTGACCCTTTTCTTTCTTCATAATCTTCCTCCTTTCTGTCTTTTTTCTAGTTAGGTCGGCTCCACCACAATTTTACTTTGATAACATAACATTAACACCAAAGAAATTACTTTTCTTCATAATGCATATAACACCAATCAAAGAAATTATTTTCTTTACTTTTCTTCATAATGCAAGTAACCGCAGATCCCGCCTATTCACTCGGGTACTCAGTGGGAATCGCTGGCGTTCGTGGCCTTGTGCATCCTCTGCGCAAGGAGCTGCAATTGCGCGTCTCTGCGCTGGGGAAAGCTGTGTTGGGAGCAGAGCGCTGGGTGAAATTCTTAGCAGATCAAGAGAACGGAGGAAAGGATTTGGTTTATGGCTTGGGAACCACCCTAAACCCTAACCCTAACCCTAGCCGTTCCAAATAATTTGTTTCTTTCATTTGGGCACAGAGAGAGAGTGTGATGAAAATCTACCAAACAATCTACTGCTCCAAGAAATTATACTTCATTTCTAATATTTACCACCCGAAGAACAAGAAGTACTACATCAAGAAACCACATCTTCAAGGAAACAACAGTCTCAACCTGCTCATCAAAAACCTGGTGGAACTACAACAAGTAGTGGAAAGACTAAGCACAATTACGTCAACAAGATTCGCAGTGGAGTGAAATCCAGAGTGCGCTTGAGCGAGAAGAAAAAAGAAAAACACTTACGGCGCATGCGTGCTGAAGATTGGCTCAAACACGTCGATCACGGTCACGGTGGAGATGGTTCGGCCTTTTCTAATGGTGGACGTGGAGGTGTTGGGGACAGTGTTGGAGCAATAGGATTTATGATGCATTACTAGGTGTCCGGTTTCGATGTTGTGACGCCTCAAATTTTCATCATGCTGCTATTAAGTGTCCGCCAACTACATGCTGCTATTAAGTGTCCGTCTATTCATCTACATAGTTGGGCGTTGTTCTTGTTCAGGGTTCATGCCATCTATTCTGAACTACGCGGTGTACTAGATTGAAGCTGGAAAATCGCAATGAAAAATCGCAATGACCTTGATATCGAAGCTGCTTTCTTCATATTCACCAGAATCCCTCCACCGAGACACGAACATGACACAGCCCAGTGGTCAGCGTTTCTGCGGCGAAAACAAGCTGAACTAGAAGAATATGCCAGCGCCGACGCTACGCAGGTCATAACAAAACTCAAAGTGCTTCGAACTTTGCTTCTTGCTCTGGGCTTTTCAGTGACCGACCTACACGTGTATCTAGGAAGTAGGGCCACTAGTACATGGAGTGGAACAAGTACTTCACAACATGAACATTTTGTAGAACAAGGAGAAGAGGTAGCAGATGGTGGAAATAGTAGCAGCAAAACTCCAGGGGCCAGCACCAGAAGATTCGGTTTGAGTGTAACAGGCGAAGACTCTGAGTCCGCAGATGGAACATCTTCAACTGCAACCTATTACGATGTACGCAATAGTCAATTAGTAGAGTTTTTTCATGATAAGCAGTGGCATGCAGGAAGACTGCTGAATGTGAACCCACTAAAACAGACTCTTTTGGCGAGTCGTGGACAGCAAAGCCAAGAAGAAAAGGCGTGGTGGGAAGTAGCCAACATCGCTACCACGGATATGAGTTATGGAAAGTGCAACGGGAAGCGTCGATTGGGTATTGGAAAGGTCAAGGACTATATCATCTTTTTCTATTTCTACTTTCTTAAGGTTGTCTTTTCTATTTCTACTTATGGTTGTCGAAGGTGGATCATCTCTGTGAGGCCTCACGCAGGTTCCTCCCTACAGAATGCTTGCATAGGTGGAAGTCCCTATGTAGAAGCAATAACATGAACATGAAGTAACAAGCCTAGTAGCGGCGCAGTTGCGTTCTAGAATATCGAAGGTGGATCATCTCCTGAAGTAACAAGCCTAGTAGCGGCGCAGTTGCGTTCTAGAATATTCACACCCTCCTGAAGTAACAAGCCTAGTAGCGGCATCTCTAGAATATTCACACCCTCCTGCTCTCCATTCTAGAATATTCACACCCTCCTGCTCTCCATTCTAGAATATTCACACCCTCCTGCACCCTCATGATCTTCCCATTGTGCAGCATGCTCTAACGTGAATTTGCACCAGTCCATTTATCCGATCATCTTCGAGCTTTGCACGTCCCTCTGCTACGCATAGTGCCTTTTCCCAAAAACTTACTACTCGGGCTACAAGTTCAGAACCATTTGCCGGCAGGTTATGAGTAGGCATCTTCTTCATCGAATATTTACTACGTTGTATCGATCATGTTGTACGACACTGCAGTGGGTGTTCAGACCCATCCCGCTGTGTAGTAAGTGCACCAGTGCAACATACAGTGCTGCAAAATCCGATATTTCTTTCTACACCTGTGCAGCGACTCTATCTGGTCTAAGTTTGATCTTCTCCGTCGTCCGGCTCAGCAGGTGGAGATGCTGGTGGCGTTCTCTCCTCTCTGAGACGTAGGGCAGAGCGTGCGCGAAGACGTCTCCGCAGTTTAGCCGAGAACAAAAATGGGATGGCGCTTCTAGAACTCGATGATGAGGAAGATGACGGAACCTTCGATCATATGGCAATCGTTATATTGGCGTGTAAAAGTACCTAGAATTGAAATTGGTATTAACCAAAAGATCACAAAGATAAACATACATGACCAAGAAGATCGTCAGGACTCGACGAACATTATTCAATTTCGATTATTGTGAAAACGAAAAAGTTGAGAACTACCTTGCTGATACTTGTTCACCTAAGATTAAGTGCATAAGATAAATTAATCAAGATAAGACTCGTAGTTGTCGTCTTTTTTGAATTTTTTCGTCCTTCATCCTTCGGGAAACAGGCGTTTCCGACAATGGTCCATTATCTCTTGAGGAAGTGAAACGCTCTGTCGCGGCTTGGCATGATGCAGAGGATTTGCACGCCGTGTGGCTACGCTTGCAGGATGGAACGTCATGCGACGAGACCCAAAGACCCAGGACCACAGAAGTTTTTATTTTGTGCTTATGGAGGAAAAGGTAGAAGAGGAATGGAATAGAGAATGGAGGAAAAGGTAGAAGAGGAATGGAATACATAGAGAATGGAATTATAGACTAAGCCCACTAATGCTCGGGATCATATGAGTGACTGGATGAACGGAATTGGAGGAGTAGAGTAGAGAGTGAGGAGCACTTACTTATAAGTACTTACATCATGATGATTAAATTTTCTGTACCAGTCGGGGCAGTGATAGTTTGTCGTGACCACTGTGTACTACTAGCAGCAACAGGGGACAACTCGGACAACAACATCTACCATCTTATACGTAGACAACAACAACAACATCATCGGACAACAGCAACATCTGCCTTCGCAAGTGGATTCATCTAATCCCTCCGCCAGACCCGCAAGATTCCGAGTCCTCGGGGGAGTCAGGAGATGGCGACGACGATGACGGAAGTGACGACAGAAGTAACAACGATGAAGATGGTGAAGAAGTTACGGAGAGTGTACTATGTCTATGTGAGCGTATCCTGCTGTACTAGTGCTGAAATCTTCATGTTCTTGTTCTTCACCATCTTTTTATACGTCATCATCTACTTGTTCTATAGCTAGTACCACTTGAATTCCTAAAGCAAATAGAAATAGCTGCGGGGTAGTAGCAGACTTAAAAGACGGGCTCACGAGAGCGAGGCCCTGTGCCTCTGTCTAAAAAGTGTAATCGACGTCGTGAGGACAGGACGTATCTGGACCAGTTGGGAAAGTGGGAAAAAGCAACAAAGAGAGGCGACAGCGTATTATGGTCATCATTCATGTTGATTTAGTGTCTCTCGGCATTTTCATATCCCCTTTTGCCCTGTGATATTCTCCTGAAATTATACTGGGGGAAAGGGGTCCGGTCGAGCAGATGAGGGGACCAAGATCATGGATGGCAGCTGGGTCTAAACGTATTCGGAGGGGAGTCCACAGGGGAAGAACGGATCGGAGTGGAGGTGTCAGGTGGGCAGATAGTTTTCGACGATGAGGCGGACATACGAGCCACGAATGTGCAAGTAGCTGGCTATGATGATTAAGGGTAGAAGGTTGATAAATTATATGGCTTGGGAGTTGACCTATCATCTAAGAGCGTCTCTTCTATGTCTTTTTCAAGTAGGAAAGCCACAGATTTGCGAGCTAGAGATGTCAACTTTCAACCCCTAAATAAAGGCGCTTTTGTAGTTGCCCCCGTTTGTTCTTATGGCTCTAAACAAAGGGGGACAGTGATAGAATAAACGGGAAAAAAAACGAACACCAAAATAAAACCCACCTCTAAGATGAAGATGAGGAAGCTTTCGTTGATGTTGACGATGAAGAAGCTGGAGCCGACTCTGACGATGAGGCACTTGACGCTGGAGGAAACAACACTTCAGCCAGAGGAGAATTGCACGAGATAGCGCAAGAGATGAAACTACGAGATCGGTCAGGCAATAACAAACTAGAACTAGTACAAACTAGAACTACAGGCCAGAAGATGCTGCGCGTTTTCCAGAAGAAGCAAAGGTACTTTTCCTCACCTCTAGTCGGGTCAGAGGGCTTGGTGACCAGGATACCTCGCTCCTTGCGGCACGATGTTGACCAATCTGCACTACCAGAGGACGAGTTTGAAGATGCGATGGAGGAAGCTGAAGAATTGCTTCGAGAACAGCAGTTAGGATGAGGAGTTTGAGAAGATCATTATAGATAATATAAATATTTTTAAGGGTATTTGGAAGTTGACCTATCATCTAAGAGCATCTCTATATTAGCTTCTTCAAGCAGGAAAGGCATAGATATGCGAGCAACTCTCAACTTCTAGGAATGAGTGAATATCTTGATAAAACCTACTTACAGTGATAGAAAACCCAACACCCTCTCCTGCCGGACAAGATTTACACTTAATCTCATAGAAAACCTAACACCTCCTCCTCCCTGTCCTCCTCCGAGACGACCAGCTCTAATTCTCTTGCAGAATCATGCCCAACAAGCAACGTCATCATCAAACAGCGACGATGACGAGACTCTACTTTCGCAAGCACATGACCGAGTCAGCTATTGGGATAGCCAGAGGGAGAACGACGCAAAGACACATCATAAAAAAGAACGCGCTAGCTTTTTTGACGCTTTTTCTTATGGCTATTTATTCCCCAAAAGGATTTCCATATCTGAAGAAGTAAAGACTTACAAAAATCATGGTCACTGACTCAAGGATCAACATGCGAGTCTAACTCTATATACGACATCGTGTTCTTCGATATTTTTGGTAAAACTAAAGTAAAGAACTCAAAAGAGATTCAGGGAAGTCGTAGGTCCAATCCGAACCGACTAGCATCATCATCATCATCATCATCATCATCTGATTCCTCATCATCTGATTCATCATCGTCATCATCATCATCATCATCATCATCATCATCATCATCATCATCATCAAAGGTCTAACTTTCCAGAGGCAGCGGGCCTGCCATGGCGGATCTAGAATTCGTAGGCCTTTCCGAAACATTTTGCCACTACCGACTAGTCCTAGCATCTCGAAGTATCTGCCAACATCCAAGACTATCTCTGGTGAAAGCACCGAGCATCCTTGATGAAGACGAAGTTCTCGACGTGGCAGAAGAAGTTGGTGGCTCAACAAAAGATGACGTACCTCAACTTCGTAGGCCAACTTGGCAGGTTGGCGATGTCTCTCGCAGTGCCGCGACTACAGGCCTAAAGCGTCGCCGAAGCCTGAAGATGGCAGCGCGCTGTACCAAGACACAAGACAAGCGCCTAAGAGGGCAGCAGCGAGGGAACGAGGAGGTGGAAGAGGAGTTATAATGAGTGTTTGTGTTGAGCATTTTTTGGAATTTGTACATGACTTGTGTTTCTAGTATAGATACTCTCGCAGCGCAGAATCTTCAGTAGGGTACACTGGGTGAATCATGTCCATATAGAGAGCGTGCCGCGCTGCGGGTCCGTGGTTTTGCTTCCTTGGTTACCGGGGAGGGAACGGGGAGATGGAAGAGGATTATTGAAAAAAAAGTTGAACATTTTTTGAATTCGATATCATGGACGTCGTTGTAGTTTGTTCATATTGTTTTTGTAGGTGGTAGTGGTCGTACAACTCGCAGTGGCAGCAATTGTCTAAGGACAAGACAGAGTAGAGTCATCATTGTCGTGATCGATATAGTTTGGTATCGTCGTTGTACAGGTGATAAATACGAGAACATCATAGAAGCTAAACGCAAAGCTACTTTTCTGTGAGTCTAAAGCAAAGAAAAACAAAAAGAAGATCAACGCTCGTTCAGAATATGATAAAGATATGATAAAGAGGAGCAAGGAATTCAAGTGGCGTTTATCGGTATCGTCTAGCAAACAAGACATGTAGTCCAGGGTTTAGGGATCGATGTCATTGGGGCCGTCACGACAATCAAGTTGGCATTTTCAAATGTATAAAAGCATTATGTTGGCGAGGTTTCAGCACAATGAGCGGCGACAGACTAATAGATTATTTATGACAACGACAAGAGCATGCAGCCGGGTCGTCCCAAATCGGGATTTCGCAAGATTTTTCTGTGAGAACAGGTGGGGTCATTCATTCAAGAAAAGTTTCTTGGATTATCCACTACCACCTCCAAGTCCAACGTATGTTCTCAATACTATTAACGTGGCACTCGAAAACTCGAAATATCCGAGTAAGTATGTTCTCAATAGATACAACTACAACAAGAACTTATTTCTCATATTTACTCCTGTTGTTTTTCGGTGTTCGTGGTCTCCATGACGCACTGTGCTGTCGGTTCTTTTTCTCTTCAGTCGGTCTCGGTCTTCGGTCGGTCTGTGGTAACATAACGTTTTGTCTACCTCCTTTTACACGTCATGATCAGTAGATCAGCTTCCTCTTTCTGTGAGAATCGGTCTGTGTGTGTCTGCAAGTGCAGCGTTGTGAGTCTGTGGTCTCCATCGGTCTGTGCGTCTCCTTTGTGCTTCGTCTAGTTTCTACTAGGGCCTGTCATTTAACTTCTTTAGGAACTAGTACTAGAACCTCCGAAAGTGATAGTGAACGACCCTGATATGTCCCTCGTGAACGAATATTAATTTTTCTTTCTTTGTACTTGCGGAAAATTCTAGATTACAGTGTACCAAGAGGATAAGACTACTTCCATGAGAACGAATTTCGTCAATGCAAAATACCCTGTCATGTGCCTGTATCTCAACCTCATCTCGCTCTGTCTCTCTCTCAAACGCAACTTTGCTATAGGTCTAGAAGGAACACGACTCACAGCAGGCAAATGAACAGAACAATGTACGCATAGACATCTCCGACAACATGATCATTAGAATACTTATCTCCTGTCAACATTTGCGCTAAAAGCAGACGGATTGTACGTGGTAGAGCGCGTCAGCGCGCTTGTCAGATAGAACCCGGCGACCTTCCTGCTGTTTCGCTGGACCACGGTGAATACATAGCAGAGATTGACTTTGACAAGAATCCTCGACTCCGAGAAATAATGCCCTGCTCTTTCAGAAGTGAGACACTGTCTTCATCTTCTGTGCGTTGAAGTTGAAGGATCATAGACGAGAACTACAGAAGAACATCAAGAAGTACAGAACTACAGAACTACAACAATAAAATGGTTCAGCACGCGTATCGCGCTGACGTGGATGGCCTCCGTGCCATTGCCGTCTGGCTAGTGATCGGGGATCACTTGAGCTTGGACTTCTTCCCTTACTTAAGGCTTCAAAGTTGGCATAGGCATCTCTAAGAGCATCTCTATAGGCTAGATTAGCGGGTAGAACTCGTCTGGGAAATCTTAGGCAGCTCGCCGAATAGATTCAAATCATCAGCTTCTTCAAGTACTAGGAAAGCCATAGATATGCTGTATGGTTCCGGCATTTGGTAACCTGAATTTGATCCTAAGGGTTCCCTAGAGCGGTCAACTTTCAACCCCTAACTTACGGCTTCGTTGGCGTGGATATCTTCTTCGTCATTTCCGGGTTCCTGATCACAGGCATCCTGTACAAGGAAATTGCGAAGCGTGGGGATGCCTTGATCGAATCGGCGGTCTTATCGTCCCCTGCTGATCAAGGAAAAAAAGGAATTCATTTTTCGAACATTTTGCATCGATTCTATCTTCGCCGCATACGCCGAATTGCACCGGCCATGTTGCTAGTCCTTTTCTGCGTCATTTTTAGCTGTCTCTTCTTTGCGATGCTGCCAAATCACGTCTTTCTTTATGAATTTTGGAATTCCTATAATGCTCTTCTTTTTAGAATGTACAATTCGACTGAAAGGCCTCCAAACTACTTGACCACGTAGTTAACGAGGGCACATCCACATGACATAATGATGAATTTCAATAATTTTACAGTTCTTTCAGATGATACATCAATCAATTCAACACGTGGATTATTAATTAAGGACTCTAGCCACATCTTCTAACCTGGAACAATCCTCGCGCCTGCAGCATTCACGCTTCTCTGCGGTGCAAATTTTTGGTTCCATTTCTCCATTGGCGGCGCTGGCTACTGGGGAGTGAGTCATCGTGAGCAACCCCTAATGCACATGTGGAGCCTCGCCCTAGAGGAACAGTTTTACTTCGTGTGGCCCTACGCCATGGCCGCGATGGAAATGCTGGTGCGAAGAGGAGTCCTGCGAGTGCACAACAAAGGAGGAAATAGCTGTAGAGCTATGATGTTTCGATGCTTGCTAGGGAGGAAATTCGTCCAAGAAGAAGATCGTGTAGTAGAGAGGACGATCAACAGGCATGGAGAGGACGTCGATCAACAGGCATCAGCACATCACGACGAGATGAGCACGACCAAGGTCGTAGTTGTAGAGCAGCACGAACAAATAGTACAAAAGTCACAAGATCATGAACAAAAACAACACGTCACGTCACAAGATCAATATGAACAAAAACAGAACGTTCTCACTGCTCCTCTTTTACAAGCGTGTAGTAGACGTGGCACAGTTTTCGCTCTGTCCGTTCTGTGCATCGTACTTGGAATAATCTCTTTCTTTGCTTGTGTAGCGACGACTCTGCAGGATGGCTATTTTCTTCTGCACACACGCGCCTTCGAACTGCTTGCCGGTGGTTTTTTATCACTCCTCATTGCTGCGAGACGAGAATGGTTACAAACTGTTGGAGAAGCAGAAAATGTAAATAAAGGCCTAAGATGTGGAGGAAGTGCTCCTCGAGTACAACAAGTCTCCTTGGAGACAACATCTACTACGAAAGAACAAGACGAGGTGGATCAACATGAAGAAGGACCTAGAAGAAATTCTAGTAATTGCTCTCCAATGCCCGCGCGGCCAACTACAACTTGGTTCTTCTCAAGGCAAAAGGTTAGCTTTTTACTCGAAGTTTTTCTCCGCAACGTCTTGTCCTTAGCAGGAATTGGGATGATGCTGCATGCAGCGCTGACGAGGACTTCGATATCAGAACAAGTAGCGCAGATGTCTGAGGTAGCGAACAACGGTGCCCTGGAGCCAAAATTGTGGAGGATACTGGAGGCAGATCTTGGAGCTCTCCTTTTCATCGGAGCTGGATGCTTCACGAGCAGTGAACTAGGACAGTCAAGAGCTCAGCAGAAAAAGGAACAAGACGCTGGGACTGACGCTCCGACTAGTACTACTAGCAGTTGTATGTTGGCTACTGGTACTTCTTCCACAACTAGTACAACAAAAGGAGATGGCACTGGAGAACAACGCGTCACGTCTACTGTTTCTGCAACTACGGCATCTTCCACAGAGATCAAAGTGAACTACACAGGTGGACAAGTTTTTCAGGCTTGTCGTGACCTTGCTTCGACGTTCAAAGATGATTTCGCCAGTGCTTTCTGCGATCCGACGCAGACTGCGGACGCAGAGCGCTTCTCCCTAGGTTCAAGGATCATTGCCCACAACTTCTTCGTAACCTGTGGGTTGATCTCGTACTCTTTATGATTCCATTCCTGATTGAGAACGTCGAAGGAAATAGGGGAATGTCTATGTCGTGCTTATAATACATATATTAAGTGTAGTATCTATGGGTTTTTGTTTCGGTTTTTGTTTTTTCTAAGTAGTTAGATATGCTCCACCAACATATATATTGAGTGTAGTATGTAGTTGATGTAGGACTAAAAAAGCAGTAAGAAAGAGGGAACGGCATTCCCCTACTATCCTCGACATTTTCTTTCTCAATCAGAAGTTGAGTCGTTCATACTGTCTTTACTTGTGGCATTTCCCGATCATTGGACTTCTGCGCTACCACTCAGTACCAGTGTGGGACTGGCATGTTTCTGTTATCGTGGTTGTCGTCACGCACTGTCTCTCGTGGCTCACGTATCGCCACATAGAAAACCCACTCAGAGCGAGAGTCTTCCTTTTGTTAAGGCTATAAAAAGAAATGCATCTCCCTTGGCATCTTGGTCCCGTTTTTTAAGACAACCAAAAGGGATCCAACACGAGGCCCAAGATGGATGTGGATGTCTTACAGTTCTAATTTTGACAGATTGCCTGGATTACTTCAGGCTTCGAAACAGTTCTGTTTCAAGAACGTCTTCAACAAGTGGACTCGGAGATGAATCAGCATCACCAGGGATGAAGAAGTCTCCACCTCCTACTGAAGAACCGACAGTGACGACATCAGAAGGAGCAGGAACGTCAACAAAGGACTCCTCTAGAAAAACTTCGCCTACGGAAGACAGGAATCAGGAACTTCTAGTACTTGACGAGACGAATGCGCGAGCCGCCCTTGCAGTTCCTGTGAAGGAAGAGCAGGAAGACAATCTTCTAAAGGGAATCCCGTCATTCGGCTCGGCATCTACAACTACGACCTCTGGTGGCGAGCGGAAGCAATCTACAGACTCGTCCTATACGAATAGCACATCTTTATCGAGTGTTGGGCGTTTGTTGAGCGCAGACTCGTCAAGTGCGGGGAAAGAGTCTGAGTCAACAAATCGGCTACAACAACTGCCAGTTGTGGTACTAGAAGCTCACCAAGGTGGAAGTGAACAAGAACAAAAACTAGTGCAAGGAGCAACAACAGGAATCATAGGCACAAAACAGCAGGTAAGTAGTACCAATAAGAAGGACCACGAACAAGAGGCTCCAGCAACGTACAACTCTCTTCCCTGTGGTCTGTCCTATCTCCGAAGGAGCAACTTTGTGAAAAATGCAGGTGAACTAAAATCTGCATTCACCATCTACATGCTCCTCCCGGTACTTGTTTTGGGGATCACCATCCTCTTCGTAGTACTTTTGCCCTTCGAGTACGGAACCTTGAACTCCATGGGAGAGACGCCATACTTGAATAAGTGGGGGACTTCGATCTTCAATAGTCGAGGCGTCGAAGACTGGATAGGGCATCCTCCACCCAAAGGCCTCACCAACGTCGTGTTCTACGAAGAGCAGTGGTTATCCCCAGAATGGAAAGCGAACAGTAATTAAGGCTTGATGTTCTTGATGATGTCCTGCTCAACATAAGTATGTAAGTATTATACTAATGCATCTTCAACAATGCTATCTTGGTGTTCTTGACAAGCATCCTTGATCTTGGCTACGTTTTTCACCGGAAAAAGAAAGACGATGGCAGAAGAGATGACTTGAATTTGAGCAAGGTCGTGAAGCAATTTACGCAAGAAAGTCACTCTAAGATAATGCACAAAGAGTCGCTGCTGCGCCATCGGTTATCCTTTTGGGGGACTCGCACTTGGCCTTCGAATATTGGGAAGTGCTCTTAAAAAGCGCAAATCGTCGAGCCTTGGGCTACTTCTTCGGTTATCAAAATTTTAAGAACAAGACATCCAGTTTTTTTCTCGTCAGTGTCAGATGGCAGTCTTTGTCTTGGGACGGGCAGTAGCGGCATCTTCTACGAGACAGTCTTAAAGTTAATGATCCTGTAGTTGTCGACCTCTTGTTTTCTACCTTTGTTCTTCTCTATCTCTAGAGGACCAGCATCAAGATTATTATCTCTAAGACCCGGGGCAGAGTCGGTTCTATCACGTCGACAGTACTCGACACATTCGCACCAGCTGGCAGTCTGCCTGGATCTCCTGTCCTTCAATACAAACCGCCATTTCCTGAATATTATGGGGCGTAGTTGTTATCTTTTGAATCAAACGTTTTTTCTTGATGTGCCTGGAAATAAGCGAACGGATTACATTATGTACTTACCAGGAAAATAAACTTACGTTTTTTTACCGTCAACATCGATCGTTTTTAGCGTAGTTACCTCTGTCTCGGATTTCTTGGAAAGTGTAACTGTAAAGTAAACTAGTACACCTCTGTACTAGGTAGCTCTACTGTTATTTCTAAGAATACGTCGTCTTATCCGGTCATTGGCATTCGATGATCCGCTCAGATTCTCAGGAATACGATGAGCGGCGTATCCGCGCTCTCAGCATGCAAGACTCTCTCGATCTGGTGAGAGACGTTGATAGCCCTGAAGTTAAGACATTCAGAAGTACTTTGATCTTTTTCTCGGTAAGTGATTGATTCTTCAGGATGATTATACCAAATACTTTTTACCATTTTTTTTCGGTGCAACACACTATGCCGATGTATGACCATAAAAATGTTCTTTAGGGTGCCAAGATGAAGATGATGCCTCATCCTCATACAGTATGATTCTGCCTCTTCTAACATCCGTGTCGGATTGGAGAATACTATCATGGAAGTCGTTAACGCAGTCCGTGCGAAGTCCGCTACTACCAAGGTCTTACTGATGGTCGACAACCCCGAACTCATGGGTCCCTTGAAGCCCTGGTGTGGTTTGGCCGTCGTCGGTGCACCTCGCGGCTCCGCAGCATGTGAAACTGAATTGTTAAGGCTATCTGTGTGGTAGTCGTGGTTCCTAGTAGTAACGTCTACCACACTAGACATCATAGTACGTTTCAGTGTTGAAGTTGAAGTCCTCTTCGGAAATTTAACAAATAAGTAAGTCATTGTCAAGCGTGTTTGTGAACACTAGGACTGTATATTTTCACCCTCGAGGTGATGCGTCTTTTATATACAGTCCTAGTGTTCACAAACAGTGAGTTATTAGCCTTTTATACGCGCACTAGAATAATCTTCTTGACTTAGAACCCACCAAATTTTTGACCATCTTCGTAAATCAGCTACGAAATAGTATTTCCTTTACATTCGTAAAACGTCAACTAGTAGTACGAAGGAAATAGTATTTCTTCCTTTCCTTCCCACGCTAATATTCGGCGTCCATCTCGGCATTCAAACCAACAGTCAACGGGTGTTGCGACGTGTCAAAGACAGCGCTGACAGGAAGGTTGGTGTGGCCAATCTGTATGCGGGTGATGTGATTCTGCTGCCTTATCCGGCCTTGCGCACATTGTGTGAACTCAAGGAGCAGGACGCGACTGGACAGCAACCGACTTCGGCGTACATCTGCAAGAGCTACTTCCGTGACCTGATGGATTCGAAAACTTTATGTGCTGCCTTCGTGATGACAAATTTTGACACTTTGAACAATTTGATTTTATCATGTTTGAACAGAAGCGACAGACTTCTGTCCGGTTCGAGCCTCAAAAATGCTAGACAACACAGTCGATGCTGGATAGTACGCGACCCAATGCTAGAGGGCGCACTCAATCATGCCAGACAGCGCAAAATCACAGTTCGATGCTACAGTCAGATAGCGCAGCACCCAAGAAGTACGTATAACTTCAGCTTCTTTTCCCTTATATATATAATTTCGTTTTCATCCTCTAAACCCGATGCTCCCTCTGTTCCGTGGCGACACTTCGCACATGACAGCGGTTGGCCAGGAGGCTTTGGGCCATTATTTCTGGCAGTATTATGGTAATCCGTTTGAGCCTTCGGATTTCCTGAAGCAGTACGTGGCTGACGACCTGCTACCGGAAAACAAGAGGGACTGGAGTGGGCGCTAGAGGTAAGGATTGGGTAAGGTGGTGGTGTGGGATGCTGATTCGGTGGGGTAGTTATCGAATTAGATGTAAGTATGTTATGGTGAGGATGGTGGAGTGGTCAGGCTAGATGGGGTTGCTAACGTGTTTGCTATTAGAAAGATCATGAAAGTGTTTGTCATTTTAGAAATAAGGTCATGTTTGCAATTGATATAGAAAGATCTCTGATTCTGTAACCTAATCAAACGGTGTACTTCAAAACCAATCGAAACGTAAGCAAGGTAGACGAGAGTTCTACTAGCGAACACGATGTACTGCGAGAAATGTCAGCCGAGAAAAATTAGCGAACACACAATTCAAGAATGAAAAAATGTATTACCACGTTTACAAGTAACGTAGATACCAATCGAGTATAAATAATCTAATTGAGAATGAAAGCCCATAAAATTTAATGTATCACATGTAGCGACAATGACTCTTTTTACACATTCTTCTTCTTCAACTACATCGACATTTTTCCGTAACTGTTGCTCAGCGTTCCGAGTTGTAATAAAGCGGCACTAAAAATGATCTATCAGGGTCTGCACGCACAAACAGAGCTGAAGTGATGGAGTTTTTGCATAGCGTGATACGTCTCTCCGCCATCAACAATGAAGATCGAGATAGAAGTATGAAAAATCATGCGTTCCACTTCTATGTATCTGAAAGAAATTTTATTCATCCTCGTCAGAATACGTCGTACTCAGATTCAGTTGTAGTAACTAACTACATACAAACATATTTTATTTTCGTGCTTCACTTTCACTACGTATTCATATTCAGTACTCATCCGAACATGAACAATGTAGTAAGTCATAATTATTCGTCCTCAACTGTTTCCCGTCCAAGGTATGTGCATGAAGATCTAGAAATCGTAATTTTTGCGCCATGTAGTTTTATGTTTTAGTTGCTTGTTGTTGTACCACCTAAAAAGAAAAGTAAGAATCAATATCAATCGTGAATCAAACAAACATCAAAAAGCTGTGGTGTAGTAAAGAACATGAGAAGTGAAAGTGTAAAGACTTCATCAAAATTAGAAGAGTACCTATTCAAAATTTGAAGAGTCTCAGAATCGGAGTGACGGACAATATCAATTAGAAGTTGGAAAATGACTGCATAGACTTGCAAACGACCACTTGATGTTGATGTTCGAGCATCATTTATTATGACTAGACTATGTATCATTGATTGGTGAAGAACAGAAAATACAAAAAAAATACTTCCTCGATAGAATTCGCGGAGGATTTCTACTTCTGCGTGGTCTGTTCTCGATCTGGAAGTATTCTTGGACGAGTGTCATTCTCATCATTTCTGATCTTCGGGCAAGAGGTAAAGCAAGTATTCATAGAAAGATGGTTGATCATGCGATTCGGTAGCAAGCCAGGATCTCTCATCTCGTATTGTTGTCTTTGGATTTCTTTGCCCTCTAAAAACAGAAATGAAGAAGCCGTAGTGATCGGTCTGAAGTCTTATGCGTCGCTGTCTGCTTCCTTGTTGTGATGAACAAACTGTCTTGCTCGGACACACCATTTATAGAACCACTACCTCGTCTCGCCAGTGGCAGAGAAGGACCAGCAGAGATGCCATGATGATGCTGATGCTGGAAAGTCACATGAAAATGTGGCAGTTAGCCTGACGGTCTGTGTGCGTTTCTGATTCTGTTGCAGCGTTATTTGTAGGAAGCAGCGACGTGTTTCAACACCAATAATAAGTACATGGAAGATATGAAAAATGGTTCCCAATTCCAAAGTCTGACTTGATGTCATCTTCGTGTGGAGATGTACTTTTAGTGTTTTGCTTTAGAAATTTACTAGTATCCACTGATGGGTGACCTCTACTTGGCTATCGCCTGTAGAACTTCCATAACTTCGAAACTAGGAGAAGCCCGAAGTTGAAAAGTGTGGCTTTTCACCAGCTATGTGATTGTACTGTATTTATTAGTTGATTTTTTTTTGTTTGAGCGGACAATTGTATGATTGATTCAATCCCGTGTCTTGGCGCGTGGCTACGGCGGGGACCCTCTGACTCCAGTGACTCGTGACTTCTACTGAGAATCCAGTGACGGGTGACTTCTACTGAGGATCCACTGACTCGTATGTATCATTATCGTGCTACGCGAAGACGTAATCAAAAATGTTGAGCCTCTCTCGCGCTTGGAGGTCCCTCGCAGCACTTTATTTTTGTTTTGGTTGTGCAGCAGGACATGCTTCTAGCAAACTTGTTTCAGCGGCATCGTTGGGATCAGGTAGCTTGCAGCCTTCTTTGGGCTTGAGAAGTGAACAACTTGGAGATGAAGAAGAGGGAGTGTCCTCCGGCAACGCAATCCATTACGATGGATCTACTTCCGGTTCCGCTAGCGCAGCAGCTAACGCACTTGTTAAAGCATCAGCAGCAACCTCAACTCCCCATGGTGGAGATGGTGAAAGGAAGAGAAAACTTTTTCAGATCATAGGCGATACCAATATAATTGTAGGCGGTGGCTCTGGAGGACTAGTAGGATCCCTTCGAGGACTGGATAACGATGGAACAAAGTCACCGCAGAGTCTAGTGGCAGACCAATTGAGTTCTTTATCTCTAGGAACAGGAACAACTACATCGTCACCACCTACATTTCTAGGAACGGGAACTACTCCTCGTCTACAAACTACAGGAAGAACATACTCAGGAGCTCCGAATGGAGGTGAAACTACTGGTGAAACTACTGATGCATATTTATTGACTTTGACGCGGCTATCCCGTTCGGCTTTTGCAGCAATTCAATCACCAGAGGAAGCAGGATCCTCTACTCAGACGTTTTCACCAGCTCCTTCTAGTGCTCCTGGTGTTGGGCTTTCACCTGGTGTTGGATCCGGATCCGGATCATTTCCGGTCACCGGTAGTAAGATCATCCACCAGACAGACCTGGTGAAAGAACTACAGCAGGACAAAATCAAGCTGATGGCAGAAGCCATCACATTGTCTCACAGACTAAAGCACCAAGAACAAACGATCAATACATTGCGTACTGAGAAGGAGAAAGCAGCCAAAGGGGAAAGGGACGCTTTGGCGCTGGTTGTAGATTAAGATCTATTATAGATACAATTTTTTATTACCGCTTCTAATCGGCAATAAATCTAGTTAATATTACAGAGGAAAGGAAAAATTTTTAATTTTAGTAGAATTTATGATCTCTCTCAAGAAGATCACTTCAATGAACTCTTACAGCTTTCGTGAAGTTACTTCGTTCTAGTTACTCCACTATCTTATTAAGTAGATGGAGCATCTAAGATGCAGCCTCCGGTGCGCCAGCATCGGGTAGAGGAGTTAATATCTGGGAAGTTGAGGTCGACGAGGACGTCTATGGAGGTGACACTGATTGAGAACATCAATGAAACTAGGGGAATACTTAGAAGAAGAAAGGAGAGAACTTGTAGTCCCTGAAGTAGAATAATTTGAAGATGGCACGCGCATTCCCTTGTCACAACATCGTTCTCAAGCAGTGGCACCATTCACAAACTTTTGCTGGGGCGACCTAAGATAAACTATGACAACATCAAGAAGAAGACCCGCTGGATCCCATTGGATGCGCTGGCTGCGAAAATGCTTGACACTTACTACGATAGATACCTAGCGGAGAAAAACGACAAAGCCAATTTTTTATGGCTTCTCCCAAAATGAGAATCCATCTTTCTCGTGAAAGAAGAACAAGATGAATCCTTCCATTCCAGCTTTTCCTTAGCGTCCATCTTTATTCCCGTGAATTGTCCGGATTCGGGAGTAGAGGCCCTCGCCGCTCCAAGGAGAAACTATACTTACTATCCCTTGGAGCAGCGAGGGCCTCTACTCCAGGAGGTCACAGACTGAAATAAGGGCGGTACTAGCTTAATGCCAAGGCTACTCTTTCTTTTTCACTGATCAGTTACTTGCTTATTCTGATGATCAGTTACTACTTGCTCATTTCAGTTATTATCGAATTTAGATTCGAACCTTGGTAGCTCTAAGCAAAGCGCCCAGTTCATCGCTCAGTGGATTTTTTTGTGAGGAACTAGATGGCAAAGGGCTTTCGACACGGAAACTGGCTTCCTCCCAAGTGACGGTGAAAACGGCAAGAAGCGAAGAACTACTGATAGATTTCGAGAAAATGCAGCAAACGCATGCGGCGACAAACCGTCAGCGAGCGATCCGCGTCCGCGTTCCAGTGCCGAAACATTGGAAGCGCCAAGACCTCGCTCATGGGAACCGGTACTCCACAGATCTACAAGTAATTCTGCAACCTGTGGAAGGATTTTTCTCCTCAGATTTCCCGCAACCAGACAAAAGACACCGCTGGGCTTTGTTTTTAAGACGTCGTAAGTCCTAGAGTAATATAAATGTTGGGACAGAGACAGTTAGTATAAGAAAGTGGTAGTGGACGACGAGGTAGTTGTAGATCTGGACGATGCAGGTGGTGCATCGAGAATTTCTTCATCCCTCAATTTCTTCATACCTCAATTTCTTCATACCTCAATTTCTTCATGCCTCACTTTCTTCATGCTTTAATTTTCTTCATGCGTCAATTTCTTCATGCGTCAATTTTCTTCATGCGTCATTTTCATAAGGATAAGTCTTGTAGCTCTAGAACTAGTCTTTCGGTCGTCTTGACGTCATTTAATGAGTCTAAGATTTCAGCTCCACAACAACGCCACAGCCATGTTATCACGACCTCCTGGAGGAAAATCAACCGCCCACTTCTCGGAGAAGAACGAAAAGAGCATCGCAACCTTTATGCAGAAATTGAAGCAGACTCACTGTGGCGGAGGGTGTCCCATTGGGCCTGACGGGAGGAAAAAAGTGGCTGTATGGCAAGTCGAAAACTGGGTCCTGTGGAATCGATACCGACAAGCGCGTGCGGATCTCAGAGCAATGTATCAAACAAAAAGCCAAGACCAAGATATTATGGCTACGTCGATTAGTGGTGTAATACGCCTGAACGAGTTGCTAATATCGCTAGTAGAAGTAGTGGAGGTCGTAAAAGTCTTAAAATTGATTAAGGGTGGCGCCTTGTTCCCTCGACATTGCATTTGCATCCGTGACCCACAGAAGAAGTTTTTTTGACTTTTTTCTATGTCCTCTAAAGACAGTCGACGAGACCGCGTTTCCAACGGCCCTGACGTCGATCAAGGTGTGAATAGCCCTACCAGAAACAAGGGAAAGAAGTTCATCGCAGATATTTATCCGGGCATCAATCCTGGTATATTGGAAGCAGTGAAGATGCTCCTCGACAACAAGGAGCCACAGCTTTTTATGGCGGGTCGTTCTCTCTTCTTGCTGATTAGAGGTAGCTCTCTAGATAGTGAGATAAAGATTCTAATCTTCGGGACGACGTGAACGAAGTATTATACCTATGACTTTTATCTATGTCCCAGCCAAGCCTGACTTGGCGAAAATTTTTCAGATAATCGCGACCGTCGTTCCCTTGCATAATCGGGAAATCTCTCAGCCTCTTGTGTAAAGTTTGGTCTAGTTCCTTGGTCATGGCTTTCGTTTTAGCTACGTTGGTTCACCAAGTATTGAATTAGATCAAATTTATAAATGGTGAGGCTCCGGTCTTCTTTGTTCAGTATGAAATCTTCTAACCTTCGGGACGACGTGAACGAAGTATACCTGTTACACGGAACTAGAGTAGCGACAGCAGAGGCCATTGCCACCTTTGGGTTCGATCCTCGTTTGTCTAGGGATTCGAACTGCCTGTACGGTCAAGCTATGGGAGGAGGCACTGTAGTCAACCCATCTCTTGCGCCTTCTACTTTTAGCCGATTCCTCATCCTGCTCGGAGGAAGCTCCTCAAAGATGTTGTTCTAAAAGATGGGTTGTTAAAAACTACGCCTCTAATCAAAGAACATACTTCGCCTCAAATTTCTGCAAGAGTCTGCAGTATGCGGGAGATTTGCCGAGAGTGCTTATGATGATGCTCCTCGTCTCGTCTTGGTCATATATTGCATCCTGTTTCTCTTGTTGCATGAAGAAAGGAAACACCATGATCAATCTGCTTAGATCAGCTCTTGGCGGCACTATCTAGACGTCGTGGACGGGTTTTAAGTGAGCTGAATTGCCGAGCTGAATTGAATATAGACCCAGGTCCCAAAAAAAAAAAACCCCGAACCGCGAACATGAATGAATGAATGAATTGATCATGTCACTCGCCAGTCAGCACGCTCTTCTTCTAATCCATCAGGCGAAGAGAAAAAAAACCACGTTTTGATCATTTCCCGCGTGCTTATTGGTGACCCGTACGTGACGCCTAAAGTTTGCTGTGAAATGAAGCGACCGCCTCTTTTAAGGTTACAGTTATTTTAATATTTTATATCACTATCCCATGTGGAGTATGCTGAGTGGAGTCCCATCCTTTGACTCCTTCAAGGAGAATGAAAGGGGAGCGGAGTGGTTCAAGCGCCCCTTTTATGGAAGCCAAAACCTAGCTCTTTCTGGCTGAAGAAAAAGACACAAAGTAGACTAGGGGGGAACGCAGGGCACCTCACTTCACCAGGGATAGTGAGAAACTTCTAGCGTTAACTCACAATGTCAACAGGTGTCCTCATCAACGTTCGCAGCATCCTGGGAGACAATCCAGACCACCACTCACGCGACCACATGATTCGATCATGGCAAGACCGGGAATTATGGCTAGTCATTGTCCACTTTGGTTTTGGTACTAGACGACCACGATATAATCGATAGGCGAATGTTTTACTGTAGTTCGTTAAGTAACCTTAAGTAGATTGTTCTCGGCTCGAGCTCATTTTTTCTGGGTCGAACAGCTTGCTAGCTGTAGTCTAATCCATGGTACTAGTTTGTTCAAGTACCTATGGTAGTTGTTTGTGCAGCAAGTAGTACGTTTGTATGCCTCCACACTTCTACTAGTACACGATTCACATTCATTCTCTTCTAATCCGAAGATTGAAAGTTCCGCTACAATCCCACCGATCCCGCATCCGAGTCCAAACGGGGAGCAAATTCATCAAGAATTCGTTATCTTTGATCAGTACGCTGCTTATCCAGAGTTCATTGTTAGATGGTAGGGACATCTTGGTGCTTACAACTTTACCAAATAATACATATAATATACTAGAGTAGTTTATAGAACGGATGTAGGATGGAGTAGCATGGAGTAGCATGGAGTGCATGGAGCGCAGAGCTTAAAGGGGCGCAAGAAGCTCCCCCCTTAGCTCCATGCTACTCCATGTGATCCATGCACTCCATGCCATGCGAGCTGTGAAACCTTTATGATAGTATATACTTCAATACTTAACCGGTAAAAGTATGGCTCCCCTTTGGAGGTACTGTATAATTACTGGATGGAGGCCTCAGTCACAGGTAGACACTTATAGCTACACAAGAGGCACCATGACATGCCACTAGATCCACTGCTTCTACAAACAGTCATGTTCTTGTTGGTCATAGCACCAATGCCAAGCTCAATGTTGCTCATATATATTAGTTACCATAATTGGCTTAGTACAACATGAACATAGAACACATGAACTTGATTATAGCGTGGTAGTACTACCCCGGCCTCGGGCTTGGCGACAAGATGAAGGCTCGTTAGCATGCTATAAGTTTGGTCATCATCACCGTAAATTCATACACAACACATAATAGAATAGTTTATAGACGGTGGGAAGGTGGGCACGTGGTTGGGTCGCTGGGCGGCCACGCTGGGCACGGTGGGCGGACCCTTGGCAGCCATGAGTGGCACGGTTGGCGCACGCTGGGCGCATATGACGGTGCTCCGCTGCTTCCGGTAATGTGCACGGCCGCAGACAGGGGCTACCTGGCGCTGCGCTCCTGTGCGTAGTGGCCTCGTTCTCGCATACTATAGTTTTCTTTTTTATAAGTTTCGTTAGCATGATACTATAAGTCTGGTCATCATGATGTCACCGTAAATTCATACACAGCACATAATGCTAGTACAATAAGATACATAGAAGTCATTATGTTCGTTGTTTTCTTTGTTTGGCTGGTCATTGACCTCAACGATGATCGAGAATAAAGCGCTCCCACATGTAAGTATTCATATCGTAAGGATTTTTGACGCATTTATTTGCCATTTTCGCACTCTCTTACTAACTTGCGCAAGATTGCTTGAATGTTTTCGTGAGGTTTAGATGCTTGCCTCTTCCTCTGACAAAGACGAGGTCTACAAGAAGCATTCGCACCAGGATGCATTAGCATCCTCTTGTAGGAGGATTACTTGAGGGATACGCAGAGATGAGACAAAGATTTATCGAGAGATTCCTCATCTGGAGCCTTGACGCGGTGAGTGCTAAAGGTGTTGAGCAGAGTCATTCACGTTGTAGTTGTAGTTCAAAAGAAGGTTCCTGCAACATCCCTGCATGTTTAGTTTCATGGAGCAGCAACGATGAATGAAACCTCAAATCGCAGAAAAAAGCTTTTACTTTCGCAAAAAGGCAAGCGCGGGGAAGGTGAAATTTGTTTGCTACCAAATGCAAAGCGGATTTTTTGAAATAATGTATTAAACCTAAACTTCCAACTTACTATAAAGCACGACAATGGATGCTCTTCGATGTTCAGTTGGTACCAAATTAAGAACAGATAGTCGGGGATTACTAGAGTAGAAAACATAGACCCAAGAATCCAGACCAGAGACACCAACGCAAAAAGTAGAAGATGCGTAGCTTAAGCCGACCCCTCCCTAAGGTACTAGCCCCTTCCGGGGGTAGCCTCTCCCGGACTGCTAGGATCGTAAGGCGAGAATTCTCTTCCGCACCCGCAGTCCCGATGGTCATCGATGGCAAAAAACGGGACAGTCAAGCAACGAGTTTTTTCGACGTTCATAATCCAGCAACAGCTATGGGTTTCTTCGGAAGCAGCAGTAGTAGCTTGACGTCGAGACTACTTCGTACTCGTAGTATCATCAACTAGAACTAGCTTCTAAGAACATACAGGACGCGACTACAAAATTCTGCTTCGTCAATAAGAAGATACATCATTTTATCCATTTTCTTTTTCAAAAATTTGAAGATCCTTGTAGTCTTCCTGTTCTTCTAGACAACTCACCATGATTCTTCTTCTTCTTCTTCTTCTAATCTCCACGAGTTGATCGCCCGAACTCCTTTGTGTACCCCCAGTGAGATCGCAGAGGCAACTGCTAGCTGTAAGGAGGCGTTTAAATCGTGGAAGTTGGTCGGACCTTCCCAGAGGGCTCGCGTGATGCACAAATTTGAGGGCGCAATCAGGGATAATACCGATTATGGATGAGAGGTAGAAGGTGCGAAGAAGTTCACGACTGACAATGTTTCTACATCTATAAAATGTCATGTTTAAAGTGGTGACTCGATGATTACTTCTGATGATGATCATAGTTGCAGTTGTCTTTTATTTGCATATATAATTTTGTGACAAGCACAAGCTGTTGCTCTTACTGTTTGGAGATGAACCCGTCTTTTCCTTCAACATCACCCCCTCCATGTCTATTCCTGGAGCATCTAATTCCCAGAGTTAGCAGCACTCGTGTCTCTAGAACAGGGTAAGACCATTGCCGATGCCAAGGGCGACATTTTTCGAGGCCTCGAGGTGGTGGAAATGGCCTGCGCTTTGCCCAGTTGGTTGCAGGGGGAATCTCTCCAGAACATAGCCACAGGTGTCGATTGTCACAGCTATCGCACGCCCCTTGGAGTCACGGCGGGCATTGCACCCTTCAATTTTCCAGCTATGATTCCACTCTGGATGTTCCCGTTTGCTGCTGGTACTCTTACTAAAATAGTTTGTATCTCTTAATATTTTGTGGAACATCGATGTCAATCTGGACGTTCCCGTTTGCTGCTGGTACTTTTCCTAGTTTTGTATCTCTTAATATTTTGTGGAACATCGTCAATTTATAGATTCCACAACCTGAAGCTGAAATCATAATCCAGCTATGATTCCACTCTGGATGTTCCCGTTTGCTGCTGGTACTCTTACTAAAATAGTTCTAATTAATCATAATCAACCAGAATTATAAAGTCAAAAGTTAAAACTCCATCAACTCCATCAACTCCCCGACCACTACCAGGCTGCGGCAATACGATGCTGATGAAGCCATGTGAACGAGTGCCGTTGACGAGTATAAGGCTAATCGAACTGGCAATCGAATGTGGCTTGCCACCAGGTGTTTGTAATGCTATCCACGGAACACATGATATTAAGGATTGAAATATTTCATATTTGATACAGGCTTTTCATCCCTTAAGATAAAGATTGCTCTTTAAAAATCATCTCCCTTGCTTAAGAAAAGCGGCACCTTTAAAAATGAAATGTTTCGACCTTTAATGATACGGTTAACGCGATCTGCGACTCTCCGGACATCAAGGCCATCTCTTTTGTAGGAGGAAATGCTGCGGGTGAGCACATTTACAAGCGCGCAGCTGAGACCGGGAAGAGAGCACAATGCAACTTTTAAGGCTCCCGTTCTAGTTCTACTAAGTACTCCCTAGTAAGTAGAAGTACTGTTACTGTAATAGAAGTACTGTAATAGAAGTAGTACTAGTATTAATTCGTAAGTAGAAGTACTGATGTAGAACAAGTAGTATTACTTCGAGGACCAACATGTATCCAGCAAGTGTATCAGTTGACTTCCTATTAGAGCAGATTTTTCATCAACAGATCACTAAAAATAAGAAAGAGATATATTAGTGGTGGTTGTTCTTTCACCTCTAAAAGATGGGTGCCAAGAACCATTGCGTGGTCCTACCGGATGCCGATCCTGGCACTGTTACCAACGCCTTAGCAGGTGCGTCCTGTGGTGCCGCTGGCCAGAGATGTATGGCCATCTCGGTTGCGATTTTTGTTGGGGATTCCAGCAAAATGATCCCGGGTATCGTGGAAGCAGCCAGCAAATTGAAAGTTGGACCGGGTATTCTTTTTGTCTTCGAAGATCAAGTGGAGGGAGGTGGGTTCTTAGAAGCTCTTCACAAGCTACATCTTAGATGATAGGGCTAGTATCTTCGTATGGGGAATTCTACTTGTTCAGCTTCAACTATAACACGGAGCGACCACATGACAATCCTACTTGTTCACGATTGAGTTTTACAACATTGTTGTCAACGAACAGTCTTCTAGTACCAAAAAATGTCAAAAATAATGTACCAGGTTCCGATCCCGAAGTTGCAATTGGCCCGGTGATCTCCAAGGCGGCGAAGAAACGCATTATTGACCTTATTGACTCCGGTGTCAAGCAAGGAGCCGAGTTGATGTGCGATGGACGCAGTGTGTCTGGACTACCAAAGGTTATGATTGATTGAGTGCGTGAGCGTGACATAGACTTAAAGCGCTACAGGGTTAGTAGTCTACTTCTCTTCCAATTTTGAGTTCTAGAGCTCGTTGTTTGCTTGTAAGATAGGATTATGATGCTCTGCTCTTGCGAGTAGTATCCTCGGACAACAAAGAAAACTTGACCGACTCGGTATATTTAGGTCACTTCAACATCCGTCCACTTCTAGCTGGTCGTTTTAGTACAAGAATTCGTCCCAATACAGAGCACTAGAACACAGTGGATATTAGAGGTTTCAGTTCAACAGCAGCCAGACTATATTGAAGACTTCTCCTAAGACCCAGTGCCCTTGAAGACTTCTCCTTTGAAGACTTCTCCTAAGACCATCCATTAGTCACTCCTCTTGAAGACTTCTTCTAAGACACATTGAAGATCACTCCTCTTGAAGACTTCTCCTAAGACCCATTGAAGACCACTCCCCTTGAAGAAGACTTCCTCTAAGACCCAGTGCGAGAACGGGTACTTCGTAGGGCCTACAGTGTTCCGGAAGGTGACCCCAGAGATGGATATCTACCAGCAGGAAATCTTCGGACCGGTTTTGTGCATCATAGAAGTGGATACCTATGAAGAGGCACTGCAAATATCGAATAGCAACAAGTACGGCAATGGTTGCGCAGTTTTCACCCAAAGTGGTGCCGCGGCAAGGAAGTACGTGCAGGAGGTACTTAGGGTTTAGGGTTTGGGTTAGACTTTCAAGGTACTTAACTACTGGCAACTTTCAACAGGAAATAAAATGTATGTGGTGTATTGGTTGTTCTTGCTAGGCTTAGACTTATACTTTGCAGGTGGTTTTTGCGGCGGCCAGAAGGAAATTCATATTTTTTCCTTGATATTGATAGTTCTTGCGGCGGCCATAAGTAAATTTGAAATTTTTTCCTTTATATTATTGATAGAGACGATGCTAGATGCATTGCCAATGACTTGAATCGTCCCTTCACCAGATCGAGGCTGGCCAAGTCGGCGTCAACCTCCCCATCCCGGTGCCGTTGCCTATGTTCTCCTTTACCGGTAATAAGGGAAGCATTCGCGGAGACCTAAACTTCTACGGAAAGTCAGGGATGCAGTTTTTTACTTAAGGCTTCCGGGAATCCGTCTTCAAAAGCATCCTAGGGCTTCCCTCTAAAGGAGAAGGAGGTCCAGGATGTCTCAGAAGATGGACCCCGGAAGGTCTAACTTACCCAATGGAAGACTGTAACAAGCAACTGGAAGCCGCCACAGGGCTGGTCCGGGAAGGTGCAGACTAGCATGTCGGTGTTTAAGTAGCTGCACTGTGGTTACGAGTGTGTGGCTCGCTGTTTTGAAGTAGTTTCAACTTCTCTCATGTTGTCTGTGTTCAACGTCAATCAGGATTAATCATTAATAATGAAATATATCAAATTTAAATTATTTTATTAAGTACAAGGAAGACGAGCTAGCTTATCCGTAGAATACTAGAAGTTATGGACTAATTCCAACTAAGCTAGAGGAGAAGAACGACCCTAAATTTGTGCATGCATCTGTATGCTTGAGAATGATTGAATCACCGATCTACTCCATCGTGAACCATGTTGATATGTTGAGAATCTTTGTAAAGTAGAAGCGCCAGTGTAGAAGAAGCAGTACCATAAGTAGCTACAGATAGGTAATATTATTATCCGGAGTTGTCGTCCACCACCAACTGACCACACGACCTACAACTGAATATCAGTATGACAACTAGTTTCCGTGTGTGATTTTTTTAAATCGATGACGTGCTTTCCTCATGATGGAGATGCAGAACTTGGAAGTGTAAACAATCGTCAAGATCACGAAGAAAAGCAAAGTGGGAATAACGAACAAAGTCATAGTTTGACTCTGCTAGAAACAGCTTGGCTTTTTCTTTGGTACTAGGGGCCCGAAGTATGCACTGGAGCCTCGTCTGATGGCTTTTCCACACTTTGTGGGCGATGACACTCTTGTTCGAGCATTTTTCACAATCTCGGATCCCTGTTCGGTGTTGTCTTCGGTGTCTAACAGGAAAGACGAACACGCGAAGACTCATCTCATTGCGGCAAGGTGGAACTCATGAACGTGGCGCAATAGTATCTATTAATATAAAATGTAGCGCAAGTTCAACGATTTAATATCGGTGAAATACGTACTATATGATTTAATGCGAACAAAGAACTGCCGAGAGAATGCTGGTTCTTAAGTTTTGTTATTGGTGCTAGGACCTCATTAGCGTCGTGGCCTTAAATAATGTTCGCGTCAGCTTGGCTTAGAGAAAAGGATCATCTTCAATCAAGCAATTATAAGTCCTCGAATTCCTCTCTTAATGATCCACTTTAGCTAGTCGCTGTATGTCGAAGATTTACTCTTCAGTGTTGTAGATCATGTAGGCATCTAGTGCTAATACTAAAGTGTTTTCTAAAGTAAAAGTTCAAGTTTCTTTCTTCCAACAAGGAAGTAGCTTCCCTAGATTGTCAGCAAGAAAAAAGATGATGACCTCGAAAAGACCGCCATCCTCGACCATGCCACTTCAGTCGAACACCGACCAAAACTCGCCACCAACCATATCGACAGAGCATGGGAGCTCCACGAGTGTTAAGGCCACCAAGTTACATTCAAAGATAAATTTAGAGACAGAGACAAGTCCTTGTACGAGAACTGCGATTTTTCAGTGAAGATGCTTACCTCTTCAGAATCACGGTCACCAGTAGTCAATATCCGTAAAGCTGCGATATCTTCTTCTTCATCTGTCAGTGGCCTCAGTTGCCGCTCAACCCGTGTTCTACTTTCTCATCTAATAATGGATCTGTAGCACCTGTCGGCAGAAGTAGCAACTCAAAGACTGGAAGAACGCTGCCTTCACCGCAGGTTGCGGCTGCGCAGGCAAAAAATTTCGACACTCTGGCTAAGATATTTGGGGAGAATGAGTATTTTAAATGATTGTACTCTCAGTAGTAGCTAAGTACTTATTCGAAAACTCAAGATAACCGAGTTACTGACTGAAATGAGGGAGGTAGCTTCACGCCAAGGCTACTCTTCCTTCTCATCAGTATCTCGGTTATTCTGATCCGTTACTTGCTGATTTCAGTTTTTCGAATAGGGTTTTGGGGGAAATAAATGAGTACCACTCATCAAAATATTTGCGATATTGATTTAGTTTTCGGTCCTGTTCCAGGCTCGTTTTCTTGCATTTGATCCCAGATAGTAGGTGGCCATGTGATCACAACAACAGACACAAGAGTGCTTTTCAACCGCAACCACGTGGTGAGGCCTTTCGCGCTATCTTTTTGCAATGAGGCACTTGTAATGTCTAGAACTAAAATATACGATCGCTCCTTTAAGTACCTGAACTATAGTACGATCGCTCCTCTACATACTTACAAAAACAGTCTTCCTATGCCACGCGAAGACTTGCTAGAGAGTCCGGGACACGCCGAAATGCATGCGGAAATACTGGGGACGCCCAAAAGCCGTTCTTCACGAAGTTTTAGACCTGAAGATCGTAGTACCTCAAGTCCTACAGGACGAGGGTCCTTGGTTCTGGTGGAGAAGTTATGATATTCTTGTTCAAAAAAGTAAAAGATGCTGATTACGATTAGCTGAGGAGGTTGCACTGGCATAGAAAGGACGTTAATATTTCGATCATCTCTTCTTCGCAATAGTTTTTTTGACTATCATCTATCTAAAGAGGTTACTTCTAAGGATATTGTTCTCATCTACATCTAAAAATATCATCCAGTCCTTCCGGTGGAGGCGCAACGTCGAGTGGGGCAACCTCAAGTTCTCTGAATCATCCGGGAGGTGGGGATATAAAGTTATGAAATATGTTAAGTATGTTTATGACAGAAAAAAGTGTACTCATCCTCATGAAATTAGCTAGCTTTGAAGTAGAAGAGTAGCTAACTTTCTGAGTATGAGTTCACTCTTTCCGTTCATACATGTGGATGAATCGTTCCCGCTACTAGTGTGATCTAAGTAGTAGATGGCGTTATAATATGCACTCTGTTCATAGGACTGAGAGGACTGTATCATGTTGTAATTCTATCTATTTCTTTGAATATCCCGACGAGTGTGATTACATTCAGACTTTGTCTCTACGGGTGTTAGGAACGACACTAACAGGGGCATGCGCATGACATGCTCTACCTATACAGTATAAGTGCGTCTACTTCTTCTTTCTTCCTTGAAACTGCTCCTCTACGTAGAATGCAAGCACATAAAAACTTTGCTCTCATCTTGATAATATGTTGGCATCCTTTATTCTCAGTCAAGACCAGATACCCATGACAGAGATTCAGAGATTCTTCTTCTAATTCAAGACCAGGTCTTAGAACATGTCGAGAAGTACAAAAGTGAGAACTACAAAAGTGCTCCTGCAGACCTGTCGCCAGGAACGACCTCCAGAGCCGACGAAGATGAAGATACATGCTCCATGTCTGAGCAAGAATCGCCAGGAGGGGCTTGTATGGCTGATGAAGGTGTTCGTAGTTGGTGGAGACGGACCGCGTTGAGTGGTTTTGGAATTTGGTAACCTGATTTTGATCGCCAGGGATAGGAAGAAGAGAACCCTTGGCATCGAAATCAGGTGACTAAAAACCGGAACCATTCACAGAGGCTTTTTCCCTTCAATTCATGTCCAAGCCCCATTTGTATTTGCAGGGTAAGTAGGTAGTTGTACTTATTCAGCTGTGCTAGTGCTCATTCTCATTCACCTTGTGTTAGAACATGTGTTTGAGTTGTTATTTGACCTCATAAATATGCTCTCTACGGTGGTCACGAATGGCCATATCCTCTGATCTCTTTTCCTCCTTCATCCCCCTCTCTCGCGATTGGATAACCTTGGAAGCTGAGGTGTGTCGCAATTTCGATTCCGCTCGCCTGGGTGCCAAATTATTTCTGCTGCTCCTATTGCGGAAGTTGAGGGATTTTTCGAAAAAGAAAATTCGCTATCGCGAGTTGGAACATGCCACGACCCTGCTTTACAGAGCGCTAGATGAGGAAAGCCAGATACTAGCGAGCATGTACAATACAATGGCAGGGACAGGAGGAGTTACGACTGATCGACTGGATAGCTAGGTACCTACTAGACAATCTTCGTTGACGTCTTGTTGGAAATGGACTTCGTAGTTGTTGCTCCTTTCGGGGAGCGTTAATATTTCATGTTGTAGTTGTGGCGAGATTTATGGATTTTCTTGTTGTAGTTTGTTGTTGTGGCTAGATAAAGATTTGCTATATTTGCTACTGTAGTTCTAATGTTTGCTATATTTGCTATATTTGAGTGCAGCACTGTAGTTCTAATGTTTTATACCTTCGTTCACTCCCTAAGTCTCCACTAGATACCCAACTTCCTCCTATGTAATAAGTTTGGCTCTTCGTGTTGTCTTTCCAATCTACACCACCTTAGGACTTTGCACACAAAAAAAGAATCTAAAAATGACCTCCCGGCAGCCGAACGAGCGGAGTACTCCTCTGCACAGATACAGCCAGTTTCTTTCTTTGAAGTGAAATAGTTTCTTGAATTCTAAGGCCAATGTGATTGCTATATTTGCTAGTTCGTTGGAAGTAGGTTCGATGCACTACACCTCTAACCCTCGTCCGCCAGCGGCCGCATCGAGCAAGATAAAGCCCAGTGGTCGACAGCACGAAATCGCAGTGATTTAGGGCCCGACCACTACTCTTTGAATCCCGCCCACGATGATCCCTTTACCGTAGTTGTAAGTAGGTCATTTGGGCCCCTTAATGTGACTTACAACAGCGTTGTCTCTCCATTATTTAGTGTGAAGACATGGTGCTGGTTTATTTTCCACTTCTACTTCCTTTTCAAACGATTTGGATACAAAAAAATTATATGTACTAAAATATCATACACATCACCACGACCACCACGTCCTGATGCTGACGTCCTACCTTCCTGCGGCTCGGCAGCACGATTTCCGCAATGGGCTCTTCATCATCAGTACTCAACGAACATTGTCTAGTAGGTACCTAGCTATTATTAGCGCTCACCCAAATCCATCCCGAGATGCATCCTAGTATTAGCGCTCACCCAAATCCATCCCGAGATGCATCCAATCTGGGTTCCGCAGGATGCTACTTGCTGCAGCCTGGGTTCCGCAGGATGTGCAACATCTGCATCAACTTCTACTGCAGCCGCGGAGACAACGGGTGTTTCATCTTCATCTCTTACTTGCTGCAGCAAGCAGGATATCGCTCTAATCTCCCCTCTTCGCGATATCGAATTTGCAACAGCATGCGCTAGAGTGGAAAGAGACGATCATGGAGGCGTACAGCAACCAGCACGGAAGGCGGCAGTTGTCTTTTCGTGCACTGGCAAGCTTTCTAGACGAAAGCATCGCTGTCTTGGATTAAGGGTTTCCGAATTACATCCCTCACTACCATCCTTGGCTCCTCTTCAAGGGGAAAATAGGCCAAGGATGTTCTGAAGAATGCAATTCGGTAACCTCTAATTGGAGGCTCTCTATTGGAAAAAGAAAGCACTTTTGGGGTAGGAATACTTCTATGGTAGGGTTGTAGGACAGCAGAGAGAAGGATGATAGATCATTGTGAAGATTCATTTTTTTTTATTGTTTTTGATGGTGTTCCTGTTCGTTGGGAGGAAGGAGTCATTGGGCCGTTACAGTTACCTCAGGCGGAGCTTGCAAATCTAAAAGACGAGAACAGTTCTTTCATAGTTGCATGTAAAAAATAGTAGCATCACGCCGCCACTCAAGGGCGTGGTATTAGCAGCAGGGCCTGTGTTCTACTATTAATTTGGAAATGCAAAACAGGTGCTTGGGCAGATGAAGTAGTAGGCTGAGTGAAAAAGAAAAAGGAAGTTGTAAACCTTTACCCCATCCCCTGCATCCCTATCGAATGTGAATCTGTCTCCACAGTCGGGCTGTCCCTTCCAGATCTGTCCTCCTCAAATTGTTCCGAAGACGGGTAGTCTTGGGTCGTACTTATCATTATCAGATGAAGCGAGATCTGTTACCCTATCACGTTTACGTGACATCAAAAATAACCTGTCATGGACATGGAGGCGACGAGTGTGGATTAGTTTCTTGTCTCAGAAATTTTTTAGAGTAAGTAATATTTTCTTGGAAGCATAAGGTTAAGGTGCTCAGGCTTACCCCCTCAACCCCCTCTTTGTTTCCCACAAATTTTTACACTTCATGGTGCAATATCATACAGCTTGAACTTTTTGTTAATTTTTGGAGACAGGATAAACTTAAGATGGTGATGCATGCTCAAAGAGCCACTCAAGAGCCACTGTTTCTGTTATAGAAACATCGCGCGGCTTCGCCATAAAATTATAAACATTTTCTTTTAATATACTCATAGGCTTCGACTTCTGACAGCATCAGTGTAGAAGTGGATGCTACAACCATAGTAAAACTTAAGGTTCTTTTTCTTAGTATTCTAGGCTTATTCACATTTTGTTGCCATCAATGTTGTTATCCAGCGGACGCTTGGTTCGCTGGCGGGCTGTCAAACGCATTTCCCAGAGGGGTGCTTTCGAGAGCATGAACAGCCAAGGAATTGTTAAGACTCTTTCACTGAAGATTAGATTCATATGCACCGCCCCCGTCCTTCTCTGAAAAAATAAGAGGAAATCCTTATACTCCTGGAGGTGTCCTCGTCTGCTAAGCAAATATCTGTCCAACTCTTTGTCCTAAACTCTTTTTTAGGTGGTCCCTTTATCCTTTGTCATGAAAAATATCTTTCCTACAACATCCAGTTCCAGCCTACTTTTGGTTTTCTCACTTACTTATGATTATTTAATCTCTAGCTCTCTCTAAAAGTTATTTCCTCTCTCTAAAATTAAAATTTATTTCTCCACCTCTTCTAGCTCTAACACACCTCCAACTCCAGCAAGCGTCACGACAACCGCAAAAAGGGCCTTTGCAGGTGTCAAGGCAGAGTTGGAATATCAGGTCTGGCCTCAGAAGTCAGAGACTCCTATGCGCATAGGTCGTTATATTGACCGCGAATTACCGTCTACAGGGGCTACCCATGTGGATGAGCATCAACCGGTATTTATATATTGTATAGAGCCTTTCTTAAGATTGATTATTACTTTTACTAGTGGTGTGGATCATGAAGAACATCTGCGGGTATAGTTTTGCTTGCTGGCACTATGGAAAGAATGTGAATGAAGATCGAGTTCTTTTCTAGTGGAGACACAGATGAGACAGAGGACACCACCAATATTGGTAGTGGTCGGGAATATAATCCTGAAAAATCCCTCGTCTTAACCCTAGGTCCCCATCAATATCAGCAGTGGTCGCGGCGTAGATTGCAGGTTGGATCGTGAAGGCTTCACTTTTGTCGAAAATGAGCCGCTTCCAGAGAATTTGGACGTTGACTCAGTCGAGAGTATCAAGGATGTGTACTACAATTACGGAGACGAGTACTACTTTAGTCTAGTTCATCTTCGCAGTAATTGTACAGCATGATTCTAGTCGAACTACTTTACTCTAGAAGTTCAATGAACTTTTCAGTACATTTTTGATTCTAGTCCTCAGTGCATCCACATTCTACTCTAGTTCTCATCGTACTACGGTCTAGTTCTCATCGTACTACAATCTAGTTCTCCTCTCGTCCACAACTTGCTGGAGCCTAATGGTCTTAAGGGTAGGCTAAAGGTGCTTTTGTTACCGTTTCTTGTGGCTCTCCTAGTCCTAAGGGGGACAGTTGTGATAGAATAAACGGGATAAACGAACACCAAAGGCCTACCTCTAAGGGTCGTCTACCTTCAGGTCCTCGCGAAGTTGTTCTATCTTCTAATCTCCAAACATCCAAGACCTCGTCAAGCGCCAGACAGGGTGTTCCAAAGTGTTGGTTTTCGACCATACCTTACGCAATTCGGGTCAGACGAATCTGAACGTACTCAACGACGCAAAAGTTATGGCGTCTTTTTACTCATACAACGTATCGATCGCGATAGTTGAAAAATTTTTGTTCCGGGATTCGGATGTAGTTGGGGTCTAGTTTTTGATAAGTTGTTCAAGTTGACACTGTAATATTATAGATTCAAGTACGCAAATACAAGTACAACCCAGTGGAGTTTATTCATTGTTTGGAGCACGCAAATAAAAGTATTCGAAAACTCAAAATAAGCGAGCTACTGACTGAAATAAGAGAGTCTTGACTACGTTCCTCTTCTTTCAGTATCTGCCTTATTTTCAATAGTTACTCGGTTATTTCAGTTTTGCGAATAGTATATAGACGAGCTTAGCCTGCTCTAAACCGTCCGCCGCAGCAAGTGTGGTGCGTGTCCACTGCGATTACACTGCTGACTCTGCACCAATCCGACTACGACAATTGGCCCGTACTGCTTCTTACACAGGAGACAAATTTGATGCCGCCATGGTCGATGATTAAGGCTTTTCTGACTCTAAAAATAAGATTTCAATGACTACTCAGAATGTACTCTACAGAAAGGGGAAAGTAACACGGATGTGCCACTTGAGGGGAAAGTAGCACTTGAGGGGATGTACTCTACAGAAAGTAACACGGATTAGAAGGGACTACAGAAAGAATTGTTTGGGCTACAGAATGTCTCGTGTTTTGGGGCCCCCGAGCGCCTAGCCCTTCAGCCTCCAAATGGAACAGCTTACGAGCGTCAGGCCTCTCCGTGGCCTCTCCGAGGGTAGCCCCTTAGCTGATTCACATTAGCTAGCTAGTCAACTACCTATTTCGATTTTCACCATTATTTAAATTCAAAATTAACGAATTGGAACTTTTTGTAAAAACGCACTTTGTGCTTGTCTACACACATGTCAATATCACAGTAACACGGATTAGAGGGGGCTACATCCAGTCCATAAGATCTTAGAACAAGGGACTTCAGGATTATATTTCTAAGATGCCGTCCTGAAGTCAGGCAAACGGTTTGCGTTTATTAACCTTTGGCGCAGTATTGACAAGGAGAACCCGGTTAAAGTGAAGCCTCTGTCGGTATGCGACTATCGGAGTGTGGATATGGCGAAGGATGCGCTGCTGTATGAGTTGGTGTATAACTTATGGCTGGACGAAGATGAACAGCTGTGTTTTACAGATTGTAAAAATGTTTGATGTTGTAAGGTCGCTCGCTATTGCTGGACCTAACTATCAGTACCTAGAAGTGGTACGCTATCAGTCCACAGTGGTATGCTAAGCGAACGAGGGCCACTATCAGTGAGGGAGCTATCACTATCAATACTTATAATGGTACAAACCTCAACCCCTAAAAAAAGACCGCGTCGGAGAAAACTACAGTCTTGCACCGGAAGCTGCTGGGAAGCATAGCTGGTTCTATTGGCCAGACATGACGTCCGATGAAGTTATCATGTTTTATGAAGTGAACATGGAAACTGAAAGCATTGCTATTCAGCGGTAGACATCATGACGATAGTCATAGTCTTCGGTATTTCTTCAGAAAATTTGACTTTCTTCGACTAGCATTTCACTGAAAAAGATAAAGTAGATTGTGGCTCTAATCCGTATTCATTCACTCGTGCTTGTAGTCTCTTACAGCAACCGCTTTGCTTTTCTCAATAGTATTGGATACATAGTACTAACTTTATCAATACCCTCAATAAAAGTTCTAAGTTATTTTCAATGTCCTCTACGACCTAAGTTATAACTTAGAATTTCTTGAATTCTAAATTTCCAACGTCTACGATAGGGATTCCATGGGCGCGCCATTCGTTTTCCATACAGCTTTCGCTGATCCAAGTACTCCTGCGGATGCACCTGCTAGAAAAATTATGCTCATACTCGACCAAATCCCAAACCTAAGCCCAACATCATCTACTCACCTTAAATGCAAGAAAGCACTGCACACCAGGTTCATCTTTAGAAAGGCAAGACCGGCCACAGCACCAGGTTACATCTTTACAGATCTTCACTCATCTTCACATCGACCTTCAATCAGTGGTGGGACGACACGACCTTTCGTCTCAAGTATTACACCAGTACCAGATCCAGATGCACCTTTCTCCTTTCTTTTCAAGTGAAGATTGTTGCATCTTCGCTCTAAACCACGCATAGAAGTGCGAGCAGTAGCCATTTGGGACGATGAGATAGTTGCACCAGAGCGCCAAACGCGTATTGAGGTGGCCAACAACAAACCAGTGCCGGTGTTCTATGACATGCTGCACTCGAACAACGCAGCAAGATGCCGGTTATGGTTGCAGATGAAAGGTATTGCTCAATACTGTATAACTATAAAAACCGGAGCAGGAGGTTGTGGTTGATACTGAAGATCTTGATTCCATCTTTGTAGTACTTCATGTGCCTAAAAAGTCAGTGTATTCTTCCTAAAACAATCCTTTTCATCTATGGTATTATGCCTTGAGGAAGTTCTTCCCATGATCACTCCCAAATCTGATCACGACTCACATCAGGCGTCCCCCAGTCCGAATGCAAAACGGTGATGATCACCTACGCAGACTTGCAAGACCCTGAGTACGCAAAGATTAACCCGGTGAAAAAAGTGCCCGCTTTTCAAGCCTGGAGAAAAGTGCTCAAGGAGGATATCCCAAACGAAGACTTGATTATGAATGAGGAGCATATGAATGAGGATCATTAGCCAACTTCTACGTCGTTACCATTAGCATTACCATATACCCAACCATTGCCTACGTTCGTAGTTAGTCATTATGAATGAGGATCATTACCATTAGTCATCATATACCCAACCATTGACTACATTCGTCTCTGAAAAAAGGCAAACCAGAAAAATTAACCAACCTAAGTTAGATATTGATATTTTTTTGTCGTAAGGAGGAAGTGCTAGTCGTGTATGTACAGTGTGGGTGGATTGGTATTACCCAATTTCAATTTTTTTTTGACATCAATTCCAATTTTTGAACAAAGTGAAAGTTTCTCTTCTAACTCCAGCAAAGAAGAGATAGCGGAGGCGGAAGCCTCACCTTGGAACTACTTTTAAGGCTTGAAAGTTGGCATCTCTATAAGCATCTCTATGGTTTCTCCAAGTAGGAAAGCCATAGATATGCGGGCTAGAGATGCCAACTCTCAACCCCTAATACTTCTATGCCAAACAGGCAATCTTCGAATCGCACGTCGTCATGCAGTACCTGGAAAGGAGGTTCAACAAGGCAATAAACCCGGAAAGATCTTTCATTTTATGGCCTTTCTTGCTCTTTGTCGTAGAGAATCTACCATATTGTTCTTGTCACTCCTTCTCCTTCATTCCATCCGGACAGTCCCGAACTGACTGCGTGTTTGAAGAGATCAGATTAATATTAATTCTGTTTGAAGGGAATGAAGTACGCGCTGATTTTTTTCTTTGATTTTCGATGAAGGATAATAATTGTCGTGTTTGAAGATGAAGAAGAGATCAGATTGATTCTGTTTGAAGGAGATGAAATTAGAATACAAGATTGACATAGAGAATAAGCTTCGTTAAGGCAGTCTGCACTGAACTTTGTGCGAGATACAAAAAAAAAAAGCGAGATTAATTGTATTGTATTGTATCTATATTGTTCTTGTCACTCCTTCATTCCATCCGGACAGTCCCGAACTGACCGCGAAGATGGACCTCCTGTGTCGTGTGCACGACGTATACGTGGCCAGTCCGAATTCGACGCAGCCTGGCTTCACCCACACACAGGGGTGCATGTATTTGGCACCTTATCTTATGCATGCAGCTAGTAGACTAAGAACTTTTAGTACTACAACTTATGGTCTCGGATGCATGTATTAGTTTTAGTATTTTTTGGCACGACCTTATCGCATGCTATAAGTCATTACGCGTAGAAGTACATGAGCCTTGTATCTTCGCACGCATGCGTGTATTTAGATTCTGATCCTCAAACATCAAGAATGATGCATGTTTGTTTGGTACGGCCTTATCCTAAGTTAGAAGTCTTCAAAGTCCATCTTTACTTACCACCTCCAAGGAGAAAAGTCCTTATCTACGCTACTTTGTTTGGTAGGAGGTCTAACCCCTCTTTCCTAGAAGTAATTTCTCCCCGTCCCCTATTAGAAATAACCTAAGCCTCTTCTTTATCAGAAGTAACCTCTTCTTTATCCGATGAAGTATTAACCCCTTCTAATCTCCCAACGCAATTTTGTGCTGCTGAGCGTTGTATCGACCGTGCCACACGAGAAGCGCGGTTGCAAGAGCTGTGGCGTCAACTGAATTGGTACTATCATGCACAGTAATATTATGCCACACATACATAGAACGTGGTCAAAGGAATTAGTCGATACTATAGATACCAGAGCAGTTTCATTTAGCGCGCATGGAGTAGCATGGGGTGCATGGAGCGCAGACCCATAAGGGACGCAAGAAGCGCCCCTCTTAGCTCCATGCAACTTCATGCGACCCATGCACTCCATGCCATGCGAGCGGGCAAACCTTGCAAATTACTCTGAGATACAGCTACTACATCTAAATCGGTGTACTGAATTGTTACTCGTTCTAGTCAACTGAATTGGTGCACTACTGCTACTTGGTCAACAACTGAATGATATCCATGTTCGTCAGGTTCGAGGAACAATTTCCTGAGAAGGGCAACGGAGAATACCTCTGCGGCACCCAGATGACGCATGCAGACATGACTTGGTTTTTACGGCTTCTTATTCGTCTCACTTCGTTAGTAGCACGGGGAAAGCATGTCATAAGTTTGAGCTGCTTAATAGAAAGCATGCCAAAAATCTGCATCCATTTTCATCAAGGTCAACTAGAAGAGTTAGTAAGCGGCAACGAAGTTTGGCTAACTGCAAATAATATGTAAGTACTTTCTTAGTCAAAATCTCCATGATTCTCCATGATTAAATGGTAGACTTCTCTAAGGATCCCAACTATCTGCTTTATGGAGTACCTGTTGCCTCGAAATTTCGGTTGGGATGATATCACCAGAGCAGAAGGCGATGCACTCTTATTCCCCAAAATGTTATGGCTACCGCTAAAGCATGTCCTTAACTACACCGTGATCCCTTGTATGATCATGCCACTTAAACTTATTGAGAACGAAGGTATGGGAATGTCGTTCCTAACTAACAAGTCGAAGGGGTAGAGGGGACGCATTCATCCCTGTCTCGTCTTCTAGTTGAAAAGATGGAGCCAACCATTCCACCACTTGACTATTACTACGAAAATAGGGCTCGTTGGAGTCTTCTTCTACTTGAATACGCTACTGCCCCAGGGGTCTTCTTCTACTTGAATACGCTACTGCCCCAGGGGTCTTCTTCTACTTGAATACGCTACTGCTCTAGGGGTCTTCTTCTGCTTGAAAAAATGTCCTTTCCTCCAAGGATACTATTTATTACTCCCAAGGAGGTTCTTCTTCTTCTACTTCTTCTCCTTCAGCAGAAGTTCTTGAAAAGAAGAAGCTCACCTAGCTAGGAGGATGCCACAGCTCTAAAAGTGGGGCGTTGGTTCCAATACCTTCGCAAGACGCATCCCGAATTCGAAGACGTCCGGTCGAAGATTTTCAACTTCTTCGCTGAAAAGTTATGCTGTTGTCTTTACTAGTACTAAGATAGAGTAAGAGAGAGCGGGTTCTTTCCGGTAAAATAGAGTAAGAGAGGACGGGTTCTTGCAAAGAACGGATGTTTGAAATAAAGAGCGGGCTCTTGCAATAAAGAGCGGACTCTTGCAACAAAGAGCGGGCTCTTGCAAAGAACGACTTGCAATTGCAAGGAGTGACTTGCAAAGAATGACTACTAGCTACATGAGTTTATTTTTCCTAGTTTGTTGCTTGTAATCAATGTCCTCAGAGTCATGATAGTACATCACCTACTTACATGTTACTTTAAAAGCGTGTAAGTACAAGTAGCTCTATTCGTAGGGTAACAAAAAAGATACCACACTGTGTATCAGGGTATCAAAAGACATACCAACAAGACCAAGAACTTTATGTTCATAGTCTGCTTTGGTGGAAGAAGATGACGGTGGAAGATGAGAGGAGATAGAAAAACGTAGCACAAGTCTCGAGAAAATATGTTCTGTACTAGATTTGTACTCATTTTTATAATGTTCATACCAAGTTGAAGTTCAAGTTCATACTGTTCTGTAGATGATCGAAGCGAGGTCCTCGATCCACGCCATAAGTGGCGAAGTCTATAAATCATACTCTAAACATTGACGAAGCTGGCATGTTTGAAGGGATTCGAAACGAAATCCTCGATCCACGCCATAAGTGGTTATTCACCAGGGGCGACCTCCTGTGGAATAAGAGGCAAACGCAAAAATGAAGAAGCCGCTGGCTTGGACGATTAAGGGCATGCTGCTTCTTTACTAGGACATGACGACTCCCGTGGATTCTAGAGCAATCCTGGTGATTCATTGTCCAAGAATTCTGCCTCAAGTTGAGGAATTATTCTAGAAAACCTTGTAGGAGCAAGGTTTCGATTTTCCAAAAGGGGAAAAGACAGAACGAACAAGGTAAGTAGACAGGCAGCGCAGCTTTTCTATAACTAGGGAAGTTGCTCCTCTGGACCCCACGTGGCAAATGTAGCGGGCTAGGAAGTTCCTTCTTACTGCAACACGATTTTTTAGCTTCCTTGACTATTCTGAAAACGAGAAAGAGAGAAGGAAAACACTCGAGCAGCTTGAAAGGTTCAAAGAGTTGCAACGTCGAACGTGAACGAGAATAAGAGTGAGCGCTGTTCGTCGTCGCTGTTGCATTTTTTTAAGATGTGGAAGCCTTTACGCGTGAACAGCAAGGCGAGCCCATACCTGGCGCAGCCCGCCAGAGTAGCAAGCCAAGCCACGAACCCGAGAGAGCTCGCTGCTGCTGCTTCAGCCGCGAGCCCGATTCGGCCCCGTCTTGCATGCTTAGGACAACTCAGCCTCGCGAACCCGAGCCCGAGCCCGGCCTCGCGAGCGCGGCCCCTTGCGGGCCCGGCCCCGTGCGAGCCCAGCTTCGTGCGAGCTCGGCCCTGTGCGAGCCTGGGCCATAACGTGCCCCGCCCCGTGCGAGCCCAGCCGGCATCGCCGGCCCCGTGCGAGCTTGAGCCGGCCCCGTGTGAGCCCAGCCCCGTGCGAGCCCAGCCCCGTGCCAGTTGAGGTGGGCCCCGTGCGAGCTTGTCCCCGCGCGAGCCCGGACCCGGGCGAGCCTGGTCCCGCCGGCTCCGTGCGAGCCCAGCCCCGTTCCTTCGAGCCCAGCCCCGTGCGAGCTCAGCGGACCCCCTGCGAGTTAAGTGGGTCCTGTGTGAGCGTGGTCCCATGCGAGCCCAGCCGGCCCCGTGCGAGCCGAGCGGGCATCGCGGGAGCCAAACGGGCTTCGTGCAAGCCCGGCCCCGTGCAAGCTCAGCTGCGTGTGAGCCCGGTCACGTGCAGGCCCCACCGTGTATGAGCCCGGGCAGGCTCGTGCGAGGCTTGCCCCGTGTGAGCCCAGTGGGCTTCGTGCGAGCCCGGCCTTGTGTGCGCCCGGCTCCGTGCGAGCTCGACGGGCCCCGTGCGAGTTCAGTGGCACCCGCGCGAGCCCAAGCCCGAGCCCGAACCATGCCCAGCGAGCCTGGGGCGGCCCTGGCGAGCCCAAGCCGGCCCCGGCGAGCCCAAGCCGGCCCCGGCGAGCCCAAGCCGGCCCCGGCGAGCTCGAGCCG